ATGACCCTCCCTTCACAAGTGTTTGTATAAAATGGTTATATAACAGAATTGCTTCCATCTTTCGCCCACAAATATACAGTCAATTCACTTTACAGCATATTTTGTAAAGCGCTTTGAGATGTCTAGAAGACGTGAAAAGCACTATATCAAATGCAAGGATTATTATTATTATCTGATAAAGCACCTATAACAACAAACAGTCTTAAAGTGCTTCACATGAAATTGAAGAGCAGTGACTATATCTATAAGGAAACATGACAACCAATTTGCATCAGCACGCCGGACAAATTGATCAAGAACTGTTGGCTGGGATAACACTATGACAAGTTGATGTGAGTTACGTCAAACAGCATCACTGCCACGTATTAGATCTAAAAAAAAACACACCCTCAATTATTGGGAAGTGAGGAGGTCGGAGAGGTAGGGAGGGGCCAGGTAGTGAATGGAGTGAATGGATTCGAACACGAGTGTGAGGATCTTGAAGTCGATCTGTTTGGTGATGGGGAGCCAGTGGAATCTGGCCAGAACTGGTGAGATGTGGGCACAAAGTTTGGTCCGAGTCAGTATGCGGGCAGCAGAGTTTTGAATGAGCTGGATCTTCCTTGACCTAACAAATATTTATCCACCTCAGTCTTGAAGATAATACTAATAATAATCCTTGCATTTGATATAGCGCTTGTCATGTCGGGAGGACGTCCCAAAGCGCTTCACAGAACACACTGTAAAGTGAATTGACTGTATATTTGTGGGCGAACGCGGCAGCCAATTGCGCACAGTAATGTCCCACAACAGTCGTAGATTGAAAGTGACCAATTTATTATTGTTTTTGGAGGGATTATTATTAGGCGCGTGGATTATTATTAGGCGTGTGGAGTAAAGAAACTTGCCCAAGGTTTCGCCCCCTGCCTGGAATTGAACTCAGGTCTCTCACTTGCAAAGCGAGTGCTCTAACCACTGAGCTACAGGACCAGCCTTTTCGGAGAAAGAGTTCCAGATTTCCACTACCCTTTGGCTGAAAAAAAATGCTTCCTAATTTTACTGCTAAATGGCCTAGCTTTAATTTTAAGATTATGCCTCCTTGTTCTGGATTCCCCTACCAAAGGAAATAGTTTTGTTGTATATCCCCTATCAAATCCCTTTATTATTTTAAAAATCTCAATCAGGCCCCTTCGGGCCCCCACCCCTCTCGAATCCAATTCCCAGCTCAGCGAGAGACCCGAGTTCAATTCCAGGCAGAGGGCGAAACCTTGGGCAAGTTTCCTTACTCCACACAGAGCCTAATAATAATCCCTCCAAAACAAAAAACAATAATAAATTGGTCATTTTCAATCTAAGACTGTTTGTGGGACATTGCTGTGCGCAATTGGCTGCCGCGTTCGCCCACAAATATACAGTCAATTCACTTTACAGTGTGTTCTGTGAAGCGCTTTGGGACGTCCTCCCGACGTGAAAAGCGCTATATCAAATGCAAGGATTATTTTATTTTATTATTTTATTATTATTTATTATGTGCAAACCCTCAACTATACAGAGCCTTCTTACATTCCCCTCCTCCAATCTATGGTCAACAAGTTTCTCCTCACATTCCCTTCCCCCCCATTACTTTGTGATTTGCTAGTTCCATTCCATAAGGAAAGAGGGACCCATTTCGGCAATACTTCGTATTGTTGCACCCAACAACACAATATTACATTTGCACAGCTCCTTTCTCATCACTTTCAGTTTAAAGCAGGCATTATGGCCAGGCAACCGCAACTATAATTTGTTTTATATGAGCTTGTATTTGTATCCATATTTTCAAATATAAAATTTATATAATCATTTACTTCAGTTTTATTCTTAGGCTGGATTTTGTCTTCGGCAATGCTGTCGACAATAGCTTTGTCTTTGGCACTAACTCTGCTACGTAAAGAAAACAGTGGTGGTGTTTCCTCCAGAGGTTGTCTCGTATAAGTCTTATCTTTCTAAATCGTATAAATCGTATAATCCCATTTAGTTCATTAGATCACAGATCTTTCAATCCGATTTCCCCTCCTGTTCTCCATTTCTTATACTCAGTGATATCAGGTTGGCAGTGAATAACAAGAACAACTTGGATTTATACAGCGCCCTTCACGCCGGATGACGTCTTAGAGCGCTTCACAATAACGGATCCCGGGGCCGAGGCAGGGAGAGGGGGAGGAAGGTGACCAAAGGAGCGGTCGAAAACAAAGGTCTTTAGCCGAGATCTGAAAATAGGAAGAGAGGGCGCGAGGAGAAAGGAGTGAGGAAGAGAGTTCCAGAGCCTCGGGGCATAGTGGCTGAAGGCACGGCCGCGGATGGTGGAGCGGAGGATTCGGGGAACAAAGAAGAGGCCAGACCCGGAGAAACAAAGGCAACGGACACTGTTTTGAGGAGAGAGGAGGTCAGAGAGGTAGGGGGGTGCAGAGGAGTGGAGGGATTTGAAGACAAGAGTGAGGATCTTGAAGTCGATCCTCTCAGGGACAGGCAGCCAGTGCAGTCTGGCAAGGACTGGGGTAATCAGGGAGCGGAGTTTGGTGCGAATGCGGGCGGCAGAGTTCTGGATGACATGATTGGTAGTGGATGAGAGACCGGCGAGGAGGGCATTTGAATAGTCCAGCCGAGAGGTGACAAAGGCATAGACTGGGGTTTCGGCTGCTTTTGGGGTGAGATACTGGTGGAGACGGGCGATGCGTCGGAGGTGGAAGAAGTGGTGCTGGTGAGAGACCAGATGTCGGGGAGGAAGGATAATTGGGGGTCGAACCTGATGCCTAGGCTGCGTACTGGTTCGGAGTGTTTTAGGGACAGGTCGGGTAGGTGGAGGAGGTGAGAACCATGCGATTTAAGATGTTGACGAGAGCCAAAGAGTATAGCTTCCGTCTTGTCAACATTCAGCTGAAGGAAATTTGCGCTCATCCAGCTCCTGATGTCTGACAGGCAGGCTGACACAACATCAGGGGACTGGGGAACACAAAGTGAGGTGGAAAAATAGAGTTGGGTGTCGCCCGCATACATGTGGAAGTGTACCTCATGTCTGAGGATGACATCCTCGAGAGGGAGCATATAAATTAGGAAGAGGAGGGGGCCAAGGATGGATTCTTGGGGTACCCGCAGGTAACCGGGTGAGAGCGGAGGAAAAAGCCGTTTGTGGAGATGTACTGCTGGCGGTTTGTGAAGTAGGACTTGAACCAGGTGAGTGCGGTCCCACTGAGGTGGATGAAGTGCTGTGCGCAATTGGCTGCCGCGTTTGCACACAAATATACAGTCAATTCACTTTAGTGTGTTCTGTGAAGCGCTTTGGGACGTCCTCCCGACGTGAAAAGCGCTATATCAAATGCAAGGATTATTATTATTATTATGACGGAGGAAAGGCAGTAGAGGAGGATGGCGTGATCGACTGTGTCGAAAGTGTCGGAGAGGTCCAGGAGGACAAGGAGGCAGAGGGAGCGCTGGTCACAGATATATGATGTCGCTTGAGACTTTCACAAGCGCAGTCTCTGTACTGTGGGTAGGGCGGAAGCTGGACTGGAGGGGTTCGAAGAGGGAGTGGGAGGAGAGGTGTGCGCGGAGTTGATTGGCAACAACTCGTTCTAGGACTTTGGCGAGGAAGGGTAAGTTTGAAATAGGGCAGTAGTGACTGGGGTCTGAGGGATCTAGGGAAGGTTTTTTGAGGAGGGGGATGTTGACAGCAGTTTTGAGGGGAGCAGGGACTGATCCAGAGGAGAGAATGATCTCAAACACCAACAATCTAAAGTCACTGTGGAGAAAGATATTTTAACACGACCCTCCTAAGATCTTCTTATTTTGCTTGCAGGTAAGGTAATTGTCACTGCTTGACGAGTATTAACTGCTTGTTTTTGGTCAGCCGTGTGTCCGACACATGCAGAAACCCATCTCCATGCTTAAGAGTCCATGTGGAGTCCTGTAGCTCAGTGGTTAGGGCACTCGCTTTGCAAGTGAGAGACCTGAGTTCAATTCCAGGCAGGTCAGGGCGAAACCTTGGGCAAGTTTCCTTACTCCACACGCCTAATAATAATCCCTCCAAAAACCAAAAACAATAATAATAAATTGGTCATTTTCAATCCACTGTTTGTGGGACATTGCTGTGCGCAATTGGCTGCTGCGTTCGCCCACAAATATACAGTCAATTCACTTTACAGTGTGTTCTGTGAAGCGCTTTGGGACATCCTCCCGACGTGAAAAGCGCTATATCAAATGCAAGGATTATTATTATTATTATTAAGAGTATCCAAACCAAGCTGAGAATTCCATGTAACCCACATACACATGGAAATCCCAGAGATAGATTGTTGGAATGGAACGCGCACTCTCTTCCTGGAGGGACACATCCCGCTTACCTCATTCCAAGGTATGGGGTCCTCAGCGTGTGCCCCGTTAAGGCTTTGGCTTGCTGGGTCAACAGGTGCTGAGGGGGGTGACTCTCTGCCACCAGTAACTGGTCTGTCCTTCCACGTCCTGCAGATGAGGCAGGCTGGCTGCACTGTCATCAGCAGTGCCCTGGAATACCGTGGACCCACCTGGCTCAGGAACCGAGACCGCCACAGATGGTTGGCTTGATTCCAACATTCTGTTGCCAAACATGTCATCTCGGAGCCATTTCAGCTCCAAGGAGACCCCACTTACTTCCCTCCCCCTTTCCAGAGGATAGTCACTAGTTGGTCATTCGACATCCAACAAACATGGGTTTGAGCTCTCACTAGGTGGATGGTAGTAATAATACTTGCAATTGGTATAGTGCCTTATCATGTCGTTGAGACATCTCAAAGCGCTTCACAGAATATATCATAAAGTGGATTGACTGTGTATTTTGTGGGCTAAACACGGCAGCTAATAGCACACAGCAGCTTCCCGGTGGGCAAAAAAGCTCAGCAGGAAAATGCGTGCGTAAGAGCATTGCCACCATTTTGCTGTCCGCAGGTCGGGCACACATCCCTTCACAATCAGCTATGGCTCCACCAGTTTAAGCAGCATCTGCTTACCTCTCTGCAAGCCGATCAAGGTGGATTCCAGGCACTGGATGTACGAATGCGTGTTCACAAACTCGAACTCCAAGTAACACCTTCCAGCAGCTGTTGCCCCCAAGCCTCAGAGTTTCCTCATCAGCTATCTGGCGGGCATCTGCCTTCAGCGTGGTGGAAGGATCTTTGCACTACAGCTTGTGACGTGCCAGCCACCTTGATGTTTTTGAGCTCCAAATCCAATGCCTCGTACCAGGCTAACTCAGTACCAGCTGCTTAATCCAGGTCCTCGTGCAAGGGACCTTGGCTAACAGACGTGCCGCTGTGAAGCCATCTCCGCCTCCAGTGTGCTTAGCAACAGGTTAGTGTAGACAGAACCCTCCCAACCTCCCTGCGGCCACCACCAGCGTTTGCCACAGATCTTGATCCTGGACGCTGCAAATAATCCCCGATTCTCAGTCCAACCACCAACTGGAACATGGACTCCAAACAAGGCACTTTTTGCCACCTCCAATGCTTATGCAAAGGCAATTTACAACAATGCAACAAAATAGTTACACCTGTCCAGCAGCATCAGGTTCCTGAATCGGAATATTTGCACAAGAAGATCTGAGACCAAATGAGCAATAGAACATGTACTGTCCTACAGAGCAGCCACAAGGACCACAGCCCCAGGAAAGCACTGAACCCTTGGACACGCTCCTTGCAGTCTTAACCCAAATGTCCTGGAATGACCTGCGAATGCACTGAACTGGGAAAGACCTACTTCACCACCCAACCAAATGCAATGTAAACCCTGGTACAGGCTCAACTGGGGGTGGAAAAAAAAAGTCGCATTTGACTTAAACGTCTGCAAATAAGGAGGTGGATTCGGGGAAAGGAGGTGGAAAAAAAAGCTGTGTTCAAAAAGCAGCTCTCGAGGCAGAGAGTAACGGGGGAGGGAGGAGAGAGGGGGGAGGAGGAGAGAGGGGGGGAGGGAGAGAGGGGGAGGGAGGAGAGAGGGGGGAGGGAGGAGGGAGGGGGGGAGAGGGGGAGGGAGGGAGGGAGCAGAGAGGGGGGAGGGAGAGAGGAGAGAGGGGTGAGAGGGAGGAGAGAGGAGGGAGGGAGGAGGAGGGAGGGAGCAGAGAGGGGGGAGGGAGGGAGGAGAGAGGGGTGAGAGGGAGGAGAGAGGAGGGAGGGAGGAGGAGGGAGGGAGCAGAGAGGGGTGAGAGGGAGAGAGGAGGGAGGGAGCAGAGAGGGGGGGGAGGGAGGAGAGAGGGAGAGAGAGGGGGAGCGTTTCCCCAGGTCTGGGTTGGCCTACGCGAGCCTCGCAGCCGCAGAGCGCGGGACGTGCATCTAACGGACCAAAGCGGGAGCAGAGCAGAGCAGGTGGTTGGTGGCTGTGACTCCTCCCGCAGCAGCTCCAGCCCGGGCTCTGTGTCCCTGTCGGTGTGGCTGGAGGCCGGAGGCCGGAGCCGCCCCGTCACTGCTGCTGTTGTTGTTGTTGTGGTGGTGGTGTCTGTTTGTCTTGTGACTGGAGGCTGCGCGCGCCTCCAGCCTCCGCTGGTGGTGGTGGTTGTTGTTGTTGTTGAGCCCGGGCTCCCGTGATTGACAGCCTCGCGTTCCAGTGAGCGGGCCGGTGGGGGCGGGGCTCCCGCTCCGACAACACTCAGGAGGCCCCGCCCCCGTCACGCACACACACTCACTCTCAGCCCCGCCCAGTGACTGTGACACACACTCTCAGCCCCGCCCAGTGACTGTGACACTCACTCTCAGCCCCGCCCAGTGACTGTAACACACTCACTCTCAGCCCCGCCCAGTGACTGTAACACACTCACTCTCAGCCCCGCCCAGTGACTGTGACACACTCACTCTCAGCCCCGCCCAGTGACTGTGACACTCACTCTCAGCCCCGCCCAGTGACAGTGACACTCACTCTCAGCCCCGCCAGTGACTGTGACACTCACTCTCAGCCCCGCCCAGTGACTGTGACACTCACTCTCAGCCCCGCCCAGTGACTGTAACACACTCACTCTCAGCCCCGCCCAGTGACAGTAACACACTCACTCTCAGCCCGCCAGTGACTGTGACACTCACTCTCAGCCCCGCCCAGTGACTGTGACACTCACTCTCAGCCCCGCCCAGTGACAGTGACACTCACTCTCAGCCCCGCCCAGTGACTGTGACACTCACTCTCAGCCCCGCCCAGTGACTGTGACACTCACTCTCAGCCCCGCCCAGTGACTGTGACGTGGTTACATCGCGCGGCTCCAGCGCGCGGTGACGCTGTGCGCGGTGACGCTGTGCAGTGCAGCGCTGCGGATGGCGGCGGCTCCCGCGGTGATCCGCAGGTTAGAGGAGGCGGTGGTGAACAGGATCGCGGCGGGTGAGGTGATCCAGCGGCCCGCTAATGCCATCAAAGAGATGGTGGAGAACAGGTGGGGCCCACACTGCACACAGCCCCCTGCACTGTACACAACACTGCACACAGCCTCCTGCACTGTACACAGCACTGCACACAGCCTCCTGCACTGTACACAGCACTGCACTGTACACAGCACTGTACACAGCCTCCTGCACTGTACACAGCACTGTACATAGCTTCCTGCACTGTACACAGCACTGTACACAGCCTCCTGCACTGTACACAGCGCTCACACAGCCTCCTGCACTGTACACAGCACTGCACACAGCCTCCTGCACTGTACACAGCACTGCACTGTACACAGCACTGTACATAGCTTCCTGCACTGTACACAGCACTGTACACAGCCTCCTGCACTGTACACAGCGCTCACACAGCCTCCTGCACTGTACACAGCACTGTACACAGCCTCCTGCACTGTACACAGCGCTCACACAGCCTCCTGCACTGTACACAGCACTCACACAGCCTCCTGCACTGTACACAGCGCTGACACAGCCTCCTGCACTGTACACAGCGCTGACACAGCCTCCTGCACTGTACACAGCGCTGCACACAGCCTCCTGCACTGTACACAGCGCTCACACAGCCTCCTGCACTGTACACAGCACTCACACAGCCTCCTGCACTGTACACAGCACTGTACACAGCCTCCTGCACTGTACACAGCGCTGACACAGCCTCCTCCACTGTACACAGCGCTGTATACAGCCTCCTGCACTATACACAGCACTGTACACAGCCTCTTGCACTCTACACAGCCTCTTGCACTGTACACAGCGCTGGCACAGCTTCCTGCACTGTACACAGCGTTGACACAGCCTCCTGCACTGTACACAGCGCTGACACAGCCTCCTGCACTGTACACAGCGCTGACACAGCCTCCTGCACTGTACACAGCACTGTACGCAGCCTCCTGCACTGTACACAGCGCTGACACAGCCTCCTACACTGTACACAGCGCTGTACACAGCCTCCTGCACTCTACACAGCACTGTACGCAGCCTCCTGCACTGTACACAGCGCCAACACAGCCTCCTGCACTGTACACAGCACTGTACACAGCCTCCTGCACTATACACAGCACTGTACACAGCCTCCTGCACTGTACACAGCGCTGTACACAGCCTCCTGCACTGTACACAGCGCTGACACAGCCTCCTGCACTGTACACAGCGCTGTACACAGCCTCCTGCACTGTACACAGCGCTGACACAGCCTCCTGCACTGTACACAGCGCTGTACGCAGCAGGAGTTTTTTAAAAAAAGTTTCCAATTGGGTTTAATTTTAAAAAGCCTCAAAACAGACTGCTCAACAGTCTCTTTCAAAACTGAGGTGGCAACACTGATCCCTGTGTGAAATAAAAATTTAGGGATACCACTTCATCCCTCATCGTTACCCAGATTGAAAATTAAAAGTTATTTTCTATATATTGACACACAGTAAAAGCCTCTTCAAAGTTCCATTTCTTAATAATAATAATAATATTCCTCACACTTCCTGTCGCGCCTTTCACATTGGGAGGATATGAAAGAATGGCCTCCTGACGTGAAAGGTGTATACAAATGTAATTTGTTGTTGTTGATACCTTGTGGGAATGTAAGTTGAGAAGGAATGAAAAGGATTAATATGCTCAGTTTCAGAATACTAATAATTCCCTGGTTCATAATGTCCAGAATCCTTCACACTGTGGCCATTGACCATTCTAGTACATGATGGGATTGTTTATCTGATACCAGACGCTGATTTGCAGAACTAATCACTGGACTAGATTTAGATTTAAGGAATAAGCTCAGTGGTTAGTGCACTCGCTTTGCAAGCGAGAGACCTGAGTTCAATTCCAAGCACAGGGCGAAACCTTGGGCAAGTTTCCTTACTCCACACGCCTAATAATAATCCCTTCAAAAACAAAAAACAATAATAGATTGGTCATTTTCATTCTACGACTGTTTGTGGGACATTGCTGTGCGCAATTGGCTGCCGCGTTCGCCCACAAATATACAGTCAATTCACTTTACAGTGTGTTCTGTGAAGCGCTTTGGGACCTCCTCCCGACGTGAAAAGCGCTATATCAAATGCAAGGATTATTATTATTATTATTATAATGAAGTTATGGATGCCTAAATGTTTAAGATTTGGGAAAAACAGAAGACGGACACAGACATCTCAGGAGAAGGTCAATGAGTACGTGACATTGGTTAGACCGCACTTAGAACACTGAGTGCAGTTCTGGTCCCCACATTATAGAAGGGATATAGAGGCACTGGAGAGGGTGCAAAGGAGATTCACAAGGACGATCCCAGAACTGAGAGGTTATACCTATCAGGAAAGGCTGAACATACTTGGACTCTTCTTGAAAAGAGGAGGTTAAGGGGTGACCTGATAGAGGTCTTTAAAATGATGAAAGGTTTTGATAGGGTAGACATAGGGAAGATGTTTCCACTTGTGGGGAGACCAAAACCAGGGGCCATCAATATAAAACAGACACAAATAGATCGAATAGGGAAGTTAGAAGAAATTTCTTTACACAGAGAGTAATAATAATCCTGGAATGTGGTACCACAAGGAGTTGTTGAGGCAAATAGTATGGATGTATTTAAGGGAAAGCTGGAGCTAGAGTACATGAGGGAGAAAGGAAGAGAAGGTTATGCTTGAAGGCTTAGTTGAGGAAGAGCAGAAGGAGCTCATGTGGAGCATACAACAACAACAACAAGATTCCTTTTATTGAGCGCCTTTCACGTCGGGAGGACGTCCCAAGGCGCTGCACAGTTGGGTCAGGACCCGAGCAAGGGGGAAATGGTCAGGGTGAGGGGAGGGAAAGGAGGGAGCGAGGAGGGGGGAAATGGTCAGGGTGAGGGGAGGGAAGGGAGGGAGCGAGGAGGGGGGAAATGGTCAGGGTGAGGGAGGGAAGGGAGGGAGCGAGGAGGGGGTAGAGAGTCGAGAGGGAGCTGAAGGCTCGGTCAAAGAGAAAGGCCTTGAGACCGGCCTTGAAGGAGGAAAGGGAGGAGGCAAGGCGAGCATAAACACCGGTATAGACCAGTTGGGCCGAATGGCCTGTTTCTGTGCTGTATATTCTAATGTATGAATAGTACATACATAAGAGCCATCCACACTATGATAAATAAGTCACGTATAAAAGGGCTAAAGAGTCTGCACTTGAGCTGAAAACCAGAATTGACAGACCAATCTCCGGCAGCCACCAGAACATGCATGTGTTATTTGTCTTTTTGTTCTGTACTATTAGCTAATGCAGTTTAAATGATTGTATTAAGTTTCTCCTGTATGAAGTCTTATCAGGTCTAAATAAATTGGACTGGTTCAGTCTCATATTTGTTTGAGAACCCAGCGATCCCAAAGTGCTTCATCCTATACTGTGTTCCATGCTGCACTGGAGCAAACTGTGACTTTAAATCTTCATCCTCATTAAGGGGATTGTGAAGGTAATGGCTACTTTTCTAGAAAGCCAGGAAGCAGGTGAACATATCCTGATTATATTTAAATGGTCTCTGTGTGTATAATCTTTATAGATAGATTATTGCTCATTTTATTTTGTTTATACAATGTATTTATAATGATGGAATACCCAGTAAGGAAAATGTAAAATGTAGAATTTGCTCAAATTATGAGAAAGTCCTTGACAGCACACAGGTGGGACTAACGTGTGACTTTTTCTGTATTCTGCATTTTCTTCTTGTCCTTGTCTTTCATAGTCTGTGGCAGTGAAACAGTGTTTACTGAATTAGACTTATTGTGCATAGCTAATTCTGTCTTAAAAGTCATTTCATTTTGAGTGGCTGCATGTTTAAATTACTGTTTAATCTCACAAATGCATGTTTAGGTGTCAGCTTTGCTCAGTTGGAAGCACTCTGGCCTCTGAGTCAACAACAACAACAACAACTTGTCTTTATATAGTGCCCCTCACACAAGGTAGCAACCCAGAGTCAGAAGATAATGACTTCCAAGCACCATATGTCAACTTTGAACTCACCACCTAGACTGACACTCGTGTGGTGCTGAGGAAGCGTCACATTGCTGGAGGTGCCAGCCTTCAAGGTCCCATCTGCCTGTTTATGTGGGTATTAATGATACCACGGAAAGAGGGGGAAGCTTCTCATGGTGACCGGGCCAACAATCCCTTAGAGTTCATCCTGCGCTTTACAGTAAAATCGCATGAAGTGCTTTGAGATGTTTCAATGACGTGATAAGGCGTGTAAAGCTTCTTATGTGCATAAAAAAGCTCATTATTGACTGAGGAATAGAGCTTCTGGTACCTTACTTGTGTCTTGTGCCTGTTATTTTAGAAGTGGTGAAACAATATCAGTAACTCACTGATATTGAGTTCTCTAATAACTTTGCACTTATAGAGCAGCTAACAGGCTAACAGGTAGGATGAATGTCTTGAAGCACTTCACAGAGGTGATAAGCTGTAGCGAGGAAGGCAAATAAGGATCATTACAATACAATTAACTTTTATTTGGCAGCAATAGTTAGAGGCAAGGATGGGAGAATAGAGCTTGAATAATCATAATCCTTGCATTTGATGTTGAGCCTTTTCAAGTTAGGAAAATGTCCCAAAGAGCTTCACATGATTTACTGTAAAGTGAAGTAACTGCATATTTGTAAGCAAACATAGAAGCCCAGTTGCGCACAGCAATGTCCCACAAACAATCATGAAATGAATGACCAGTTTTATCTGGAGGATCGTTGGCCAGGAAACTCCCTTTTCAAGAAGCCAAGATCACCATTGTATCTTCAACTTCAACCAGAAGATGAGTGTTTCATGGATTGAAGCAAAGCTAGGGTTGTACCCTATATCTTCCACTATACTATATATTTGATATAACTCAATCCAGTTCTGTGAAATTAATTTCATCTTGTTTTTACTGTATAATTACCTTGAAATGCTGACTTTTAATGTTGTTCTTTGTTGACAGTCTGGATGCTAAAGCTACGAGTATTCAGGTCACCGTAAAGGAAGGTGGACTAAAGCTGATTCAGATCCAGGATAATGGCACTGGGGTCAGGGTAAGATTGTTTCTCAAAATAATTTTTACAACTCTTGTTGTGAAAGCTCACATGTCATGACTGTACACTGATGAGAATGCACACATTGAAGACCCATATTATTACAGTCATAATCGTGAATTCATTCACCATTGTTCTTCAATTTCCTACCAACGGAAGGAGTTTTTTCACAATTTATTTTCTCAAGTGCTTTCATTCCCTTAAATATTTGTAAATGTTATCGTAATAATAATAATCTTTGCATTTGATATAGTTCCTTATCACGTCTTCGAGACATCCCATATTCACAGAATATACTGTAAAGTGAATTGACTGTGTATTTTGTGGGTGAACCACAGCAGCCAATTGAGCATAGCAGTGTCCAACAAACAGACTTGGATTGAGTGACCAATTTTTTAAAGGAATTATTGGGTTGCTGGGTACTATACAGTACTGGATTACCAGACAAGCCTTCCATCTCCAGGACTGGAGATTGAATCCAGTCAGGAGTGAAGGGATGAATGTCAGTAAGGTCCTTTGTGAAATAAATTTGTAAACTCTCACTCCAACTCCTGATGAGCATAGGCTCACAGTAGAACATTGTCTCCAATTCAGCAGCAACTGTCCACCTCATTGAAAGGTCACAGGATGGCTGGTGTGCAAAATGGAAGACATTGGGGAGTGCTTTTATGAAATCAAAGTTCAAGGACATTAAGGGTTCAGGCACGTTGAGGTAACAAAACAAAGGAAGCTTGGCTCTGTACTCTACTGTATTGTACCTGACCTGGGAGTGTCTGATGTTTACATGGGTGTCTGAAATGGCATTTTGAATTGCTAAGATCCCTCATCCTAATGAGAAGGAAAAAAATCACCAAAAGAGAAGATACTAATAATCTAGCCTTGCTATTCTATGTAATTTTGTACGATTATCATCTTCTGTACCTTCTTCCCTCACCCTCCAGCTTTACTTTTCCTGTTTTCTGTGCTACATTTCATTCCACAGCAGTGTTTCGTATAATTGTTTTCACTTTATATGCAATATCAGTCAGCCAAGTATGAAAATACTCCCTGATGTCTGTGTTACAATTTCCCTTCACAACCAATGAACCTCTTATCCTGCGTTGTTCTATTTGAAAGTCCTGTTCTGGGCTTTCTGCCTCTATCCCATTTAATCCTTACATACTTCTATCAGGTTCCTTCTGAGGTGATTAGGAAGCTTGAGTTTTTACTAAATTCACAGGAGAGCTTCTCACTAACCCATCTATAATTGTTTGAAATTAGAAGTTATTGAATAATTTTTCAAACATCAAATTCTCTATTAATTCTGTTAACTTATCTTGTTATTAACAAACAGAAGGAAGATTTGGAAATAGTTTGTGAGAGGTTTACCACCAGCAAGCTACAGAAGTTTGAAGATCTTACTACAATTGCGACTTATGGATTTAGAGGAGAGGTATGTGTGGACGTCAGCTACCTATACATATACGTACATTCTTGTGATCGTATTACTGAATGAATGTAGCAGAATAAGAAATTCAAAATGTCCAGCACCTTCAGAAATACAATACAATGCAAAGTTACATTTATATAGCACCTTTCATGTCAGGAGGACACCCCAATGCACTTAACAGCGCATTGGGATGGCAACCGAGCTGGGGGTGTGAACTGAAATGTAGAGATGAGGCAGGCAGGAGCTTAAGTATGTGGAAAGAGTTTATTATTTAAAAATGTTCTAATGGGTTCTAATGTTTTAACTCCATTCCAGTCTATATAGACATCGTCTCATATCCATTGCAATGACACCTGGAATACAGCAAATACATAGAAACCCGGAGCAGCCTTAACCTGACTGGGTCTCACAGAAATAAAATTGAAAGGGTTGACAGTGAAGTTGCATGATAGACCGGCATAGCTCTTGTCCTCCACCACTATCTGTAGGCTGTAGACAACAGTGTGTTATAGAGATCCATTGTCTCACTTGATGAGAGCTAACTTTCTACAGTTGAACATCAACAAGACCGAGGCTCTCCTGATTGGCTCCGGTCAGCACCTCCACACCTCAGGCACTGACAGTATCACCATCCATAGTTGTACACTCCACCTCACTGAGCCGGTCCGGAACCTTGGTGTCTTCTTTGACCCTCAACTACCCTTTCTACCCCACATCCATGCCATGACCCACTCTACCTTCCCCCACCTCCACAACATTGCCCGACTCCACCACTGCTTCACCCCTCAGGCCGCCAAAACCCTCATTCATACATTCATCACATTTAGGCTCAACTACGCCAATTCCTTGCTTGTTGGCCTTCCTAACTCTTCCCTCCACAAGCTGAAGATCATCCAAAACTCTGCAGCTGGTGTCCTCTCCTGCACCAGGCCCAGTGACCCCATCATCCTCGCCCGAATCCACTGGCTCCCTGTCCCCCAGAGGATAGAGTTCAGAATCCTTGTCCTCACCTTCAAGGCCCTCCACGGCCTTGCCCCCTCCCTACCTCTGCGACCTGCTGACTCCATATCAATCTGTCCACTCTCTCCGTTCAGCAGGCTCTGGGCTCCTCCACGTCCCCCACCCAGCCTGCCCCAACACCACCACCAACAACAACAATAAGATTACATTTGTATAGCGCCTTTCACATCGGGAGGACGTGCCAAGGCGCTGATTGGCGCCTTGGGACCAATCAGGTCCAACCACCATTGGCGGTTGGGCCTTCAGCCTCTCTGCCCCTGCCCTCTAGATCTCCATCCCACATTCCCTTTGCCCCACTCCCTCCCATGCTTCCTTCAAGACGCGTCGCAAATCCCTCCTTTTCGACTGAGCCTTTGGCCACCCTCCTACCCTCCTGCCGTCTACTCTTCCCGACCCCCAGCTCAGGTCCAAATCCCTGATTGTCCAGTGCCTCGGGATGTCCTCTCGATGGGAAAGGTGCTATACAAATGTAATTTTGTATTATATTGTGACTGGGTTCCACTGTATTTGCACATACGTAGGACCTTATATATAGGTAATGCCTCTATAAAGCGCTTTATAGGAATGGTGTTTGAGCCCAAGCAGGTTGGAGATAGTGGGAGTAGGAGGCAGACGACCAAAGGGCCAGTTAAAGTAGGATTTTCAAAGGATATTGAAAGAGAAAGAGAGTTCCAGAAAACAGGAGGAAGGAGGCTGAGAGCTGCCCACCAATGGCAGGGTGGAGGGGGGAACGGGGGACACGTAGCAGATTTAGCGGAGAGGTTGGGCAGAGGAGTAAAACCACCGGAGATCGCAGAAGTAGGGTTAGGCACAGGGGGTAAAGGCATTTCAAAGTCGGAATGAGGATCTGTAAGTCAGTGCACTGGGATATAGAGAAGCAGTGGAGCCTGCCGAAGGTGGGGTTGATGTGTCAAAAGAGAATCACTTTGGGTTTGCAAACCCCAGCAAGAACTTCAAAACCTGTGAATTCTTCTAAAATGGGACTTTCTCTCCTAAGGGTATTTCAATGCTTTTTGCTATTGTTCCTGTGTTGTATGTTTTTAGCTACATTATTTAACTTTGTTTTGTTAAACAAATCTTTTTCTGGTTCGATGTTTTTTGAATGTATCACTGAGGTAATGCTTACAAAACAGACATAGCCATTGAAGGCCATCGCTGAATCATGTTATTTGTCAGGCTTGGCGGTGCTGACTGCAATAGGACAATTGTGTATTTAATTTAAATCGAATCGTTGACTCGGAAATTTTTGAGCCTTTGTGTGGTTCAGGTCTCCCAAGAAAATCGAGCTCACATCGAGACAGTTAAAATTAACTTTCAAAACTTTTATATGGCAGTTTGCACGATACAGAAAGGTATAGAACAACAAATTACATTTGTATAGCGCATTTCACGTCGGGAGGAAGTCTCAAGGCGCTGGACAGTCAGAGATTTGGACCTGAGCTGGTGGTTGGGATCAGAACGGTGGAGGCCGGGGAGGGTAAGGGTAAGAGGTTGACCGAAGGTCGAAGAGGAGGGTCTTAAGACGGTCCTTGAAGGAGGCAAGGGAGTGAGCGAGGCGAAGGACCTGGGATGGAGTTTCAAATGGTGGGGGCAGAGAGGCTGAATTTATAATTACCAATCCGGAGAACAGAATTTTCAGTTGCAGGAGTTTTCTTCTTTTCTTTCTGGGTCCATTCCAACTTTAGGCTGGAGGCAACAGGTTTTGTTCCTCTCCTACTGTTAGACTTGACATTGCTCTGCTTTGCTCTTGGCTGAACTCAAATCTAAAGGCAAATTTCAAACAGCAGGGCTGGTGCAATAATGGAACCAAGGAATGTATCAATACCTGTTGCCTCCCCTCGACTGGCTCTGGCCTCCTGTTTGTCCCTCGTGCCCTCCATTCCACCATCGGAGTTCATGCTTTCAGCCACTACGCCCCGAAACTCTGGAACACTCCCTCAATCCCTCCGCCTTACCCCCTACCTCCCCATCTTCAGGTCGCGTCTAAAGACCTTCTTCTTCGACCATTCTTATGGTCACATTCCTCTGCCTCGGAACAGTTGTAGATTATTCTGACAGACAGAAATTCTTGAACTGATGCAGACTACCACTGTTAATGACTTAATAATTTATGTTGTTGATTTTTCTGAAAATTTCCTTTGAGCTGTGATAATAATGTGACATTAACTGGTTGGCTCAGGGGTGTAGTGAAATCCTGAGCGGCTTTATTAATGTACTCTACTTCCTTATTCACAGGCTCTTGCAAGCATAAGCCACGTGGCACACTTAACCTTAACAACCAAAACTGCTGATGGAAAATGTGCATACAGGTAAGAGGCTTTATGAATGACATGCACACAATTTCTTTCAATTTCATCTGTTTACCTCTCATTTCTGCCTTTTGTTTTTGGTGGTAAGGGTATAAAATTCCTTTGTGCTCCCTGTACAAGAAGATAGCGGGTTTCAAAGTTGAAACGAGTTGCTAAGAACCTGCTAAGGCCCTCTCAATATACTTTTCACCTGTAACATTGACAGAACATCATGCAGAGCACTGCAAATAAGAATGTAGGGCAAATCCATTATAACCCCCTTTTCTCCCCTCCGCACCCCCTATTATAGCGTGGGTTTGTTTCTAGCATAGTGGCCTGGGAACTCGTCCTAACCAGAAGTGAGGTACACCTGCTATCTGACACAGATTAACCCGCTTCCCACTCCAAAATGTGGCTGACTTCTGGGTCTTCGGGTCACTGCTGATGGCTGTATATACACAGGAAGTGACGTCAGCTCATATCTGATGGCTCGAAGGAAACCACTTTTTCCCCACTTTGTTTGTTACGTGGCCATGGGAATATTGGACCCACCAACAGCTTTATAATCAGGCTGATTATTTATTTTTATATATGTTGGCACACCATACTTATCATTTTTCCTACTCACTGCTAAAGTTTCTCTGTCAAATTATCAAAATTTAGCATTCTTTTATTTCATAGCTTTTCATTGTCGGAAATGGCACCTGCAGTTTCTGTTAAAATTTATGTTTCAGTCCTCCGCATTGGACAGTATAGAGACTGCATTCTTGGGGAGTGAAGAGGGACTCGGATACCAGTTTGCTCGCTTGCCAAGCCAAATTTTGTGTTAATATATTTTTTTCTTTGTTGCTCAGGGCTAGTTACTGTGATGGACAATTAAAGGCTCCTCCAAAACCATGTGCTGGAAACCAAGGCACACAGATCGCAGTAAGGAAACTTTATCTTCCCAGTTATATCTTTACTGTAAAGGATGCGCAGTCTTTGGGAAACTATCCACTTTGGATGGGATCCAAAGCATTCAACCGTGTTATATACAAAGTCTAAAGAAATGTGCCCTTCCCAGTCATCAGCTCTGCTGTGCAAAAACAATGTATAGGAAATGATTTCAGTAACACCTAAAGACCAGTTCAAAGACAAAGCGTGTTCATCTACCAATCACACACTGTATAGTAAATTCTTTGAAAGGCTTTGAGACATCTCAACAATGAGATAAGGCACTATCTCAAATGTCAGGACTATTATTTTATTTGCATTCCAGAAATAACAATAATTGGAGTGCCTTTCACATAGAGAGAATGTCTCAAAGCTCATTACAAAGATTGAGCAAGAGCTCGAGATGCAAGGGAGATATTTTGTCATTTTGCAAGTGTACAAGGAAGTAACGATGAATATTTGGGATAATTTTATATGAGCGTCCAGTCCCAAGGCTACACAATAAGCTAACCTCATAGAGATGCTTTTTTAGCTTCTGTCAGCCTGGCGCTCACCTCTGAGTCAAAAGTTTGTGGGTTTAAGCCCACGTCAGGACTTGAACTCACATAGTTTAATCTGACACTCCAGTGCAGTGCTAGAATATGTTGCATTGTTGGAGATGCTGTTCTTAAAATGAGACGTTAACCTGAGGCTCAGGTTCAGGTGGTTGTTAAAGATCCCACAGCACTGTACAAAAAAAAGAAGTTTCTCCCAGTGTCCCGGCCAGCAGTCTCCCAAATAAAATTGGGCATTCACTTCATAGCTGGAACATTACTGTCCACAAAGTAGCTGCTGCGTTTGCCCACAAATATACAGTCACTTCACAGTAAATCCTGTGAAGAGCTTTGAGACATCCTCGCAACGTGAAAGGCACTATACCAATGAAAAGATAATGATGATTATGGGTTCCACTGTATAAATTACAGACTCCAGCTCAATCTATTTTCAAACAGCTTTAGTTCAATCCATTTTCAGAGCAGAGTTTTCATGAGTCGGGGTGATGTGGGTGCTTCCAGTCACTTAAGAAATACCACTAAAAATGGAGTGAAACTTTTATGTATTATTGTTCCCAACTCACACACAAATCCCCTGTTTTAAACCAAGGAATTCACATCAAAATTTAAGTTATTTTTCCTTTGTTTTTAATCATTTCCAGAGATGACCACCAAACGCTGTGTGTCGAATTTGGCCCATGGCCTAGGGTCTGGTCAGTAAACAAAAAAATAAATGTCATTGTGGCCTGTTGGTGGAGAGCCAGATTCGGTTTCTGAGATGCCCAAGAATAGCGCATAGCTAATAGCTTCACAACCCCTGCCTCCCCAGCCTAGGTCACTGGGCTATTTGTAATACTTCAAACTACTGACCTGGCTGAGATCAAGTAAAGGACCAACCTGGTTATAATTTGAGGCTGAATGATCTAGTTTTACATTAAAGATGCGTTTCAAAAAACACAGCAGACTGTGGTGTCACAGCCTGAAATAACAGATCCTTAATAATAATAATCCTTGCAGTTGATATAGTTCCTTGTCACGTAATTGAGTCGTCTCAAAGCGTTTCATAGGATATATTGTAAAGTGGATTGACTGTATTTTGTAGGCGAAACACGGCAGCCAATTGCACACAATGGTGTCCCAAAAATAGCCATGGAGTGAGTGCCTAATTTTATTTTGGGGCTTGTTGGCCAGGAACTGGGAGAGAGAAACTCCCTTCTCTTTTAGAATAGTGACATGGGATCTTTAGCCCATCCTGCATATCGAGCCTTTTCTACTGTTCTATTAGATCTTGGCAGATCTTTTAATCCTAGTGCCCCACCATCTCACTCTACCCCTTAATAGTTCTACCGCTCAACTTGTTTAATTATCTTTTAAACATCCCTATTGATTCCGTGTCTGTTCTTTCCGGGGTAGAAAGTTCCTCATCTTCACAACGCTCAGAGGCACAAAATGCTGCTTTGTGTTTGCAGGTGGAGGATCTCTTCTACAACATTAACACACGAAGGAAAGCTCTGAAGAATCCCAGTGAGGAATATGCTAAAATTGTAGAGGTTATGAGCAGGTAGGTAGGATAACAGGAATGTCCCAAGTAAACAGGCACTATATAACTTGCAAGGATTGTTATTATAATTTGTCTCCTGCTCTTTATTTGTTTATCTATATCTTTCTTATATCTTTTGATATCTTTCCGAAAGAGGAAATTGAGGGGAACCCGTTATTTTTCAAGACGGCTAATTCAAGAGTTCAAGTGTTTATTTATAACTTGATCTACACGTCCAGATCAGATCCGAATTTAATGTTAAATGCCCTGTACATTTTTGCAGGACAAAGAACTTCAACCTGGGAGTTTGTATTTAGCAAGTAGTGCTTGCACTAAGCTCCAAGATGCTACCCCAGGTGAACTGAGCTATATACAGTAAATACAAGTTGTTGTTACCGGACGGACCATTATGCGGCGAGATAGGTAGACGTGAAAATTCCACATTAATACATCCTGTGCTGTATTTTTTAAAACGCATCTTTAATGTAAAACTAAATCATACAGCCTCAAATTATAACCAGCTTGGTCCTTTACTTGATCTCAGCCAGGTCAGTAGCTTGAAGTATTACAAATAGCCCAGTGACCTGGGCTGGGGAGGTGGGGGTTGTGAAGCTATGCAGTGATCCTGCTGGAAGATACATGTGGATGGATAGCAGCTAAAGACAGATTTAGAGTTGGTGTAATATGCCTCCCTCCCTCCCCCATCAATATCCTTGCAAACCTCACTTTTTTTGTTGAGAGTTTTGAGATTTACAATAATCCATACATTTGGTATAGGGACTTTCATGTCTGGGGATGTTGTTGGAAAATAAAATCAGCCATAATCCGTTTGCAACCAGATATCTGACTGTTTAATTATTATTCGTTCGTTATTCCCCAATATCCCGATGGGTCAGACCAAAGGCCGGTACAATCAACAGATCTTATAACAGAATAATACCACAGTAGATATCTCGAGTGCAACACTGTGTCTTTACAACACACAAGTTTGATTCTTCATGCTTTCAGTCTTCTTGCTTACAGCTTTCAATCTTCCATCTGATATCCTCAGTCTTAGTGTTTCTAGCTCTCAGTCTTCCATCTCCCGTACCCTTGTCTCCGCGACCCGGGATGGCCCCATCTCCCGTACCCTTGTCTCCGCGACCCGGGACGGCCCCGTACACAAAGTTATGGGAACTCTTATACCGATGTTCGTCCAATCATGGTGCGGACCTTAGATCACCTGTCAAAATCATGCTGGGTTCACGTGAGCACCTCATGGGGTGTACGTGCCTCAGCGCACATACACATTGTCCTTAAGACCCCTGTTATCTGATCTAATTGTCTAAGATAGAGGATTGATCAGTTTAGAGCTGTATCTGGTGCTCATTATTTTGTAGTGTGGGATCATTAGTATATTCCTTTTAAGTGACTGGTTATTTCTTATCAGGATCCCGGGATGGTACCAAGGTCCTCTAGTTTAAGCAACTTGCTCATTAGTTTCTATTCTTGAGGGTTGCCTTCTGTCGGTTGGCCCTGTCAGAATCTAGCGACTTATTACTCAGTCGAGATCCCCTGCCCCTGTCTGTTATTCTTTCAAAAACAGAGAAAACCAGATGTGTCCTATCCCATGACTGTCAGTCCAGTTGTCTCCCACACTTAACTTAAAAGTTAACCCATTCACAACATCTATTATGATTCTAGCAATATACAAAAAGTGTATATTCTAACAATGTCCCAAAGCACTTCAAAGAATATGCAGTAACGTGGAGTGTCTGTGTGTTGTGTAGGCCAATGCGGCAGCCAATTTACACAGCAATGATGAATGCCTTTGTTTTTACGTATAAAGACAACATATTTACGCTCACAATTGAAGAATGTCGGCCACTTGGCAAGATACTGAAGGTTGACTGTATTTCAGCACTGGGAAATATTACACCAGCTTCAATACATAACATTTCAAAAGGGATTAAGGGATACGGAGAAAAAACAGGGAACTGGGATTAAAAATATAAAGAACTGCTAATATAAAATTAGCTAGCACAATAAGCACTGGAGGGTGAGTGGCCTACTCCTGTTTCTGTGTAGAGAAAGGAGACAATTGGAGCTTGGAAATATATTTTATGAAATAATAAAGTATATCTGTTGCATTTGTTCATTCATCATGTTCCATAAACTTTTCTTTGTAGGTATGCTATTCACAATTCAGGGGTGAGCTTTGCTGTGAAGAAGGTGGGTATTGAACGATGAACCGGATCTTGTTCGTACTGAAATGTCTGAGTTGAGAGTTCAGGCTGGTCCCTGCTAAAGAGGAATCCCCAATTTTTGTTTCCTTTCTGGACAAATGACTGGACTTGAGGTGTGCCTAACATGGAATTTCCAAAAACTTAAGCGTTCACTGACAAATTGGTACATTTCCCAACGGGGAGAAAATTTCCCTTTCCCGCAGATGTTTCCTGAGGCTTTAACGGCAAATGCACAGGCAAAATTACAGAGTGCGACAGGCACCATAATAATCCAAAATGCCATTGTAAAGTACAGTGGTCCAATGTTCTTCATGAAGTGACACTGAAACACCTTTCAGTTCAGAAACAAACAGAGTGACAACTAGTGGAAATCAAGATTACAATTGCAAATGGTTTGGGACTGTTTTCGGTTCCAACCATTGTGTGAGAGCGAAGTGGCTCTGAACTGAAAGTACGGTGGTAATTATCACATTGAATGTGCTATGAAACATTGCATTTTCCCCCCATTGGCTCTGGTTTGTTGCTGCAAGGTGCTCTTCTGAGATTGAGGAGAAGGGGCTTTATTGGGGTGGGTGGGGGGCAGGGAAAGAGAAAAGTTGGGGAAGAGTTACTTTGACCTATTGTGTTTGATGTGGGTATTGGATGCAAAAGAAATGTGATTTCCCAGCGGTGAATATTGCACATTCACCCCAAAAAAATCACTGGATTTTACAGTTTGTCCTAATAATCATCCATACGGTCTCAATTACTTTAGGGTGGCATGAACTTACTTTCTCCAGAACAACTTTATCTCTAATTTTTTTTTGGTGGGGTTTGAAAAGTTGAATGTTGATAGCAGTGTTTGAAATGTTAATAATGAGTGTTTGTTGTGTTCTGTCTAGCATGGTGGAACTATGGCTGATGTAAGGACTTTATTAAATGCTTCAACCTTGGACAATATCCGAACAATCTATGGAAACGCTGTCAGCAGGTATGATGAGTTCTAAATTATAAATTGAGGTGGAAATCTTTTAAAATAAAATTGCTTAGCCTTTTTTTAAAAAAATCTTTTTTTAGCACATCCCCCTTTCCTGTCCCCCTCACTCCCCCCTACCCCCCATGGCACACACGTCAAGGTGAAATAATGGAGTAACCTTGGAACATTTCCCCTTCTCTCTTGCCACCACCACCTAGTTTCTCCCCTCCTAACTCAGTTGAGATTGTGATTTCCCCAACACTAAATTTCTACTGTTAAATGGTAGTCAAGTGTTAGGTCTCTGTATGAATTATTTGGTGCGAGCAGATGATTGCAAGAGTCTATGGCAGTGTTGTAGCCACGGGCTGGAAATGGTCAGCAGGCCGTCAAAAAGTCCCCACCCCCCCCCCCCGAACATTCGCAAGAGTCTAGGTACGTCTGTGTCAAATCAGTAATGTGTTTTCAGTTTTATTTCTTGATTGGTTATTTCTTGATTCATGGCATAAATCAAGAAATATTCAATCAAGAACATTTACTTTCTTGGCCGATAAACGTTGGACACCATTGTTCTAAGTCCTCCGTATTCCTGGAGTTGGGAGAGAAATCAGCCTGTGATTCCGTTCCCACTTGTTTCCCAGTCATCTCTACTGGCAGCTGGGATGATGTGAGTGCAGGATCACACTTGGCTGTGATGCCCTTATGCTTGAGTCATTGCTGACCTCATTCCTTAAATGTAATGAGTGATTGCTTGGATGAGGTGGTAAAGCAAATTCATTAGGTATGGAACTGTAACTCAATACAAGTCAATGGCATGGCTTCAACAGAGGAGGGAGAGCATTAGAGGGAACCTACATTTCACCTTTCATTATCATTTGTTTCCTCTACAGAGAATTGATTGAAGTGGGTCTTGAAGATCCAAAATTAGCTTTCAAGATGAAAGGTTATATATCCAATGCAAATTATTCTGTGAAAAAGTGCATCTTTTTGCTCTTCATCAATCGTAAGTGTTTATTTTTTAAAAACAAGTTACTGCAAACAAATTTGTCTCTGATCCTCATTGTTCCTCTCTATTCTATTGCATGCCTAGCTGCCTGATTGTACAGTACATCTTACTAAATGCTGAGAGTCCCTGCACAAAAGTCAAGTTCACTGGATAAATTGGCTTTGTGAGGATACAGGACAGCAAATGGCTGTTTGTGGACATTGCTGATAGCAAATGGTTGCCCCGTTTCACCCCAAAATACACAATCACTACACTTTATTGTATATTCTGTGAAGCGCTTTGAGATGTCTCAATGACGTGATAAGGCGCTATATGAAATGCAAGATTATTATTATGTTTGGGAGGGTGAGATTTTACTCTGGTTGCTTCAGATTCAGGGAAGATGGGGATTGAAACTTAGACAGCCTCTGAAGTGCCTTTGGCCAGATTGTGAGGAGTGTTTATTATTTATTATATCCAGTTAATTCACAGGTTTGTTTTAAAAGATTCAGAAATAAAAGATTGCTGATGTTATACATTTATTTTGTTATTTTTGCACTTGACAATGTTTCAATGTTAACTAACCGTGGAATAATTAATGTGGAACTCTCCATACGAGCCCTATTCTTTGGGATTGTTCTTTTTAAATAGTATGATTTTCCTCAGGAATAGAAGGAATCCATTCAGCCCATTGAGCATGTTCTGCCTTGATTTGCATTTCGCTACGTTTCCTCTATTCTATCTTTATCAAATAGTTATCTCTCCCTCGTAAACACCTCAATTGATTCTGTATATGGCTTCCTGCAGTTTCTTACTGCTCCTTCTTTACAGAAATGTTTGTGCAGCTGAATGCTTATTTACTTTGTCAATTATTTTGAACCTGTCATTTGGATAACCCTCAATTTCCTCAATTTTCGATATCACCACAACTTACTCAGGATATTTTTTTGTGTGTTTTTTTTAAAGATCGCTTGGTGGAATCTAGCACTTTGCGAAAAGCAATAGAAGCCGTCTATGCAGCGTACCTTCCAAAAAATACACACCCATTCCTGTACCTGAGGTAAATATAAAGGACAGGGAAGGGTGTGCAGTTGTTGCGAGCTTCTCTTTGGTTTATTAACGTTCAGCTCTCTGTGTTCTTTGGTTTAAGTCTTGAAATACAGCCACAGAATGTGGACGTGAACGTCCATCCCACCAAGCACGAGGTTCACTTCCTGTACGAGGAGAATATCATTGAGCGTGTGCAGCAGCACATCGAGAGCAAACTCCTCGGCTCCAATTCCTCCAGGACCTATTTCACCCAGGTCAGTGACACTTCTTCGTTCAGCAGATCTTTTTATACATATTGTTGTCTTTTTTTTCCCCAGCACCCCCACCCAATTTTCTTCTCTTCCTGAAGATATTCTGAGGCTTCCATTTCTAACCCTACCACACCATCCACCAATGTCCTTGCATTAAATTGGGTTAAATGTGCGCGTCTCAACGGCTTGATAAGACACTTTATCAAATGTAAGGATTATTTATTATTAGTGTGGAAGTTGTCTTTGCATCTGTTTAATAATTGTTTTTCACAAATCTTCTTAGACACTGCTGCCAGGCTCTTCCATAGCCTCGGATGAAATTGTCAAACCTTCAACGGCATCAGCAGCTCAAGACTCTGGTGACAAGCTATACGCTCACCAGATGGTGCGGACAGATTCCAGGGAGCAGAAGCTGGATGCCTTCCTTCAGCCAGTGTGCAGAGCACAGGCTGGGCAGGCCACGAACAGCACTGGTGTGGCTTGGGGTCAGGACTGTGAGATGGAGGAGGTAAATGACACTGCCTTACCAGCTCCAGCAAATTCTCTAGAGACTGAGAGCTCAACAAAGTTTGAGGAGGACCCTATACAGTCATGCAGCAAAGCCTCAACTAATTCATTGTCCAGGTAAATGCTAACTATCAAAGTGAATGTGATTTGCACTTGCAATAAAACCCTTGGACATTTTTTGCAGGGACTTATGGCTGCAGAGGTGTTTTAAGAGTGGCGTTGGAATTTACAGTAATTCGACTGTGCAGTACTAAGTGGTGTGCTGTGGATACGTCTGTTATTTCTCTGGTCAGTCTCTGATCAAGACTGCTTTTTTCCACCTCTGCCACATTGTCCGTCTCTGTCCCTACCTCACGCTAAATCCGATCCAAATCCCTAGCCACACTTTAACCACCTCCTGGCAGGAATTTTCAAACTTCCTGGTCTGGTCTCCCTAGATCCACCATCCTTCAACTTCAGCTCATCCCAAATTCCACCCACCTCCTGACCAACACTAAACTCCATATGTCCATCACCCCAGTCCTCGCCAGGCTCCACTGGCTCCCTGTCTTTCAGTGGATCAACTTCAGGGCCCTCACCCTCACCTACAAATTATTTCATGCCCTAGCTCCTCTGATCTTCTCCTCCCGCGCTCCTCTGATCAGGTAACTCGGCTTGCTACACATCCCCCACTCTACTACCTGTGGCCAAGTTTTCCAATTCTACACCCCAACCTCTGGAACTCCCTCAAACCTCTGCCTCGCCCCATCTCTATCTGTATCTGTTTTCAAGCCAGTGAGCAGAGCAGAGGCTGGGCAGGCCATGACCAGCACTGGTGCAGTTTGGTATCAGGACTTGAGATGGAGGAGGTAAATGACATTAGCTTACCAACTCCAGCAAACTCACTAGAGACTGAGAGCTCAACGAGGTTAAAACCTACCTCTTTGACGGTGCCTACGGTCCACCCCTCCTCCCCTGCCCCAACCTGGTGTCCGCCCTGTTATTGTAATGCTCTCCCAAGACTATGTGAGGGATGATGTATAAGTGTAAGTTGTTATTTAGAGATCGTCACCTTGAGCTATGTGTCAGGTTAAGAGGTTCTCCCACTTTCAATGAACAGTCCATGTCCCTGAAACCAGCTGTCAATTGTCATTTGCCGGTTCAGGCCAAGGAGCTATTTTCTGCCCTGCCCCACTCACACCGCAGCTCTCCACTAGATCTGTCCACAATATCATCTTTGAATGAGTTAGAGACGGGAGCTGCTGGTGATATGATGGGAGCTGGTTCCAGGTTAAGAATCTCTGCTTTCCAACTGGATGGTTCTCCTAAAAGTAACCAGGATATTCGGGGAGAGGAGAGTTGGAGGATGAGTACAATGGATCTTAAAACAGAATGCACAGTCAATCCACCTTACAGTGAAGCACTCTAAGACGTCTCAAAGATGTGAGAAGGCATTAAATCAAATGCAAGGATTATTTTCATTATAATTATTGGAATAAATTGGCATTCATTCAAAACATTTTTTTTGGTAGGAAGAGGGCAAGAGCAGATTCAGAAGTGGAGATGAAGGTAGACAACTCCAGCAGTGAAACGGCAGCTGCTCAGCTCCCCAAACGCCGGATTATTAACCTCACCAGTGTGCTGGCATTACAAGACGAAATCAACACCCAGTCTCACACAGGTACAGGCTTCCCTATAGTGGCGCAGGGTCTAACGCTGACTGTGACTCAATAAATGAATGCACCACCTTTGCTGAGTTACATAGTAATCATTTCGGACTGGAGAGCACTGTGTCCAGGCTGTATGATTGTGGTGCACACTACCATATCAAAGCCATAGGTAAGAGTTCAAGCCAGGAATTCAAAAAAGATATGGGAAGTAGCAATTTTAAAGTACATGTGAGAATTCAGAGAACTGGAATTAGGGCAGCCTATAGTACGTGATACAGCATTAGGTCAAATAGTCTATTCCTATGTACAATAATCCAATATAATCCCATCCAATTCTAATAGATGTTCTCAATGTTTCTGTCTCTAAAGTTGTCACTAATAACCCTGAATCCTTTTAGTTGACAGAAACTTGTCTGGTTCCTTTTTAAAACTTTTCCCATATTGTAGAATACAAGTCCAAAGATCACTCTCCATATGAGCCCTATTGTTGGGATTATCTGCTCCCAAACTACACACTGTGGTTTAGCTTCTGTCGGCCAAGGTGATGATGTGGCACCTCAGAAAACCTGTTATATAATCCTGCTTCAGGAAGAGAGAAACCTCATCCAGGATTCTGGTTGTGATTGCTATCTAGTGCTTTCCTGTTTTAAAGTGTGTGTGTAAACACTGAAATAGAAGATGAATGCTCTTAACTGCGAAGCCTCCTGTGATCAAATAGCCTACTGATCCTTTCTATCTGCCCTTAACACATAAAGACTGAACAAGGTGCTCCTGGCACTCGTGGCTCTAATGCCAGATAATACATGGTGGGGGAGGGGGAGAGGCGCAGAGTTAAAGATTTGATTTGTAATGAGTGACCCGTTTGTAACTTTATCTTAAGGTCTGCAAGATATGCTGAGGAACCATTCATTTGTGGGCTGTGTAAACCCTCAATGGACATTGGTGCAGTACCAGACCAAACTTTACCTGATTAACCTCACCAAGCTCAGGTAAACAAACTTAAACCTTTAAACACCATTCGGGCAACGACTGGGAGATGTGACTAATGGGGGTGTAAAGAGGACGTGGGCGCAGAGAAGATTTTTATCATAAAAATGGAGTCCTGTAGCGTAGTGGTTAGCGCTCTTGCCTTGCAAGCAAGACGACCCGGGATCAAGTCCTGGGCAGGGCAAAACCTTATGCACGTTTCCTTACTCCACACACCTCTGCTTACCTAGCAATAAGTAAGAGCCCGGTCATTTTAGTTGATTGGCGGATCGCTTTTTGGGGATAATAATTTCTCGAAAAGAAAAAAAATATTGGTAACTCAATCCATGACTTTCATGGAACACTGCTGTGTGCAATTGGCTGCTGCGTTTCGTCCACACAATACACAGGCAATCCGCTTGCCAATATATTCTGTAAAGCTCTTTGAGACGTCTCAACGGCGTGATAAGGCACTGTATCAAATATACTTCTTACCTCTGCCACAGACTAATGGTTTCAGTGATCTGTTCACTAGTCCTCCCAAATAACTCTGCTATGTTATGAGATTCTTTTCAGTTCAACCTCTGAATCCCAACCTCTGTATTGGGTTTTACCACCATAGAGATTTTATAGCACAGAAGGAGACTGTTCGACCCACCATGACTGTGCTTGTTCCCTGTGATATACAACCCCTCCCCCACACACATATACCTGATAAATTGATCAGTTCTCTGAGTTAATGAACTCGTGGTCAAGGGGAACTCAGTAGATTGTCTTCAAAGTTAAATAACTTTGTTTCTGCCAAACCAGTGTGTACAATGTAAACAATCATTTCTCTAGCTGAGATGGGTTAGGCACCCCACTAAACCCTTCATTAGGTGCAGATGCATTTCCACCACGACATCCACTCATTCAGCCAATTAATAATCCATTTCAGAAGCTTCCCTTCCTCTTGTGCTTTCCAACCTTGTGGACCAGCCTCCTGGGTGGCAATGAGTCAAAAAGTTGTGTTAAAACCCAAATCAAAATCAGTAGGGCCAGAGCAAGAAAATAAAAGATAAAAGATTTATAGAATAGACTGTGCATACTGACATTCCAATGTAGTACTGGGAATGTGCTGCATTGTCTGAGGTGCCATCCAAAATCCCCCCCAAATAAAGTTGGTCATTCGATTCATGGCTGTTTGTGGGACACTGCTGTGTGCAACTGGCTGCCGCGTTTCGCCCACAAAATACGCAATCAATCCATTTTACGGTCAATGTGAAATGGATGGCATTTTCACCCGCACTAAACTCCGCACCTCCATTACCCCAGTCTTTGTCAAACTCCATTGGCTCCTTGTCAAAGAACGGATCAATTTCAAGACCCTCACTCTTGTTTTTAAATCCCTTCACGTCCTGGCATCCCCGTGTCTCCCCAAACTACACTCTCGCCCTACACCACTACCCGCTGCCTCCGTTCAACTGGCTCCAGCCAGTCCCCTGGACCCTCTGCCCCAACATCGGCAGCCTTACTTTCAGCCACTCCCAGAGCTTGGTGCTGGAGAGATCTGAATACCCCGAAGCTGTGGAACTCTCTCCCTCAAACCCTTTGCCTTGTCCCCTCTCTCTCCCTTTTCAGTTCACCTTCCTCTTCGACCGTGCCTATGGTCACCTTCCCCCTCCCCCTGGCTCGGCATCGGCTCTGCCACTGTTAACTGCTCTAAGATGCCGTACAGTGTGAAGGGCACTATATAAATGCAAGTTTTGTATGGTAAATCCTATGAAACACTTTGAGATGTCTCAACAACATGATAAGGCACTATATCAAATACAAATTAAAGGATTATATATAACGTCTATCGAATAACCCTTATCCACAGGTTTAGTCAGTCCTTCAAAGGTCTAAAATCTGTCAAGTCCGGCCTCCCTTTCATAAAGCCACGCTGACTCCCTCTCATCATTCCATTTGTCTGTCAGTGGTTTGTTCTTCCTTCTGGATGATATCCCACTGTTTTAACTGTGGTATGTGTTGGTTGCACTGACCTGCAGTTCACAGAGTTGCTTAATGCTCCTTTTTACAAACTGCAGTTGCATTTGCCTGTCTCCAGTCCTCGATTACCTTCTCCCATTCCCTAAATGTATCCACCAGGATGTACTCAAAAAGTTAACAACAAAATCTGCAGGGTTATGTGGCTATGGTATTTAACAGCAGCTTGCACTTTATATAGCACCTTTCATGTGGATAGACATCTTAAAGCATTTCACAATGATGATGGGGATCAGTGAGCAACAACAACAAGATTACATTTGTATAGCGCCTTTCACGTCGGGAGGACGTCCCAAGGCGCTGGACAGTGTACAGCATTTCAGACCCAAGCTGGGATCGGGGGAGAAGGGAGAGGAGGGAAAGGGGGGTGACCATGGTCGAAGAGGAGGGTTTTGAGGCAGGACTTGAAGGAGGCTAAGGAGAGTGTGAGGCAGAGTGATTGGGGGATGGAGTTCCAGAGGTTGAGGGCAGAGTGGCTGAAGGGTCTCCCGCCAATGGTGGGGCGGGTGGGGCGGGGGACGTGGAGCAGGCCAGAGCCGGCTGAGCTGAGGGAACCGGCGGGTTGATAAGGGGTTAGGAGGTCACAGAGATAGGGTGGGGTGAGGCCATGGAGGGCTTTGTAGGTGAGGACCAGGATTTTGAACTGGATCCTCTGAAGGATAGGGAGCCAATGGAGTCGGGCGAGAATGGGGGAAATGGGGTCACGGAGTTTGGTGCGGGAGAGGACACGGGCTGCAGAGTTCTGGATTATCTGCAGCCTGTGGAGGGAGGAGTTGGGAAGACCGACAAGCAGGACGTTTGCATAGTCGAGCCTGGAGGTGATGAAGGCATGAACAAGAGTTTCAGTGGCCTGAGGGGTGAGGTAGTGGCGGAATCGGGCGATGTTATGGAGGTGAGGGAAGGCAGAGCGGGTCATGGCTTGGATGTGGGGAAGAAAAGACAGTTGCGGGTCGAACAAGACACCCAGGTTCCTGATGGCTTAGTGAGTTGAAGTGTGCAACCATGGAGGTTGATGCTGCCAGAGCCTGAGGTGCTGAGGCGCTGGTGTGAGCCAATCAGGAGGGCCTCAGTCTTGTTCACATTCAGCTGTAGGAAGTTTGCCCTCATCCAGGACTTGATGTCTGAGAGGCAGTCTGTCAGGACAGCAGTGGCCCTGGAGTTGAGGGTGGAGGCAGAACGATAGAGTTGGGTGTCATCCGCATACATATGTAAGTTGACCCCATGTCTGCGGATGATGTCACCATGGGGGAGCATGTAGATATTAAAGAGGAGAGGGCATAGCCCCGGGGGATGCCAGATGTGACAGTGTGGGGGCTGGAGGAGAAACATTAGAGGCAACACAGTGGAGAAGGTGAGAGAGATAGGAATCGAACCAGGCAAGGGCAGGTCCGTGAAGATTGAGTGAGGCGAGGGGGTGTATGAGATGGAGTGGTCAACAGTGTCGAAGACGGCAGAGAGGTCGAGGAGGACAAGGAGGCAGAGGGAATCCTGATCACAGATGTTCAGAATGTCATTAGTGACTTTGACCAGGGCTGTTTCCGTGCTGTGGGCAGCGTGGAAGCCGGATTGGAGGGGTTCAAAGAGGGAATGGCGAGAGAGAAAGGAGCAGAGCTGGGACGCGACGACTTGTTCCAGGACCTTGGAGAGGAATGGGAGGTTAGAGATGGGGCGGTAGCTGGAGAGAAGGGATAGGTCCAGGGAAGGTTTTTTCGGGATGGGGGTGATGACGGCTGTTTTTAGGGGGGTGGGATCTGAACCGGTGGACAAGGAGAGGTTGATGACGTCGGATAGGAGGGGTCCAGAAGGTGGAGCTGGGAGATGAGGAGGGGATGGGATCGAGGCAGCAGGTGGTGGGTTTGAGTTTGCAGACAGTTGTGAGGGAGGAGGGAGAGATAGGGTCGAAGGAGTATAGGGGGGGATGGGTGGGGGTGGATCATGAGGGAGAGGTGATGTGGGGGTGGCTGTGGACGGGGCTGAGGTGGCTGAACGTATCCCCTCGATTTTAGATTCGAGGAAGTCCAGCATCTCCTCAGTTGGAGTTTGAGGAGAGGATGGGCGAGGTATGGGAAGGTGGATGAAGGAGATGGTTTGTGGTAGAAAAGAGAAGCCTGGGGTTGTCCTTTGCCTCCAAGGAGGATTTGGCGGAGGTAAGAGTGCATCGGTAGGTCTTGGTGTGGTGAAGCCAAATCTGCCAATGGACAGTTAAGTTTGGATTTGGTCCAGGCCCGTTCAGCAGCTCGCATTTGTACCTTGAGAGAACGGAGATGGCTGGTGTACCGGGGATTTATGGGAGTATGAGGCAGTTCGGGAAGTGAGGGAGTCCAGAATGGTGGAGAGGGAGTTGTGGAGAAAAGAGAGTGAGGAGGGGAGATCAGTCTGGGAAAACCAGAGGTGTAGGAGTTCAGATGACTTCAGGGCATTGGAGAGGGAGAGGGAGGAAATTTTTTTGTGATATGTGATGGGATAAAGCAGAGGGGAGAGGAGGGGAATTGGGGGGGGGTTGACTGAAGATTTGGTCAGTGAGAGTTTTATTTAAAGAGGGTTTTGAAGTTGGGGAGAGAAAACTGAAGCCAACAGAATTTTGGGAGAGAATTCTTGTGGAGCTGGAGCTGAGTGACCGAAGGCTTCAATGTTGTGATTGCAGAGCACTGAGCACTGAGTGAAACACTGTCATGTTTGTGTAATCTCTCTTGTGTAAGTATGGTTTACAGTTTGTGCTTTCCTTTCAGCCAAGAATTGTTCTACCAGATATTAGTATTCGACTTTGGCAATTTTGGAGTGTTAAGATTGTCGGTGAGTAAGTTACTTATTTATATCTGCCTTTTTTTTAAAAGTGTAGAACAAGATACTGATGTACCTCTTTATCTTGGCTCAGAATCCAGCGCCTTTGTATGAACTGGCCATGCTGGCTCTGGAGAGCCCGGACAGTGGCTGGACAGAAGAAGATGGCCCCAAGGAGGGACTGGCAGAGTATATTGTGGATTTTTTGAAGAAAAAGAGTGAATTGCTCCGAGATTATTTTTCACTTGAGATTGATGGGGTTAGTAATACAACAGCAAAAAATTGCATTTATATTTCGCCCTTTCACATCGGAAGGACATCCCAAAGCGATGGACAGTCGAGGGTTATCACCCAAACTGGGGGATGGATTCAAGGGGGGTTGGAGCCGTAGGGACGGGCAAATGTCGGTCAAAGGGGAAGATTTTGAGATGAACCTTGAAGGAGGTGAAGGAAAGGGGAAGGGACTCTTGAAATGGAGTGGGGACAGAAAGGCTAAATGCCTGACCATCGATGCTGGAGTGGACAAGGCCGACCAAGGGAAGGAAAAGGTGGGTTGATTGGGTTTTAGAAGGTCACAGAGGTAGGGTGGGGCAAGACCATGGAGGGCTTTAAAAGTGAGAACGGGATCTTGAACTCGATCCTCTGGGCAGGGATGGCCATCCTGCGTGCTGTATTACATATGTGGCCCTCAAGTTAGCCATCCTGCCTCTGGGGGATGGGGAGCCAGTGGAGCCGGGCAAGGATGGGTGGACTGGGGTTGGGGAGTGGGAATAGGCTCCCAGAGCTTGTTGCTGGAGAGGAGAGAAGCCGCAGAGTTCTGAATACCCCGCAACATGTAAAGGGAAGATTTGGAAAGACGAGCGAGCAGAGAGTGAGAATAGTCAAGTCTGGATGTGATAAAGATAATGGATAAGGGTCTGGTGGCCTGAGGGGAGATGTAGTGGCAGAGACAGACAATATTGTGGAGGTAGAGGTGGGGGAGGACTGAATAGCTCAAGAACTAGATCTGGGGTTTTGACGATATTTGAGCATCGAACAAGACGTTGATTTAGTGAGGTAGAGTGTGCATCCATGTATAGTAATGTTGCCCCGCCTTAAGGGAGCCAAGTAGGAGACATTCATGTTGACATTCAACTGGAAAAAGTTATCTCTCGCATAGGGCTTGATGTCTGACAGACAATTGGTCTGAATAGCAGTGGAATTGAGGTTGGAGCCAGAGAGGTAGAGTTGTGTGTCATCCTATACAGATGACCATGTACATAATAAAGAGAGGACCGAGGATAGAGCCCTGAGGAACACTGTTGGTCTTGTTGGCAGATACAAAGTGGAGATGGGTTGGGAAAGATGAGAGTGAAATCAGTGAAGGACAGAATCGTGAAGATGGAGCTAAGGAAAAGCGGTGGAGAAGAATAGAAGTGTCAAAGGTGGCAGAGAGAACAAGTTGGCCAAGGAGGCAGAGAGAGCCCTGGTCACAGATGGAGAGAATGTCGTATGTGACTTTGATTAGGGCAGACTCTGTACTGTGAGCAGAGCACAGTCCAGATAGAGGGCTTCATTGCAGGAATGCAGGGAAAGAGCGAAGCCAGGAAGCAACAACTCAAGTAGCACAAGTTCCCGGGACTAAAAGGGGAAGCACCTTGTCCTGACCCTTCACCTTAAAGTCTTAAACTCGAGGGGAAGAATGAAAAGCTGAATAAAATATTAATTTTCTGCATTCTGGTTACTGACCACCTGGTAGCAGCACATCCCTTCTATTTTCCATGGAGTGTGACTCACTGCAGGTTGTGAATGATTTTGAAGAGGATCAAGAACCAGCCATTCTGGGATATTTCTATTTCTGATTATTCACAGGAGGGAAATCTCACTGGGTTACCTCTACTCCTGGAGAACTACATTCCAGCTTTGGAGGGGCTTCCAATGTTTGTCCTGCGGCTGGCTACAGAGGTAGGTACTCAGTGTTTCATCTTCAATCACATTGAAAGCTCAGTTACAGCAGGAGCATTGGAGGTTATTGACCCAACAACAACTTGCATTTATATAACGTCCCTTACGCAGGTAGTGTCCCAGAACGCTCAACAATGGCGGAGCACGACGCTGAGCCAGGGAGTGAGTTTCGGGGCGAAGTGGCTGAAAGCATGGCCACCAATGGTGGAACCCTCATGCAGAAGGCCGGTGCCAGTCAACTGGAGGCAGTGGGTTGTGGGTTAAGAAGGTTGGAGAGGTAAAGAGGTGCCAGGGCATTGAAAACGAGTGTGAGGATCTTGAAATCGATCCGTTCGGTGATAGGGAGCCCGGGGAGCCTGGCTAGAACTGGTGTGATGGGGGTATGAAGTTTAATGTGGATGAGTAGGCGGGTGGCAGAGGATCAGCTGGATCCTGTGCATGGTGGAGCTGGGGAGACCGGCAAAGAGGGCATTTGAGAAGTCAAGTTGGAAGGTGACAAACGCATGGACGAGTGTTTTGGCTGCATCTGGGGTTAGGTACAGTCAAAGGCAGCGCAATGTGGTGGAGGTGGAGGAACGTGGTCTTGGTCAGGGACCGGATGTGGGGAAGAAAAGACAGCTGTGGGTCGAACCTGATGCCTAGGTTTTGCACTTGTTCGGTAAGTCTGACGGATAGGCCGGGGAGATTGAGGAGGTCAGAGCCATGGGATAGAAGACGTTGACGGGAACCAATGAGTATGGCTTCCATCTTGTCAACAATGAGCTGTAGGAAGTTTTTGCTCATTCAGGCCCTGATGTCCACCAGACAAGCAGAGAAAACATGGGCGGACCTGGGGTTGCAGCTGGAGAAGTAGATTTATGTGTCATCCGCAAATGTGTGGAAGTTTGGAACCCACACGTGGAACCGGCGGCTCATCAAGGGGCAGATTGGCTAACGGTTCATTGCTTTGATTGATTCCACTGCAGCTCAGGACATTTGAATGGCCCCAGGATTACTGCTGAAGTTCAGTAGTGAATAATGCATAATAATAATAATCTTTGCATTTGATATTATACCTTATTACATCAAAATGTCCCAAAGAACTTCTAATTGTGGAAGCGAGTTTGCACTTACTAATGTTTGCCCGTAAAACTCACTTTGCAGTATATCCTGTGAAGTGCTTTAAGATATCTCAACCACATGAATGGTTCTATATGAAATGCAAGGATTATTCTTATTCCACAAGTATATTCCTCCACATTTTCTGCGGGGTTGATGTCTGGGACACCGGGAGAAACTGGCATGGTTAATGGTAAATGTCCTGAACAGGCAGACTGAATCTTGGTTTAACATCTCTATAAGAGCGACAGTGCAGCGTTCCCTACATTGGAGTGTCAGCCTAGACTATGAGTTCAAAATTCCTATGTGGAACTTGAACGCACAACCTCCCGTGCTACCAACTGAGCCAAACTCATATGATTGCTGTTCCACAGCAATTCAGGTAATCAGATAAATTGCACACAGAAAAATCTGCAGCGAACAAAGTAATTGAATGTTTACTCGAGACTGACAGTTACACATTGCTTTTGTGTCCTGGATTTCGCGTGGTTTTGTTGACAATGCAAAGTAATGCCCTCATAAAGTACAATAGAACACTCCCAAAGGGTAATACCTTTCTATTATACGCAGGTGAACTGGGATGAAGAGAAGGAATGTTTTGAAACTTTCAGCAGAGAATGCAGCATGTTTTATTCCATCAGAAGCCAATACATACTGGATGAGCGTCAGGCATCACCCAGTCTGGGCCAGCAGGTACATTTTACAAGCTGTTGTGATTTGTGTCTGTAGTTTCAATGTTTTATAAAGCTTCTCCAGGAAGAATATTACTGACTGTAATGGCCAAGCACCAACCTGACTCCCGACTGGCAGGAATTGTGCTCCAACCAGCAAGTTCACCACCTACAGCACTTCTTATGTGCTTGAAATAAGGAATACTTTGTTATAGTGTTGTCGATTGGATCTAATATCTGTGACTGCCTTATAAGTGAGGCTCAAAACAATGGCTGACTTGTCTTCCTGTGTGAAGTGATGTCAACAGCACAGAGTGCGCGTGCACAGCAGACAGGGAGTGATGTTAGCGGTTCTTCATATGGGCAAGAAATGACGTCAGAGGCTATGTGGCTTGTCAACCCGGAAATAAGCCACTATGTAGTGCGGGAAGCTGCGCATTCAACACCAGAAACCGGGTGTACAATGCTTCTAGTCAGCACAAGTCCAGAGTAGACTTGGCCTGTAAGTGAGTTAAAGCTCAATGATAGGGTTTCCGTGTCCTAAAGGGGAGCAAGCAGGAGTGGGATTAGTCAAGGTGGCTCATGTGGAGAAAATCATCTGGGCCTAATTCTGTGCTGTTAACATTCTGAGTTTCAGTTATTCCACACGTTTTACACATTGCTTAAAATTGTAAAGACATTATTAATTGAATGTAGTCTTTTCTAGACCTTTTATAGTTAGTCTTTTCTGGAACAGTGAAGGATAATTTCTGCATATTACTGAGAGGGCACCACTATAAATCAGCTGTCAACACTGACTGGATGTTAGGATGGACAATACAATTGGTGGTATTGACTTAGATTGCAAACTCTCTGAAACATTTGGAGGTATTTTTTAATTATTGGCACCAATGTGTGATTTGTTACGATTCTGTGAATTGTGGCAGGTTTCCACAAACAAATTAAATTGGCCATTTTAAAGGTTGGAAAACCAGCATGTTAGTGCTTCTACTGCTAACTGAAAGCTATTTCTGTTAAACATGTGATTTGTTTTTAGCCAGAGGTTCTGGGCAGCGACACAAGTTGGAAATGGACTGTGGAGCATGTGGTCTCCAAAGCTTTCCGGACTCGCCTCCTTCCTCCCAAGCGCTTTACAGAGGATGGAACAATTCTGCAGCTTGCCAATCTCCCAGACCTATACAAAGTATTTGAGAGGTGTTAACTGATTCTCAATGGGCCTATGAAACATTTGTGTGGGTGGGTTGAGTGAAGAATATATTTTGTATAATTTTTATATACCATGTTCTTTATTTATTTTTCACATTATGCAATATTTTCTTTCAATTCAAAATGGGAAAGTTTGGTTATTGCATAAACTAATACAATAATGTGACCTGTACTGAATCTGCATTCTTTTTGTAGATGATTACCTAAGCAACTACTTTCTAAATAAATGGTTAATACTGAGTCTGACTCTGTGTTTAGCACAATACACCAAAGTAAAGGACTGTGATTTGCTACAATCAACTCCACTTTGGTATAATTTTTTTCAGTTCTTTCCAACCAGATGCTTGGGGTAAGATGTCAGTTCTTGCAGTGCTGCAACTCCATACCATAGCACTGTCTTCAGCACCATCCTAGCACCTGCTCATTTGGATGGTACCAATTATGCACCTTTTTTTTAATTTCTGCTTCAATATATTTTTTCACAATTTCTCAGGTGAACAGTCCTTGCACGAAAGCTGAGACTTAAACCATTTGAACAATGCAGCAGTGTGACTAGCAAGAGGACCTTCCACACATCCAGAGTGAGATGTTGTTGGGTTCGAAGGTAAGGCCAGTAGTGGAATTAACCACTCTGTCCACCACAGGTCTAAATGAACGTTCAGTGTTTATCACAGTTCTCTAGTGATGTATTTTTGCTGTGTTTTAGCATGCTCTGCAGTTGGCTCAGAGAAGCACTTGCAGAATGGGATTGTCTACAACTGCTGCCAGATAATGGGTCAAATCTTACAATTCCAGATAGGATCCTTTTCCACACAGAACAACAATGTGAATAACATGCCATAAAACTGCAATCTGGATTTATAGAGATCCCTTTCACACATGGTAGCAGCTTAGAAGGCTACAAGTTCTTATTTTATACAGTACCACATAGACTCCTTAAGTATAGGTCAGGAACATGCAGAAGTAACTAACACAAATTAATGACCAGTTCAAACCAGCTGTTTAATGAGACTGAAAATAGAGTAATGGCTACCTGGGCAATGAATTACAAGCCTCTATTATAACATCACCAAAATAATCTCACTTTAGCCTTTTGCTGAACTTCCATTGAATGCTTATCAAGGGCAACTGGTAGATTCCCCCAACGCTTCCAGGTTCAGAATCTCTAGTGGCTTTTGACACATTGAATGAAAAAGAGGAAAATCAGAACAAAGCAAAATTCCAACATATGTTTCACACATAATGAGGATATTTTAATGTTTGCTTTCCGTGACTCGCTACATAAAACACAGCAGCGCAACCAGGGCCAGAGTTACCTGCTCTGCAGGCATATCTCAGTAGTTTGCACTACCATTAATAATTCTTGCATTTGGTAATAGTGCCCTTCACATTACGAGCACATCCCAAAGCGCTTCACTGGATTTATTGTGAAGTGGAATCACTGCATTTGTGGGCAAAAGTTACCATTATTTCCGCATCCGTGAGGGAGGGGGTAATTCGGAAGCTTGCAACAGTTTTGAGCATGATCCTGTGGCAGCCTTTGTGAAATGACAGGATAGATTCTGCAAACAGAAACCTTGTGGTTTTCAAATGAATAAGCAGCAGTTGAACTATTGATTGTAGTGTTGTCGCTCTGAGGTGCAATGTAAAAGCTGAAGTCACAACTAAAGAAACCCTTGAACTCGCTTGCGATAACTTTGTGTAATGAATATGCTTTCATTTTGATGTTCTAATCCCATTTGTAGTCACGTTTTTGTGAGCATTGGCTGAAGAATGCTTTACATTCTTGGTACACAAAAACTTTGCTGAAGATATTTCATAAAGAAAGCCCCACAAGAATAACAATCAGGTTCTAAGTTCAAAACCCAACACTGTATTTGCGATGATTGATTAAGCACTCTGAGACGATGCCCTGCGTGGAGGGCGCTATATAAGTACAAGTTGCTGATGATTAACACAGTAATAATGGTTAGTGTGTTACTGGGAAGTCAAGACTATCCTCCAGCAGTTGTTGCAAAAAGGATATCACACCCCACTTGGATGAGGCACTTGGTCAGTTCCTGGGCACACTGCTCAGATCAGGTTAAGTCACACTTCTGTTTAATATCTTGAGCATATATATCTTGTGCAAAATTAAATGCTAGTGTATCTGTGAACAGCGAAGAAAATCTGAAAAAACAGATCAGATCTTTGTAAACAAATCCCAAAGGTGATGAAACCTTAATCTACAGCATCCCCCCAAAATAAGTACAATTTAGGAATCAGTGAGAAGACCCGAGACCATCTTGTGGCAATACATTTATAGCAATTTAACAGGCACGGATTGACATTTCACTCAAACACAAAGTTGTTTCAGATGGATTTCAAGTTCAGCAAATGCTAAGTCCAGTTTCCATTGGGAAATATTGCTTCACTTTAGACAGACAATTTGAACATAAAATTCTTCTTGTTAGTCTTCCACTGACTGTTGGCACTTTCTGAGAACCAACCTAGAAATAAATTTCGCTGGCACTGGTTGCAAGACATACTGCAGTCAGTCCTATTTGCAGCTCAACATGGTGTCAGCCTGGTTCAGTTGTGTCTTCAAGTGCCACACTGAAACTCTGAACTCAGTCTAGACTGACACGTCACTGGAATGCTGGAGAACATTGATGAAATGTTAACCCAAGGTCCTGTCTGCTGTTCACATCCTATGGCACTATTCAAAGAGTTTCTCCTGGTGTCCTGGCTAACAATCCCCTGATAAAAAAATGCAGTCTTTACACTTTACAATAAAATCCTACAAAACATTTTGAGATGTTTCAATGCTATGAGGAGATGCTATAAATCCTATTATCCTTGCATTTGGATGTCAATTCCGATTGATGAAAAAGTTGCAATCAGACCAGTTGTGGTTGGTTTGTGACTTCCACTTTGGCAAATGACAATCACACGAGGTTTCTTCATTACATCCTGTTTAAACATTATCAAAATGGCTGATGAAGTTAATGAGGGATAGTCATTTTAAGTTAACCACTTTTGAAGGATTAGTGCATAGTATCTGGGCACCATATATGTTCACTAATACTCAGTTTAGGAAAACAAATCACATTCCGTGGCTTTGTTGTATAAAGTGTCCATAGTTTCATTTAATATCAGAGCTTCACATTCACTCAGAAAGACCAAACCTTTATACACAAGCAACAAGTAATATTCTGGAGATGCATTCCAATACTTAATACAAAAGGGAACAATTTATTTGCACTGGTTTTAACCCTGGTAGTAAAGGGTTTCCTGTATTACAAACCTCAACTTCAGGGGCATTTATGACCAATGCAAAAATCTACCAATCTCACCTGCAACCTGAATTTATTCACCAGAATATGTGTTTTTTAATACAAAAAATGGAGACTAATATTGAATTTGTTCTTAACCATGAAAAATGAACCGCAGCAGTTTCATTGTATACAATGCTTCCCAAAAATGTACCCATTTTAAATACATCGATTAAAATATTTTATAGCAAATGAACAGATCATAAATTTTGTTCATTCAACCACCAGATCAATATAATCTCCATTGCACCATGCAAAAAGGCACTTCAAATGTGTTGTGGGGATTCTTGCATTGTGGGTGCGTATAATTATTGGCATATAACAAAAACAGATTTTTCGACAAGCCCTTCAAGGTTATCTTGTCTGTTCTGTTCCTACAATCTTCCATTTCAAAATGCCCAACGGGGTCTAACACGTGACATTTATATCAAGAAATCACAAAGAGCAACTGTCAGGAGTCATTACTTGCACTGCAGCTCAGTTACCGGCCGGCAGAGGTTGCTATTTAAGGTGAACAGACGATTATTGGCAGGAGTCACTATTTGCAGTGAATGTCTGCTACCAGAGTGGGTTACTATTTGTGACAGTGTTACGCACAGCACTGATTCCCTCAGCATCATTTCTAAGCAGCGGAAGATTATGTAAATCAATCTGATGTATAAAGCCATGAACAGCCATCCTATTTGCATTTTGCTACTAAATCAATCACTCATACACAACCCAAATACACAACCCATTTCATATAGGCTATAATTAACCCACTGAACTAAACAGTTAATACAGTTCACAATTATCAACAAGTAGACACTGGATCGGGTCACCATTCGCTCATAAATTACAAAATTTGTACGCCAACATTTATAAAACTAGAACGATATTGGAGGACACCTTCCAATGTTTGAAAGTGTTTGTGCCAATGGATAAAGGTCTAATTTGTGATGCAAAGTAAGGTTTTGTTAGGTTAGGATGAAGTGCTCTCTACTGCTGAGATAGTAGTGCATTCCGGTTAGCCTTCATTTTCTCTAACCGCTTCACCAAGTGGCTATTGGTCATCTCCATCTCCTCAGTCTTATCCATCGCTGATCGTAACTGATGTGAGTAGGGAACAAGACGGCAAGTTTATTATTCTCAAGACACAGAGAAAAAAAATCCACAAATAAAGCCAGTCAAAAACTCCATAATTTAACACTCTTGGGAGGGGAGGGGGGTGGGTGTCTAATTTGCAGTAACTTAATGGATTTTCAATAAGAAATGTAGAATTGTTAACTTTCTAAAAACATGAAATGAGCTGGCATCGATTTCTAATACATTCTTCTGCACATTTGATACTGTTAAATAGATAAACGTGGCACATATACAAAGTTAAACCCGTGATATAGACGCAAACAGAGTTTAGCCAGGGTTCTGCTTTGAATGCACTTTTTAAACTTTGCTCAAAAAGCCATTGTGTTAGTAACTGCTAATTTACTCTGCATTTTTAACAAAAACATTGTTCTATTTTAGCAATTGAGGAAATGGAGACATGGTTAAACTTCAAATTGTGGGAATTCAATTAAGTGCTCTGAGATGCTACCCCACGTGAAAGGCGCAATATAAACACAAATGTTGTTGACTCTTTTTCCCTTCATTCATTATTTTGTTAACAAAACTTTCATTTATATAAGTACCCTTCACATAGGATAATGTATAGGTGTGCGGTTGGATGACCAGTAGAAGCAGTCGGTCTTTTGGTGTGATTTAAAAATAGAGGGGTAAGGCAGAGGGATCAAGACAGGGAGTTTCAGAGATTAGGAGCATGGTAGCTGAAGACATGGCCATCAGTGGTGATGGAGACAAACTGTGGGTACACGCAACAGGCTTATTTTAGATGAGCGAAGGGGGTGGGCAGAGGAGTGGGGCACAAACTGTCAATGGTTGAAGCTAAAAGGGCGTGAAGGAATTGTACTATGAGAGTGAGGATCTTGAAGTTGATCTGATCAGAGACAGAGTCAGCAGATCTTGGCGAGGATTGAGCTGAAGGGCATGCACAGTTTGGTACATGTGAGGATATGGCCAGCAGAGTTTTGGATGAGTTGAACCTTGTGGATGGTGTAACTGAAGAGACCAGCAAGGAATGTGTTTGGTAATTCAAAGCAGGAGGTGACAAAGATGAGCGTGAGGGTTTTGGCACCATTCAATTTGAGAAGATCGGAAGCAGGCAATGTGGTAGATGTGGAGGAAAACAGTTCTGGTCAGTGACCAAATGTGGGACAGGAAAGACAGCTGAGGATTCAACCAATGCCTAGGTTTTGCGTAGGTTAGGTGAGTTTAGGAGACAGGCAGGGAGATTGAAGCCAGTGATGAGGAGATATTGAATGAAACTAAGGAGGATATCTTGTCCATATTAAACTGTAAAAAGTTGCTTGTCAGGCACCAGGCCTTGGTGTCTAACAAGCAAGCAGAAATAACCTGGGATCAGTGGATCTTGGATAACAACTGGATGTGGAAAAGTAGATATGGGTGTCATCCTCATTCATGTGTAAGATGGCCCCATGTCTGAGGATGATGTCACCCAGAGGGAGCACGTACATGAGAAAATGGATGGGGCGAGGATAGGAGTACAAAAGTTAAAGTAATGGACTGTAATTCTAGGAACTGTTTCGGAGACAAGTGATTAATTATGTCAGCAACTCTATTCTGGTATGAGGTGGAGACAGAAAAATTACACTTGATTATGAAAAGCCAAGCAGCTTTCAGCTGCCCTCACCTCCCGCTGCAGCCTCCTCTTTTCTGCTTTCAGTTCATCTTCTATTTTTTCTGAATTTTCAGCTGAAGATTTGTACCGAAGCACCTGTCCTTCCAGTCTGGAGACCTGTAAACCCACGAAAGGTGCACCATTGAATATTACAGCACAAAAAGAGGCATTCAACAGCAAAAACTTACATTTATATAGAGCCCTAAACATGGAGAAGCATCTCAGAACGCTTAAACCAGTCAGATCTGCACTGGTGGATTTCTCCACATGAGCTGCCTAGTTTAAGCCCATGTTCTTGCTTGCTTGTTCCACATACCTGATTTCATAATATTCTTCCTTTTCACCTATCTAATTCTTTCTTAACTAGTTGATGAACTCTAAGCCACAATACCGACAATTCAATCGTTTCCACTGGTATTTACCCTGCAGTGTGACATTAACACAGATCCACAATGTCCTTCAAAACTGCATTTCGCAGAGTGTTTAGGACCTAAAGCTTTGGTCAGCAGCTGGAATAATCATCCAATGCTGATCTTAGCCACTGGGTGGTGCTGCTCTTAAATCAAGAGAATTTAATACACGAGTCCCTTGCCTTCGAGCCAACAATGACCTAACACCCATTTTCAGTGAAGTCATTGTAGAGAAAAGTTTATGAATCCCTTAATTGGAAAAAGTACATCAGTGGTTGGTTTAAAACGAAATAATTAAGCGAACAGCAGGATTGCACAATGAATACCAATGGAGGCTCAAGGCTTTATTTAATTGCAATCCTCATTAAATTATACAAGACAATTTATATAGTGTCTTTCATGTCAGGAGGAGTCCCAAAGCGCATTTAGAGTGATGAATGGAAACCCTAGCTGGGGATGGGAGCCAAGGAGCGTGGGATGGGGATCACCGAAAGCGCGGATCAAAGAGGTACGTTTTGAGACAAACTTTGAAAGAAGGGAGATAGGGAGCCCTTAGAATTAGGCTGCATTTCTTTTCAGTCCAATACCTCAATCCATTGAATGCCAGAAATTAGTTTAACTAGGGCTAGCACAATGTAGGGATTCAACCCACCACTTTCACAGAGAGAAAATTACCACTGACATCTAAATATGGGTGAAGCAGGAACAGATCAGCGATGTTCCCATTGGACTCGCCCTAAAATTCTAATATCAACAGCACAAGGCAGGAAGGTGCAAGTCTAGACGAGACTCAGTCATACTCGCACCAGATATATACAAATTCCAACACTAAACAGGTTTCCTCTGGTGTGTCTTTCCTCAGAAATAAATCAAAAATATCCACTGGTCGATCCATCGAACCCCCACACATACACAGCGGACATACTTTGTATGCACAATGCAGGAAGTGATGTCAGGGGTGACCTAATGAGCTGGAAGTCAGCCATTTAAGCACAAAAGCCGGCTGTTGAATGTCCTGTCTGCTCCCTCCGCTCAGCAGGATCCGGCCTGCTCCATGTCTCCCGCCCGCTGCACCATCAGCGGTCGGGTCTTCAGCATATCTGCCCCCACCCTTTGGAACTTCATCCCACAGTCTTTTCACCTCACTCCCTCCCTTGTCTCCTTCGAGGCCCATCTAAAGACCCTCCTTTTCGACCACAGCTTCAGTCACCCTCCTCGCCCTACTCTCCCTGTCCTCCACCCATCCTGATCCCAACCCCCAGCTTGGGGTCAAATCCTTAACTGTCCAGCGTCTCAGGACGTCCTCCCAACATGAAAAGTGCTATACAAATGTAATTTGTTGTTGTTGTTGTGCAGGAATTAAGTGGCCACTGTGCAGTGAATGGGGTTCACTGTGCAACAGTCAGTGTTCAGGAAGCTTTTGAAGAGAGAGAGCGGGAGGGAGTTTCAGAGGGGAGAGGCATGAATGCTGGGGCACACATCCTCCTTTCCTAAAGTATGGGTTGGTATTGCAAACACCACATTATCCACCTCAACATCTGCCACTCATTTAACTTCCTGAAACACATCCAGCGGTTGGAACTTTAAGAGATGTATTGAATGCAAAGTCTGACAGCACTTACATTCTGTTCGAGGGTAGCATTGTCCTGTTCTGCCTTCGACAGCTTGAACTTGTACTCGCTCAGTTGCCTATTTATATCTCCTGAAAGTAAACACATTATGAGCAGGTACAACATAGCTGAAACCGGAGCTCAGAGCAGCTTCATTTATCCAACACAGCAGATCAGATATAAATACTGACACATAACGGGTGGGGTCGAAACAATGACAGTTGCCCACAGGATTAAATAACAGTGGTAACCGGTGAGACTGGTGGCATCTCCTAATCAGAAATTATATTACTGGCAGGTTTAATAATGATCTTAGATTACAGGGCCTATAACATTGATACACTTTCAAGTAAGCGCTTCAGAATTTTTTTCCTGTTAAATACAGTGATTATATCTGTAGATGAACACTGCAGCCAATTTGCACATAATGATGTCCTACAACCAGTAAAAATATAAAGTTAAAGGATTCAATAAGGTGAACCAGGATCCAATTCTATTGGGGAGTGGGGAGGGATTGTGAGCCAGGACACCAGGGAAAAAACTTCCTTCTCATTCCGAATAGTGTCCAAGTGTCTTATCCATCTGAGAAGGAGACAATCCCCCTGAGCAACTCTGAGCTGCTGTTACCAATCCCAATGGACACTGCTGCTTTTCTATCTCCCACCAAATTCATTTGACAAAAAAAAATGTTTTGAAAAAGTATAAGTGGAAGAGAATGATTGATCACTTATGACACCCGATCTGGACTTGCAATTCCTAAGTACAACTCTCAACAGAATATACAAGGATTTTCATCTGCAACACTGAGACAGTGACAGCACTGAATATTTCATCCCCTTTTCCAGAGTGTTAGCACGTCACTCTGAAATCAAAATTCACAAAGCACTTGGCATTTTATAAACAGGTCACTCAAAACTATTTCTTCAATGCTGAACTAAATATTTTTATAATCTTGACAAATTATAGACAGACAAAAAAAATACACAGACTCATTTGGTTTGCCAGGAATGCTGCTTTTTCCCTTTGTGCTCATTCCACATTTTGGATAGGTCAGTTGCCTTCTTGCCTTCCCATGCTCACCCAGAAAATACTGGTCTGCATTGAGGCGGCAGGAAAGGTCAGAGGAAAGGCTCCTGGATGCTGAATAGTCCAGGGTTTGTACCACTGTTTCCTTTTCAATATCTGTATGCTCCCCCTTGGGGACATCATCCGCAGACATGAGGTCAACTTCCACATGTATGCGGATGACACCCAACTCTATCTCCCTGCCTCCACCTTTGATTCCAGAAGCACTGCTGTCCTCACAGACGACTGATGGACATCGAGTCCTGGATGAGAGCCAACTTCCTGCAGTTGAATGTCAACAAGACCAAGGCCCTCCTGCTTGGCTCCCGTCAATTCTGCCATACCTTGGGCGCTGACAGCATCTCCCTACACTCTATCTCACAGAACCAATATGGAACCTCAGCATCCTGTTCAACCCTCAACTGTCCTTCATACCCCACATCCATGCCATAACCCACTCTGCCTTTCCCCATATCCATAACATAACCTTGCTCCGCCACTGTTGCAGACTGTAAGCCACCGATAACAGCCAGACTCAACTATGCAACTCCTCCCTCCATAGGCTGTAGATCATCCAGAACTCTGCAGCCAGTGTCCTCTCCCGCACCAGGCTCCGCCACTCTATCACACCCATCCTCGCCTGACTCCACTGGCTTCCCATCACACACAGGATACAGTTCAAGATCTTAGTCCTCACTTTCAAAGCTCGCCATGGCCTTGTAGCCCCCCTACCTGCGATCTCCTAACCTCCTACCAACCTACTCGCTCCCTCCACTCAGCAGGTTCTGGCCTGCTTCACGTCCCGCCTCACCCACCCCACCATTAGTGGGCGGGCCTTCAGCCACTCTGCCCCTACTCTCTGGAACTTCATCACGCAGTCCCTCCGCCTCGCCCCCTCCCTTGCCTCTTTCACGAACCCGTATCAAGACCCTCCTTTTCAACCGTGCCTTTGATCACTCTCCTTCCCTCCATCCTCCCGCAGCTCGGGTCCGAAATACTGATTGTCCAGCACCTTGGGATGTCCTCCCAAAGTGAAAGGCGCTATACAATGTAATTTTGTTTCTTTGTTGTCCTTGGCCTCCAGGATGATCCTGGAGTAGAAGTATTATGCAAATTGTCTAAACAGAGGGAATTCCAAGTGATTCTGTTTTTTAATTGACAATTAAAGGCATCTATAAATTTCTCTGTGCTCTTGGTTACCACAACCTGCAAAATAGACACCATTTTGGTAGAATACAGTAGAATTGCAACAATATTTTGTGTTTACACCCTTGACAAAGGATAGTATTTCGGAGAGCTGCACGCTGGTGGGATTGGATGCCGAGCAAAGAGGAGCAAGAAGTAACTATAGACACAGTCAAAGAGGCTGATCTTAATGTTGAATTTAAAGATGGAGGGTGTGAAGGCAGAGGGATTGAGGTGGGGGGCGGGCAGTAGTGGAGTGGGCTAAGAGTAGGTCATGAATGTAGGGAGGTGATAGGACATGAAAGAATGTGTGTGTGAGGGCGAGGATCTTTCAAATTATACTCCAACTCCAGGGTTGTGCTCTCGCCCAGTCATGATGTGAGTGTGATCCCCAGACCTACACACTGCAGCAGCAGGACAAGGGAACCCCACAGCTGACAGGCTCGCTTAATTCTTGTAGCAACCAGATTACTTTCTCAAAAATCATGTGGAAACAGTATTCTCTTGTCCACCCCAGCCCAGATCTCCTACCCCCATCCTCTCAACCAGTCCCCTACCCTCACTCCAGGACCTACTCAAACTCAGCAAATTCAGTGCCTGAAACTCCGACACTCTTTCTGCTCAACGCTGTGAGCTGCATAATGATCTGGACTAGGTCTAGGGGAAGACATGGGTGCTGTGGCCTTCCATCCTGCAAGGCTGGGCGTGAGCAAACCCTCAGAACTTGGTGCTGCTAAAACAAATTCCTCAACGTACATTTCAGTAAACAGCGCAATAACCAGTCATAGCACAAGCCATGAGAGTGCAAACGTACTCTGCATCTCCAGTATCTGTAGATCTGTGCCATTCTCTAGTCGGTCTGAATCAGTCAGTACGTTCTCGATCTTAGAGTTCTTCTGTCGTTCCTCTTCCACCTGGAATTTCAACTTTCTGATCTGTCAAAGCAAACAAAAGGGTGAGCCCTGACCACACTACTAAAAAGGCAATTGCTGCCTGGCACAATATTTTAAGTAATTACTCGTATTAAAGTTCAACAGTTGGCAATATGTAAACTTTACTGTGGAGTGACAGCTAACTCCTGTAGCTTCCCAAGTTTATAAAGAACAATGCGGACAAATTGATCATCTTGTGTGAGCTGATCACACTAGATACTGCAGTATCTCCTCACTTCATACTGCAGTCTGTTAATGCCAAGCCCTCAGTTGGTGGGAATTTGCTCCTTGCTGACTTCATACAAAGCCACCTTTTTTCATAAATATTCAAAAATTGCATTTTTGAGCAATTCCCTAGTAGCTGTCAGTTCCCTAAATGAACAATTCCCATCTTATAATACATGACAATGACACCAGTGCTGGAAGTTGTATTGGTCTTAGCCATAGGAGCATGAACGGACAAAATTGCAGCATTTCTAAATGTATTTACTCAACTTGAGGTAGGGGGGCTACAAGGGTGAGAATCTGGAACTCATTGTCAGAGCTGTGGTTGAAGCAAATAGTCAATGTATTTAAAACAAAATTGATGCATACACGAGGGAGAAGGGAACAGAGGGATATAGGAGAGGTGGAGGCTAGTGTGGAGTATAAACACCAGGATAGACCAGTTTGGCTGAATATCCTTTTTCCATGCATTTTGAGTGTTTCTTTGGAAAAATAATTTTAAAAGTAAAAATTTAAAGTTATAAAGCAGTTTCAGTAGCTGTGAATCAAAACATATTTCTACAAAAATATGGTAGCCAAATTCACTGTGGGAGGGAGAAACCATTCTCTCACAAGTCAGGAGGGTGTTCAGCTCCAACCCTGGTATAAAAGACAGTTCCTAATTAATAAAGAATACCTTATTTATTCCTGATGATGATAATTAAGGAATGAGTTTAGGAAGACCACAATTTTGACCCCATTGACTTAAAACATAGGAACTCATAGAATTTTTAGAAATTAAAATTTTAAGATGATAATCTCAAGGCTAAAATCATGAAGAATTTTTGGTCTCTGATGCGTTATAGTTTAGGAATAAATCTTTGTGTGTCAGCAGTTATAAATAAGAATCCAAGTTAGATACATTAACACTATCAGCACACTGGCAAAATTCCTTTTTATGCTATCATAAGAGGATCTGCAGACTTGCAGCAATTAGTATGGAATCCATCATACACTTAGCGGGAGAAAAAACATGCGATCACATCAGTACCAAATATATACAGACTAGCACCAGACTACTTTGTTATTTTTAAGCAGAATAAAATATTTACAAAAATTTCAAACAACCCTTCCTTTAGGAACGGTACAAAAAAAGATGATTAACATGCAGCTGTATTGCCAGACTTGTGTACGTTTCGTGATTCAGCATTCCCTGAAATACTAATATAATGCCATTTTTAATGACTATGATTCTTTTTCTATCCCAAGTTTCTTTCACTCCAGGGGTGTGCAAACTGGTTTCATTACCTGTCCGAGCAACTCCTCCTTCTCTTCAGCCAGTTTCTTTAGCCGCACATCTACGGTGGAAAGAAATGCACGTCAGTGCACACATCAGTACAAAATATATACAGACTAGTTCCAGACTACTGGTTCCAGCCTTGCAGGCTTAAAATGAAAAGAAGTGCCTGCGTTTCTGATTTTCAGCTTGAAATGTAATTTTGAGAAATGACTTGAGAATTTTAAAAAGAAGTCAATTTTGACCAGATTTATTTCCTATGAAGCTCCACAGCAGCTTGTGTTTGGGAAGAGGATGTGCAGCTGCTTAATGTACTGACTCCACAAAGGCTCTTGCATAGAAATATGGCTATGAAAAAACAGACCAACAGCAGGCACCCATTCCTGACAGGTCATCTCTCCTGCAGTCATCGGTCTGGCTTCTCTGTCTGACGTAATAATCCACATTGAACCGAGCTAGATGGATAAGCTGTAAAGTGCACAGCCAACCTCACTCAGGCTGCATTAAAACAAGATGTGCTGGTTCAATAATTCTTCTATACTGCTCCCACCACACGGTGCACTCCATTCATTACTAGCACCAGCTGTACACTTTCAACATCAATAAACCCAAATGTCGACAAATGGGGATCTAACTTGCAATATTTGCATACGTTATTGTAACTAGCAAACTCTGGGTGCGGAGAAGTCAACCCTCTAGTACACCACTCGGATGCCAAATTCAAGGAAATCAGTACCGAGATCAGCTTCCGTGATTAGTGCAGAGGTTCACATTGAATATCCAGCATTTGCTATTTACAAATCCTTTCGCAAATCTCACACATTAGACCCCATTTTGAACATTGCAATGCTCCTCAGACAACTTTTTTCATTTTACACAATCTAAACTATTCCAATGTTTTTTTTTGGATCTACCCTGGGTCTCCATTACATATGGAATATGGAGGAATATAAAGAGAAGAGGGAATTGCTTCAGAGATAATGCTACAAGCTACGATACGTGGATTGGATTATATAGAAATCTGTCGACCAATTGAATATGAAAGACAAGAACAGGTTAGATTGTGGAAATCTCCAGTGTATACACACTATAATGGAGACAAACCTAGTGGTCCATCTCCTGCACCTTCCAGCACTTGAGCAGCCTCCTGGGACACAACAGTAATTGCACCAACAATTGGCTCGTGGTTTATGTCACCGTTAGGTGTGCCTTCGGGTATGATCACCAAGCCGTGCTTCTGGAAAAAGCAAACGAAAAGGGCAGATCGGTATGATAAGTGTTTGAATATTTTACTGGCAAATCAAGTTACAACCGTAAGGAACAAAGCATTTTATAACAATAATCATCCTTGTATTGGATATAGTCCCTTACGCTGAAACACCTCAACATAATTTACATACAGTGTAGTTAGTGACTGTGTATTTGTAGGCAAACGCAACAGCTAATTTATGCACAGCAACATCTTATAAATGACAAAGAGGCCAATGACCAGCCATCATCCAAACTGGAAGATTTATTGGCTAGGATACCAGGAGAAACTCCTTCTCTTTTCGAATCATGCCTTCGAACTTTAACATCCACCTGAACAGGAAGAAGGGAGCTCAGATTAATGTCTCATCCAAAGGATGGGACCCATAACAATGCAGTGAGCCTCCAGTTGTGATTTTGTTCCCAGCAGATTTGAAGACCAGATCCATATAGAGGCAGAGGAGACTCAGTGAAAATAAGCTTTCACTTATCATCCTTGTTTCATAAACAAATATGGTCTCCCTGCACAAATAAACACATTTCACCAGTTCTGCCTGTTATGAAATGGGCAAACATTAGCCTATCTCAAACAGATTAAAAAAAACAAAGGCTAATGTGAATAAAATATTTGAACTAGTCAACAGCATAATTGCTGCTGTCAGAACAGGCAAAAGATCAGCAATCAGCCTGCGATTAGCAAAGAAACGATAAACTGAACCACGTGAAATAATAATAATCCTTGCATTTGATATAATGTCTTATCACATCTTCGAGATGTCTCAAAGCACTTCACAGAATACACTGTAAAATGAATTGACTGTATAGTTTGTGGGTGAATCTCGACAGCTAATTGCACACAGCAGTGTCCCACAAGCAGGGGTGGATTGATTGAACAAATATTTTTTTTTGAAGGAATTATTACCCCCGGAAAAGCAACCCGCCAATCAACTAACAGCCAGATTCCTACATACTGCTAGGTGAACAGAGGCGTGAGGAGTAAGAAACTTGCCCAACATTTCACCTAGCCCAGGAATCAACCCCCAGCCCTCTCACTTCGCAAGGCTGGTACTCTCACTAATACTTCACAGGATGTCACGTAAATACATAGCACATTGAAGGTACAGTTGCCTTAACTTGAAAACATAGGCAGAACAGGCAGAATCCGATGTATACTGTATTTCACAAGTACTCTGGTCCTTGCTTTTTCAAATTATATTTTGACCCCAGGAAAAGCATTACACCAATCGACTAACAACCGGGTTCCTATTTACTGCTAGGCGAGCAGAGGCATGTGGAGCAAGGAAACTTTCCTAACATTTCACCTTGCCCGGGAATCAAACCCAGGTAATAACAAGGACTCTTGCATTTTCTATCTTCAGTCTTGAAGTTCAGGAAAGATTCAGAGGAATTGTACTTGGGGTTCTGGTTTTAGCATAGAGTAAGATGGTCCCATCTTCCACTGATTTTCATTGACTTGGATTATACAGAGTCCAGGTGTAAGAGATGGGTTTTCTCTGCAGCAAATTGAGTCACTAATACTGTAGATGCAACATCGCTGAAAACTGGTAGGGAAGCTATTTCCTGTGACAAATGCAGTTAGGCTGTCGTCAATCTACCTGTTTATCCACCTTTTCACCTGAATTGCCATAGTACAAAGTGAATGGTATCACCGAACCCAGAAACGGATTCAAATGGACGGTGAGGCGGGTGAGGGAGTTGGGGACAGTGAGGCGGGGGGGAGGGGAGTTGGGGACGGTGAGGTGGGATGGAGGAGGAGTTGGGATCAGTGAGGAGAGTTGGGGATGGTGAGGAGAGTCGGGCCACATGGTGTCCACGAGTTCAGGGGTCTACAGAAATTTTACTTTAATTTTTAGTTTCAGACCCAGCCTGGAAGGGTACGAATTCTGGATACCCAGCACAATACACACACACAACACACAATCACACACACACACAACACACAATCACACACAACACACAATCACACACACACACGCACGCACCACGCACACACCACGCAACACACACACACACCCACGCACCACACGCACACACGCACACACACTGTACACGCACACACGCACACACACTGTACACGCACGCACACACACTGTACACGCACGCACACACACTGTACACGCACGCACACACACTGTACACGCACGCACACACACTGTACACGCACGCACACACACTATACGCACGCACACACACTATACGCACGCACACACACTATACGCACGCACACACACTATACGCACGCACACACACTATACGCACGCACACACACTATACGCACACACACACTATACGCACACACACACTATATACACACACACATACAATATATACACACTAAATATTAAAGCAATATAGTAGAAGTTTCTCTTAAAGTTTATTTAATTTAAAGCAGTTATTTAATCTATTTCATCCAATGTATGTACACATTCTTGTTAGTGACACAAAACTGCATCATGTGATGGTATTTGCATGTTGCATATTTTGGTGTCCAGGATATTTTGCACTCAACTGTAGACTGGTATTTTTTTTACATGCCTTTCACATCAACAGGGTGTCTCAAAAGTGCTTCACAGGATATATTCTAACATGCAGTGACTGAATATGGTCATTTAACACGAGTTGTATGGTCAATAGCAATGAGTTCTGCGGATCGTCTTACTATCTTTGAAAACTGAAGTAGTTATTCACAAAGACACAGACTGTTGTTAATCTCAGAAAATAAAAAGTTTGACAAGGAGACTCATTTTCACTAGTTGATGTGGGAGAAGAGCTTGGGGGAGGAGGGACGAAGAGACAATGATGAACAAGTTCAAACTTTCCCCGATTGCCTATTACATTCAGAAGTATGTGTAGAATGGAGAAAGACAGATTTGAATCTGAACTAGCGATCTGATTATTTTCAGTCATGTCTGAAATATTACTGAAAGCAACAAAGGATTAACCACAGGGGAACAAGTAAAGAGACAAACAAGTTTTTTTTTTTAAAAATGCATCTCTACAACCTTCAACTTCCTGATAGTAACAAAAGTAATCCTTACATTTGATATAGTGCATATTATGTCGGGAGGATGTCTCAAAGCACTTCACAGGATTTACTGTATAGATTTACTATGACGAATGTGACAGCCCATTAGCACACAGCAAGGTCCCATAAACGGCATGAAGTGAATGACCTTTTTTTATTATTTGGGGGCTGTTGGCCAGGAAACCTAGAGAAACTTCTTTTTTCGAATGGGATCTTCAACGTCCCCCTGAACAGGCTGATGTGTCCTCAGTTTAACACCTCATCGAAAGGACGACACCTCCAATGATTCAGTACGTCCCGGCATGACAAATGGAGTCTCAGCCAAAACAAGTTAAAAGCCCCAACTCTTGCTTTTGATCCTTTCTGATGCTTCAATAAGCAGCACTTTATTTGAGGGGAAGCCAGAAACTATACAGGCTTAAAAATACAAAAACAAAACAAAAAACTTATTTGAACAGGAACTTGATGCTATTTAAAACACAGTAATTTTTGCTCACAAACCCCCTGTGGTACCATTTCATGAAGGACACATTAACAATATGAACATTTTACTCCAGGTGACATTGATGGACAGGATGAAATTACGATGCTCCATCTGCATCCTTAACCATTTTATATACCAAAAATACGTTACAAATGCAAACACATATCCATCCATCAGAAATAGACTGAGGAAGAAAACACTAACCTCCTTCAATTGTTAATAGTAATAATACTTGCATTTGATGCAGCATCTTATCACATCCTTGAGGCGTCTCAAAGTGCTTCATAGTATATATACTGTAAAGTGAATTGACTGTTCATTTGGTGGGTGAAACACAGCAGCAAATTGAACACAGATGTGTCCCACAAACAGTCGTGGATTGAATGATCAAATTATTTTAATTTTTCTATTTATTTTTTATAGGGATTATGACCTCAGAAAAGCGATCCGCCAATCGACGAACAACCAGGTTCCTATTTACTGCTAGATAAACAGATGTGTGTGGCGTAAGGAAACGTAGCTAAATTTTCGCCCTCCCCGAAGATCGAACCTGAGTCCTCTCGCCTGCGAAGCGAGTGCTCTAACCACTATGCTACAGGACTCCACACGAGTTTTTGTTGAAAAAAATGGTTACAGGTTGCATTTACCCCAATGCTGACCGAGTTTAATTAGAACGTTTTCAGATCCCAAACTTGGACAAAGAACACTGCCTAGCCTATGCCAAAATGGCTTGCATTTCCTACCTTCGATTTTTCCCTTAGTTCAGCCAACTCATCTCTCAGTTCATCGCGCTCATTCTTAATGCAGTCAAAGTAGTCTTTTTGTCTCTCTAGGGCCTAGGCACAGGATAGGAAGCAGGATAAAGAACACGGCAGAGAAAAGAAAAAAAAGTGCATGTAAAATGCAGCAAAGATTTGAACAGCAGGGGAGACAGTACAGGAAATGGGAAAGGAAAGCTATGCAAAGAGCGCAAACTAAATACTCAGCTTCCACTAGTATGTCTCGGGTTTTGTCACTCTTTTATAAGCCTTCACATGCTTTCAGCTGCTTTATCAAACACAACTGTTAAATATTAAAATCAGTCTCATGCATTATAAACAAGCAACTTAATAATGGAATAAAATGCACCCATACAATTAAACTCTAGCCTTTGCCTCATTTTCAGTCATGCAGTTAGACTTTCGACACACTTTATTGAAGTTTAATCTCATGCTTCAACTGAATGTAGACAGAAATGCAAACTGGTCGGTAAATAAACCTAATTTTTAGACTTCGATCTCTCAGCAGGGAGGTGAAATATAAAGAAAAACTGAGTGATAAGATTCTGAAATATGAAAAGAAATCTACAGCAGGTTAATGACCATCTGAAGGAGAAAGACAGGTTCATGTATCAGGTAGGACCATAGGAATTGCCAAAATAGAGGCAACCATTTGGCCCATGCTGGTGTTAGCTTATCCATTGGAGCCACCCACTCGTCATTTACTATCTCCTGCTTTCATACTCTGGTCTTATCTGCTGAGGAAATCAAACCATTTTCAGTTTCATTTGATAACTTTGCCTATATAGGATTGTGGGAACTAATACATAGTGATTTGTGATCAGTCAACAACAGCGATTCTAAGTAACTGGAAACAGGTCACTCCAACCGGTGGAAATTACTAACACAATCTACTTTTTTGGAGGGGGAGAAGGCTGACTATGACACACATTGGTAATCGGCAGCAGGAGTTGCTATTACCAGCTCTGATTCCCTGCATATCAGACCTTATAATTGGCAGACATGCAGACAACAATTCATTGGCAGAAGCAGAAATCGCTAATGCAGTAATTAACCAAGAAACCAAAGAGATCTCATGCAGTCACATTCCTGATGCTCCATTCGACTATCCTACCCCAATTTTTTTGTCTTTCCAGATGACAGTTTCCTGCAGATCAAATACTTCCCTGGTGAGGGTGTCCACCCTTTGCTGCATGCACTTGTTCTCCTACAGGACAGGGTCAGAGGTGGCAGCAGGAGGCCGTGGCAGGATGAGGGGAGGAAATTGGCGAAAGAGAAATCAACACAAGAGACAGAAGGAAAAGGAAAAAAAGATGCATTGAGAATTTAAAAAGAAGTGGAATAAAATGAGCATAACAAGAAGTTGCGTTGCAAGATTTAGAAATAAGACAACAGAATGTCAATTCAATAGAAATATTTAGTAGCTACTGATGTAGATACTCTGCTTAGTGTACTGTCTAACTTTGCTCAAATAACCTGCTTCATTTACCTTATTTTCAATCTTTCCCCCATTGAAAACTCTGGATTGTGTCAAAACAGAATTCAAACACAGATTATACACAGATTTGTCAGATTTAGATTATTCGAATTTAGATAAGATGGATAAGATCAACGTATATTTTCCCTTGATTGTTCATACTGAATATTTAAAAAATAGAGTTCTTCCACCTCAAAATGGCTGATTTACAGGTGGTAAGGCCATAACCAACTTCACTTCCTACACAATACACGTGGGCAGGCAACGTCCTTAAAACATCAGCCACCGCCAACTCACTTACACAGGATTGCCCTTTAAACACAGAAGGGCTAAATGGCCTTCTTCTATGATGTCAATTCCTATGGTTCTACACTGAAGGCACTGCCTCTGCACTGCACACATGCACAGGAAGCCGCAATTCTGGTGAGCGTATGACATAGCTCAAAACATGAAAAATAATAAGCCATGGAAGTAAATTTTCCTCGATTTGGAGACAATTGGAAAAAAAACTTCAAACATTGACTTTTACCGATCAAAATGAGACACCGGCAAGCCTAACGTATAGCTCAGACTCTTTTGGTATGGCTCAATTCAAAATTAAACTGTGATCTACTCTGCTGTCATCCATGCGTCAGAACAATGTACCCAAGCCAATTTCTGACGCTTAATATATTGTCATCTAAATATAGTACCATACAAAAACACTAAAGTTCAGCATTTTCCACAATAAAGTTGAATCAATAATGTTTGATAGTTCAGTAGCCTGACAAAATTCAGTCCACAGTCATAAGTGAAGAAAGGTCAAAGGGCTGCCACCCACTGTGGATCTGTACATTGGAAAAACATAACATTTGACTGAATTCAAATGAAATGTGTACAAAATAAAAGCACTTTCTAGCTACTGAACTAAACAAACAGCAATTTGTTTTCTTTTGGTACAGTCTATGTTAACCTGCTTTTACCGCAATTTTAAAAAAAACACAATCCCTGTGCATACTGACATAGAAAGCCCAATGTTTCAATCTAAATTCTTGATTACTCAATAGATGGCAAACCAAAACATTGCCATACCTCTACACAAAATAACAAATACCAGATTTGCAACCCACTGTATCCTATAATGTCCAATCAGAAACTACAATGCACCAGTACAGCGATTTACATTACGTTAGTAGATTTACATTAGTAGAGTGCTTTTTCCTTTGGGAAAATGTCCCAAAGCTCAGAGTTTGGCAGTGTTCTTTAAGATGCACAAAACTGCCATAGAAACTTTACACCAAGTACAATACAAAATTACATTTGTAAAACATCTTTCATGTTGAGAGGACGTCCCAATGCGCTGAACAGTCAGGGATTATCAACGAGCGGGGGAGTGGAGGGGCAGAGAGGGTAGGAGGGTGGCCAAAGGCACGGTCAAAGAGGAGGGCCTTGAGGCATGCCTTGAAGGAGGCAACAGAGGAGCGAGGCAAAGGGAATGTGGGATGGAGTTCCAGAGGGTGGGGCAGTCTGAAAGCCCGACCGCCGATGGTGGGACGGGCTGGACATGGAGCAGGCCGGAGCCTGCTAAGCGAAGGGAACGGGCAGGTTTATAAGGGGTTAGCACGTCAGAGAAGTAGGAGGGGACAAGGCCGCAGAGGTGAGGTGAGGACAAGAATTTTAAATGGCCAGTGGAGGCTGGGTGTGATAGGGTCATGGAGCCTGGTGTGGGAGAGGTCACGAGCTGCAGAGTTCTGGATGATCTGCAGCTTATGAAGGGAAGAGTTGGGAAGACCGACAAGCAGGGAGTTGGCATAGTCAAGCCTAGATGTAATAAAGGCATGTATGAGGGTTTCAGTGGCCTGAGAGGCGAGGCAGTGGCAGAGTCGGACAATATTGCAGAGGTGGGGGAAGGCAGAGCAGGTCATGGCACGGACACGGATGTGGGGGAGAAAGGACAGGCGACGGTCGAATAAGACTCCTAGGTTCCTGACTGGCTCGGTGAGGTGGAGTGTGCATCCGTTGATGCTGATGCTGCCAGTACCTGAGGTGCTGGCACGAGCCAAATCAGGAGAAATACTTATATCGAGCCCACACCTACCTCTATAAGCTCATCTCTTTGGCGAATCCCCTCTTTCAGTTCCTCTGCTTTGTGTTGAGATACAATACACATGTGTTTCTGTCGTTCCAGTTCCTGTAAAACAAGGCACAAATTGAACTCATCAAGAGTTTTGGAAATGTTTCCCACACAAATGTTGTCTTCTGAGCAATTTTTCAAAGCAGACAGAATCCAGTTTTGTGAGCAATTGCCAAAACACCCACAACAATGGAATATAACCATTGTGACCACCTGTAGAAGAACGTCTTTGCCAAACAATGTAGCTGAACAAACCGGCTCAACAGCACTGCTCTTCCTCAGTTACCTTTGACTTCTCCACATTTTCTCTATACAGTTCTGACATCTGCTCCTCCAGCTCCTCTATCACATCTTTTAGTGTATCCACTTGATAGATTAGGTTAGATTTTTCATTGTCCAGTTGTGCATTGGAGACCATGGCTTTTTTATATTTCTCTTCTACTTCTGACAAGGAATCCTGCAATGCAAACACGCCATTTATTTTTGGTAACTTGGATGCTGTACTGAATGGACCTCTATATGCAGATGAAGCTGGAAATCAGTGCAGATACAGGGAACATGCAAGAATGAACAGACACGATTTGGTCGATGTGCAGGAGGCCAAGAGAGGAAAAAAAGGCATATTCTAAAAATGACAGGTAATTGGGTCGGAACTGATCACAGCAATAATCAAATCATAGTTATTCTGGACCCATTATTTGGTCATCGATCAGCAGACTGAGAAATGTTATATGGGGAAAAGATTAAAACAGAAGATAGATATTCCAGACACTGGATTATTAAGGTTATTAAAGGATATGCAGTAAAATGGGTAAATTGAATGTTCCTTTTTTTTGTCAAAAGCATTTAAACTTTGATTTAAACCATCAATTCAGCTCAGTTTTGTTCAGTCTTGCTGTCTCTTTTGAAGTCAGACTAACATAACTCAGCGCCTTGGGACGTCCTCCCGACGTGAAAGGCGCTTTATAAATGGAATCTTGTTGTTATTGTTGTTTTTGATAATAATGTACTATTTGTAAACTAATATATGAAAAATGAAACTGCCATTTAGAAGATTGTCTTTCTTGATAATAAACGTCTTCTGATAATTCTGCATTCATCAAGACAAGGAATGCAAGTGCTGAGAAACAGAACACTTTCCCAGTTCTGTCAGCGAGTGCAAGCATTAAGTGTTCCCAAGGCAGGTACAGAACTGTTGGATACAGACTAAAGTTTCCTGCACTCCATCTCAGCAATGTGACTCGCCCAATCTCAGGCGAATATAGTATTCACTAATGCCCCAGTGTGACATTTTTCATTTCCTATTTCCCACACTAGTCATCTTTTGTACTCTGAGTCACACTGCCATTTTTGTAAGCAAGCATTCATGTGGCTGTAGGCAAACAGAACAACAAGGCAGCTTATCTGGGAATACAATGAAGTAATAATAATAATAATCCTTGCATTTGATATTGCACCTTATCACGTCTTTGAGATGTCTCAAAGCACTTCACAGAATATATTGCGAAGGGACTTGACTGTATATTTTGTGTGCAAAACTACTATGGGTGAAAGTACTATGGAGTAAGTTAAGAGACTTGACTGGTAGATAGGTTTGGAGGCCAAAAACAGTTGCAGGCAACGGTGGAGTCCCATCACCACAGATTAGATTTTGTTTCAATTTCTAGCAAAATGTTAATTTGATACTACATTTTTCAATCACATATTGAACAATTCTGAGATCTACCACAATTGTAATCATTCTCATCAATGTGATATAGCTGAGTTCACAGTATGTGGGCTTCTCTCTGTATGCATTTCTGTTCGGACAAATCATTCACTATTAACTAGCATGCAATAACTAAAGGGTGAAAGTGAAATTAACCAGCCAAACAAAGTAGCTGCACTTCTTCGTGACAAATTTTCCTAAAATTTAGCAGAGGATAAACAGCAGAAGGGAACTAATGGTGTAATGTCAGAAGTTAGAACAATATTGGTTTAGGCACAGGCGGCAGCTTTTAGAGTTGGGGTTTTCTGTGAAGCGCTTTGGGACGTCTAGAAGATGTGAAAAGTGCTATATCAAATGCAAGGATTATTATTATTTTTCGCCCAGTGCAAACTCTTAGTCAGGAGAGAAATCATTCCCTGGATACAAATAAGGGGGAAAAGGGAACTTGCAAAGTTTAGTCAGGAATCAGTACAATTCTCAGTATCCTAGCTAGCCATGCAGAACATCAGTAATCAGTCTAATTCACAATATTCTAGACATGCAGAAGTAGAAGCGGTTAACTTTCCAGTACAGGTTCGAAGCACAATGAAGAATCAAGCGGAAGACTTTTTATTAACATAAAGAATGCTGCACACATTTGCGTAATCCTTTGTGTTTATAAATAAATGCCATTCCATTTTTTTAATATATAAAAGTGCAAAAATAGTTAGTAGCAGAAAGATTGATTAATGCTCTCCAGGGCCTGATGATCTCATCCATTTTTCCCTCTCTTGGTACACATCCATTACTGCTGGTGCTATGGTCACATTAGATGTATAATTAAGTTACATAAAATAGTGAGACTGTTGAAACATAAAGCAAAAAAAAAGGTTCACAGTTCAGAATTCAGACAACACAATGGTTTTGCTGCCAGAATACGACTTTGATCTGTACTCTTTTTTTCCGAAGAATAATATGACTTTCCTCCAAGTCCTACACACGCCACATAATAACGTGAATAATACTAAGGATGACGCTCAAGTAAAAGCACATGCGACAATGATCCTAAATGTCTACCACATTGCCAAAACACAGGAGTTAGTCAAATTCTACAGAAGGAATTGTGCTATAGCATGTTAAGTGAGTGCAGGTCAAAATCCACAGGATATACACAAAAAACATGCTGGGGACATGGCCCTGATACCTTAAGTTCCTTTAATCCCTGCATGTATCTCCCCTCTACATCTTGTATCTGGTCCTTAAGATCATAGATATCCTGTTGGGACACATGGAATGAACCACTGGATAAATGGGAGGGTCCAGGGAACAAACAAGACATCAAACTGAAATTCTGCAAAGGGTTACAGTTCTCGTACACACAATCCTGTAAGATCTCGGTCAACTAAGCGGAGAAGAAAAAAAATCACATGTACTTAAGTTTACTGTCTTACCCGCAACTCACTGAGCGATACATCTGGATCCAGAACGCTGCTCGAATCCCCACTTCCTCGCCGTGACGACGAACCTCCGAGTGAGGCCAGGGTGGCTGGCGATAGCCCTGCCACCGCATTGCGAGAAGCAGGCTGATTAGTGCAGGGGTGCGGGGAGAGAGAGAGAGAGAGAGAGAAAAGAGTGCTGGTTACCATGGAAACCAGCCCGAGTGACTTTTGGAACGCAACATTTGTGTTTCATTTGTATGGCAATCTGTCCAACAACAGAAGGGTTGAACAGTTTTAAAATTCAGCTGTGATGATTTCTAGATTTGGGGGTGGGAAGAAGATTAAAAAAAAACACACAATGCAAACCCTCCAAGCAAAGTAAGCACAACTTTATACAAAAACACCCGGCTTTTCATTTCAGAACCTTTTAAAATAATTACGCTTCCAACATATTTACACAGTGCACTTCTTCTATCTTGCTCCAAGCCACCATAGAATAAACGTCCTTAAACTGAAAAGCTCAAAGTTGTATATAGACCATGCGTAGGTTCAATGAACTAATCCAGATATCAATTTGACACAACATAGCTGTGGGGTTATGATAATCCTTGCATTTGATATAGTACTTTTCAGCTTTGGGAGGATACCTCAAAGTGCTTCAAGGAATTTGCTGTAAAGTGTGGACCAACTTGGCAGCCAATTTCCACCCAGCCATGTGTCACAGATAGGCATGAAGTGAATGACAACTTTTATTGGGGGGCGGGGGTAGTCTTTTCTAATATGGGAGCTTTAAAAGTGATCAGTCTCATTTGAAGGATGGCACCTCCAAAGCAGAGCATCCTGGGCACTAGATAGAGTCTCAGCTTGGACTGTCAGTTCAAAGTCCTGACCTGGGTACTCAAACCCAAACCTTCTGACTCAGAGGCGAGAGTACTACTAACTGAGCCAGGTTGACACCTAAATTACCAATCATTGAGGTAATGATTTCCCTGCACATACTGTCAAAACTCAAAGAATTCTAAAAAAAATTTTTTTTTTTTTTTTTGAATGTTGCCATATCAATTCAGCTGGCGTTATCATAGTTGAAAAAAAATTGATTAATGCCATGTCTGAATTGATGCTCTATCCTATAACTGTTCTCAAACAGAATTACTATTTTATGTGCTGAGCATTAAACGTAAAGTGATTCAAGAAGGCTAGTGCTTAACTCTTTGTACAAAAGGCGCATAAAATTAAACCCTTAATTACATGAAGCCAACACATCAGATTTGGACTTTATTCAAATATGCAACGAGTTACCACAGCAATTTACACCGCAGTGAGTTAAGGACAATGTACATCAAATACGATCCTATTGATATAGTTCATTGAACATTTATATTAACAATAGTTTGACAAAGACTGTATGTGCTTCATTGAAAGATAATGCGCACACTTGCTTTCCCAGTCTCTTTCTCTACTGGATTAGTGGAGTTTAGTGCAACCTTTATCAGATCAACTATTGCTTAAAAATCAATCTCTAATATTGATAAACTCCAGCTTGGGGGGGTGAACTAAGGTGTTTTTCTAGTGAAACTTTAGAAAAGTTCCAGCTTAAACTCAGTGCTGCCTCAGTCCAGCAGTTGTCACATTATAGTGAGTCACACTTTAATCATACAGGATATAGTGCTTCATGCACTAATTCTGACATGTCCGTTCAATCCAGGTGTATAGCTTGTCCCACATCAATTGTTGGTGCTGAGTTTATACTGCTGGAAGCAGAAGTGGGTATTTCCCCACTTTCAAATCACTTTCACCAGAAGTGGCGAGGACCTCTGTACACAGACAACCCACCAAATGGGAGAGCTAGTTTTTGATCTTACAGAAAAAAATTGAAATGACATTGTCTCGTTAGCTGTATTGAAGAGGTCAAGATACAACAATTAATTTCCTAATCTTGCCTTCCGGAGCAGAAACTTCATGATTTCTCTGGCCAGCGAGAACCAAGCAAGTGCAGAGACACCGAAGATGGACTTATTCAACCAGTCTATTGACTTCTTATGAATAGACTTTGAAGTTCACTAATGATGCCTATAATTGGCAGAACAGGGCTGCCTTGCTTATAGTGCAAGTGCACTGTGGATTGCAAGTACTGTACACAGGTTTCCATCTTCTGGGTCATTAATGACATCACTCTTGGCCTGCAGCTGCAATGCGTATGAAGGGAAATCAGTGGCTTCCTGTCGACTCAGAAGTGGGATATTTTTCCACTCTTACTTGTAATACAGAAACAGAGATATTGGAGCCAGACAACTGCGTTATAATGGGGGTTACTCTGTACAACTCCTCCCCCCACCCAGGAAGGAACAAGGAGAATTTTAAGTGACAAACATTTTCATAATATTTCCATAACCATCTTCTTCCCAATTTCAGGACGAGGAAATCCAGATCTGCTCAAGACTTTGAAAGCTTTTCGAACTGCCCTGTATCATTAATAGATGCAGGATTAGAAAATAAATTGTCATATGTTGACTACTTCAATACAAATAATGAAACAATGGCATCTGAAAATCAACAGTCCACAATTGGATTCACTAACAGGCGATCAGGCTGGAATCCTGCTGGTAACTGGCTCAAGGGAACCACGCAATCTGCTTCCCACCTCCAGGGACAGTGGAGGAAAAAAGGGAAGGGGTGTCAGTCCCACTAATCAAGGACTCTATTGCAGTGCTGAAATACAAGGGTGTCGGAAGGGTAGATGAAAAGACAATATATCTGGGTAGAGGTAAGAAATAAGTATTACAATATCTGTTAGAAATTTATTATAGAACAGCAAATAGTGGAAATTAGATGGAGGAAGAGATCTGTAGAGAAATCTGGGAGATGTGCAAAATAAGGTAACAACAACAAATTACATTTGTATTGCACTTTTCACATTGGGAGGACGTCCCGAGACACTGGACAACCAGGGATTTAGGGCATTATTAAGTGAGGACTTTAATTATGCTAAAATAGTATGGGACATGGATAATGCGAGCAGCCAAAAAGGGGAGGGTTTCCTGCAGCGTGCACTGGATTGTTTCCTTAAATCAGACGATTCCAGTCCAACTAGGAAGGATCTTGTTCTAGGAAGTGGAACAAGTGAGTAATGTGAGAGTGGGGGAGTATCTAGGAAACAGTGACTACAACATTATTAGGTTTAATTGAAATTGTAAAGGAGAACGGAAAGTCAGAGAGAAAGGTACCATCTAGAAAAGGGCAAATTTCAAAGTGATGAGAAGGGAACGAGCACGGATAAATTGGGTAGAAAAGCTGGCAGATAACAGAGTCAATGAGCAGTGGGAAACTTTCAAAGCCAAGATAAACAGGGTACAAAATAGGAATATACCTACATTAACAAAGTAGATACTGCTATAACTAGGGTTCTTTGGGTAAGTAGGAATGAAAATAAGACAAGGGAAGTCAGGGAGGAAATAGTCAGGGAGGAAATAGGAAATAGTAGATGCTCCTGACTACAACTTTTCAAACATCCTTGGAGTCAAACGCTAGAGGGTAGTTAATGTAACACCTCTGCTAAAAAGGGAGAACAGGACCAGTCAAATAATTACAGATCAGTCAGTCTACCATCCAATAAAGGGCACACATTTAGAAGCTATTATTCAGGATAATTATTAATAACCACTTGGAAAAACACGGGTTGATTAAATATGGGCAGCATGGATGTCTTAAAAGTCAATTCTTGCCTGATAAATTTAATAAGAGTTTTTTTTGACTGGATAATAGAGAAAATAGATGAAGGTAATGCTGTGGATGTGGTATATATAGATTGTCAGAAGGTGCCGTAAAGGAAACTTGTTGTTAAAAAAAAACATGGTATTAATGGAAAGGTAGCAACATGGATAGAAAGTTGGTTCTATGGCCCTTATGACCAGGTACCCTATAAATCAACAGCTACATACAGCCATGGAGAGTCAAAAATCAGATGTAGCTACTGGTGCAACTAATCAGTGGATAGAACAAGAGAAGACTATCAGATGTTTTTGAGCCCAGTTAACCAAATTTTAAGGGATCTAATTGTAAACATTAAAATCACTGACATTTTTCAACATTCTGCAAAATGAAAGAAGAGTAAGAAGAACTAGTGGATTTCTACTGGCCTGGTCCACAAGCGGCCGGCTATTACCTTTACCAAGATTAACCTCTAATCCAGAACTAATTCATCTCATCCACCGCATCTTTTCCAACATCACTTATGTAATGGGTTTAACAAAACCAACGGAACACAATGATGGCATGACAATGTGCTACTCACCCGAGAAAATGATTCCGTCTTCTCCTCCAACTGCAAAAGAAAAGTCAGCAGTTACTCCTCAAGAATATTCATTTCTTTAAAAAAAAGAAGCTTGATCCTGTGATGGGAGGATTGTAGGATGGGTGTTCTGAAAGAATGAGACCACAAAAGACTGAAGGGTCTTCTTCATCTGAACTAATCTTATGACATAAATGAGATAAATGCTGGACGATTGGCTTGTGAGAGCGATCAGCACAGTGTGATACTAAAACGTAAAAACTCAGAACAGCTCCCAATTTTATGTCCCTCAACATAAAGTCCACTTCCACCAAACCCTGTATCGTGTCACTCGGGATCAGGGCACACCTCGCTTACCCAGGAACCTAATGCCACCATCACGTCTGTGCTGTTGAATGACTGGTAGGAAGTATGATTTAAACTTCCATCCATTCCCCAGCCACCGGTCAGTGTCGTGTATACCCTCACAAGCTACACATAGCAATACACCACAGTTCTGCAAGAATCACACTGACCAACTGGTCAAGTATATACTCGCTTAAATCTGAAAAGAGCTTCATTTTCCATGACAAAGGAGCTAGAGGAAGCCTATAAATATCACTAATCAACCTCACTGGAGGAAGCGACAGCAGAATTATTACAAAGGACTCCTCAAAGACTTGGATTCAGAGTCTTCAATTCCATCATTCATCAAGTCTCCACTGTACAGGCAACAAACAATCAAACCTCCATTTAATAACGGTACAACAGAGTAATTCTGCATCACCGGGGAACTCAGGTATAATTTTTAGTAACTTAAATGAAACTCAAGTTTGATCTTCAGTCACTGAAGGACTATCTGAAAACCATGATTTGGTTATTTGTCATACAATGAGCAAGACCCCAGAGTGCTATTATGTGGGAGATAATTGTACATGCACATTTAAGTGGGAATCAGGTTTTATGAGTTTAAACTACATCCTGCCCTCATTCCTAAGAATTCACTGAAATGCCAGTGAACCTTGTCCTCTGCCTTCTTCAGATTACATTCCACGTTGCCTTGCAAGGAAGCAGAGAATACGGAGGGTTTATTACAAACTCGCCAAGTGTTCAACTCCTGGGCACTGAGGTTAGAGTGCATCCCCTTTCATCGTTTAATATCAAATCAGTTGCCATGACACAACATTTAGTTTATTAAAACAGGCATTTGTTTGTTGAACCCTAACCTAGCAGTAGAAACCTGTGGGTGGAGTGGATCTTAACGTAGTTGTGCAGTACTCATACTCCTTAATAAAGTCTGTTGTCACCAAGCCAACCTGGTGGGTTTGTCACATTGGACAATTTAAGCACTGTAATTTTATTGCGCTTCATATAGTGGTGCCTCCAATAATATCATACTTCAGTGAAACATCCGGCCCGATTAAAACATTTGTCAAATAAACGCCAGACCAGCATTAGCTGCTGAGCAGAGCTCTTTCAGAGCGGGAAGAAATTTACATCTGTTTACCCAGGAGGATAGCGCCTCGGGGGAAGGGCATGATCCCACTCGGTAAGACTCGCTCAGTTACCACAATCTCAGCAAAACCTTCATCCCAGATCATGTTTAACCATAGAAGGGCATAACCACTCCTAAATGAGATCATTCCAGATGCATTACATCCTAAACCACAATACAGTATCCATTAGAGAGGAGCAGCAGCCTAGCACAGTGGGGTTAAAATGCACTTCCAAGGTATAGGCCAACAATTCAAGACTATGACATCCAACACAGAGGTTTCTTGCCTTTTCTCTCCGCTCCAGACATATTCACAGTTTGCACGTTCAACAGATTGAAAGCATTGGTTTTCAGGGATCCCTCAACTCTGCCCAGCTCAGACTGAACAAGTGAAACTTTGCCTCTCAATTGTCCTCTCAGAGACCAGAGTGAAATGTAACGTTTATAGTTTTAATCCAGGGTCTGTTGGCCGAGAGACACAAAACCTTCTGTAATGTTGTGTTATGTTGATCGCCTGCCTCTCACGTGCCAAAGTTGATTAGTTAGTGAAATTGTAAAATTCACACCAATATAGTAGGTGCTCTTTCACTGAGACTGATTGGAAGGACACAGTTGAGGCAGGTTTACATCTTGCCTTTGCTGAACTGGCCAAGTAGCACTCAATATTGATAATGTTTGCAAAAATAATCTGTTTACCACTTGCAATGAATGCTCTCCCCTATAGCAGGCACTAGGAGTATGGATTAATGCAACAACCTCCAGAACAGAAGACTTACTTTGCTGCTGGATTTCCATTTCACCCTTTTGAAAACACTCAATCTTCAAAGCATACCTCCTTTTGCCACACCTCCAGGGTGTAACTGCTGTACAATGCAGCTACTGTAGATGGTTATGCCTAGGATTCCAAACTGAGGAGTCGACTTTGACCTCTATCACCAGGAGCAGCGACTCACCCCAGCACTAACTCAATTCCAGTTTTGAGTACAACCACCAGAGGTGGTGGCGCTTCACTGCTGTTTAAGTCTTGGATAACCAAATAAATATACTCACTGAGGTAATCTCGACTTGTCCTCCTAAATAAACTAGGCACAGAGGTGGCTTCTGTCTAAAATGGGAAGATGATTTATTTCTGAATGGCTCAGAGACCACCCAATCTCGTACAAGACCAACTTCAGATAACGTTCACAGCTTAAAGCATAGCATTTATTTCACAGCGGCAGGAATTAGTCTGCAACTATAAATGTTTCTATTGTAAGTGTGTGTGCGGTAGAGAGAGAGAAATAGCTTTCACAGTAGAAATCTCATCATTATGACAACCTGCAGGTTTTTTTTAAAATAGATCAGCTCATATAATTATCCCTCTCCAGGAATCAATATTGCACATTGCCCTGCAGTGCAACAGGAACTCGAGACTAATCCAAGTCGTTTCTCTAACTTTGCTTGCATTTTCATAGTAGCTTACATAAAAGCACATCACAGTAATTATACTTCAGGGTCAGTCTCAAAACCTTCCTCTTTGACTACGCTTTCAGTCATTTACCCCCACCCCGCTGTTGGCTTTAACCCCTCCCAAATCCAACCCCCAGCTCAGGTGCAAACGCTCAACTGTCCAGAGTCTTAGAACATCCTCACCTCACTAAGCCGGTCAGGAACCTGGATGTCTTGTTTGACCCCGAACTGTCCTTTCTTTCCCACATCCACGCCATGGCCGGCACTGCCTACCACCACCTCCGCAACATTGCCAGACTCCGCCACTGCCTCACCACTGGCTGCCGAAACCCTCACCCATACATTCATCACATCAAGGCTCGATTACAGAAACTCCCTCCCATCGGCCTTCCCAACTCTTCCCTTCACAAGCTGCAGATCATCCAAAACTCTGCAGCTCGTGTACTCTTGCGCACAAGGCTCCGTGACCCCATCACTCCCACCCTCGCCCGACTCCACTGGCTCCCCATCCCCCAGAGGATCGAGTTCAAGATCCTCGTCCTCACTTTCAAGGCGTTGCCCCCTCCTACCTCTCTGACCTGCTGACTCCCTACCAACCTGCCCGCTCCCTCCGTTCAGCAGGCTCCGGCTTGTTCCATGTCTCCCACCCGACCATTGGTGGCCGGGCTTTCAGCCTCTCTGCTCCCACACGCTGGAACGCCATCCCACGGTCCCATCGCCTCGCTTCCTCCCTTGCCTCCTTCAAGGCTGGTCTCAAGACCCTTCTCTTCGATCGTGCCTTTAGTCACCCTCCTACCTCTCCGCCTTCCCTCACCCCTACACCACCCCTCCCCCATGCTCGGGCCCCAACACCTGACTGTTTAGCGCTTTGGGACGTCCTCCCGATGTGAAAGGCGCTCTATAAATATAATTTATTGCTGTTATAGTTGTTGTAACAGACAATGTACTGTGCTTACTTTTGACAACAACTATAAACAGGAATAAATTGCATTTATCAGCCATGAGGTGAATGACCAAATAATCAGGGAGATTGTTGACCAAGGCATGATGAGAAAACTCCTGTTCTTTTCAAATAGTGGTGTGGGATCTTTATCGTTCACCTGAACAGACAGTTTAACATTTCATCGCAAACATAACGCAGCCCTCCCCCAGTATTATGAGAACAAGTCCCGACGAGGAGCTTGAAGCCACAGCCTTCTGCCCCAGAGGCAAAAGTACCACCAACTGAGCCACACTGATAGTTTAAAAGAAATAATAATCCTTGCACTTGATATAGCACCTTATCAAATCTCGAACCGCTTCACAGTAAAGTGTAAAATATACTGTAAAGTGAATTGACTATATTTTGTAGGTGAAATGTGGCAGCAGTCGAGGATTGAGTGGCCAAATTATTTTATTTATTTTGAAGGAATTATTACCCCTGGAAAAGTGATCCTCCAATCGACTAACAAACAGGTTCCTACTTACTGCTAGGTAAACAGAGGCGAGTAGAGTAAGGAAACTTGCCCAACGTTTCACCTTGCCAGGAATCGAACTTAGGTCCTCTTGCTTGTGAGACGAGAGCTCTAATCACTAAGCTACTGTACTCCATGATATGATATAAATACACAGACCGACACTTACTTGCTCTCTTCTGTATTCGTACATTCGCAGCCTCAATTCACATTCTCTAGGATGTTACAGTATAACACTTCCTATCCTCCGCTTGTTTTAGTTCTTTCTCCACTGCCTCCTATTATTTTAACTGAATGCTTTAATTCTCATTTATTCCTCATTCGATTTCTGAACAGCACAGCAGCCCTTCCACCTCATGCAGGAGAACCTAGATCAGCTGGAACAGTAGACTCTGCCGACCCATTAAACCCAAAACAATTCAGAGGAAATGCACTGTACTCCGGCAGGGACAATGATGCCAGCACTTCTGAAGTAGGTCACCTGTCACTAAATTTAAATTTCCACACCGCCTTTGATCCCTGAAGCAATGAAGCCACTTCAGCACCATGACTACTGATCAGCGTATATCTGCACTGCTTTGGCTTCCAAGGAGAGAGAGGGAGAGCATGCGCAAGAAATAAAAGCTGCAAAAAAAANGTGCACAAGGCGAGAGTCAAATAAATGTATTCGTAGTTTTTTTTAAATAGAGGAAATGATATAAGAGCATTAAAAATATGCCATGGAAATTGCCCTGGTGACATAGCAAAGTTATCCCAGTGAGTAGTTGAGGCAAATAAACAACAACATTCTGAGTGTAGAGATGGACTCTGCACAGCGCCTTTCACGTCGGGAGGGCGTCCCAAATAGACTTGGACATCCTCCCAAAGTGAAATGTAATTTGTTATTGTCAGAATCATTTGTCTTAGTCAGGGCAGCAGTTGGATGCTACAATTGGCCCGGTACCTCCAATTTAGGGAGAGCAGGTGGGGGGAGGGAGAGGGAAGAAGAGAGAAAGAGAAAGAAATGAATCAGCGTTCCTGCTTCTGAACTTTATCTATGGACCCTGATGGGCACAGGGCGAGGACATGATCAGGTTCATTTACTGTCAGGGCTGCCACAGGAATAACAGGCAGGGTACACGGGGAGTTCTGTGTCTGTGGATGATTAGCCACACTAGGAGAGAAAAATAAGTTAGAACAGTTAGAAGAGGGGTGAAGAGAGAACAAAAGGAAATGGGAAAAAGAATAAAAAGAAAAAGGATGAAAAGGAACAGAAGATAGAAAAGTATGTTGGAGAGAAACATGATCAACAGGAAGTAAATTCAAACAGAAAAAGATGGAAGTTCACCAATAACTCAGTGACAAATGCATCATGTGGTGTGGCTATTAGCCACACAGACTAGGAAGTTCTTGGGTTTTGTCCCTCGTCTGTGTTGAGTTATCTAATCTGAGTCAGGAAGGCAACTGAAGTGTTGCAACTGGCTTCAGCGCACCAGGAAAGAAAGTCTCCCCAATTGGAAGGGATTTCAATCTGGATCATGACAGCTTGCTGTTGTGCATATGTGATCATCAGCTGAGCACAAAACAAGGCTGGGCTGCATCCACTACAGATATTATCCACCCACTTGATACACTCATCTGCTGACACTCTCCAGCCTTTCAGGAGACACCAAAACCTCCATCTCTGCACTCAGAATGTAACCCAGGGGGTCAGGAAGCAGCTGTACCATCATTATACTGTTTATTTTACTTGCCACATTCCAGGGATATGCCTGGAAAAAAAGTTCCATCTGGGATACATATAGCCAAAAGCAGTCTACAATGCAAAGCTATAACAGGAAGCAACCTTACGATGGAGCACAGGCTCTCTGAAGCACTGGCCAACAACCGAGCCCAAAAATTACTGCTGATGATGGAAGTGACACAGCTCAGCGGAGGAAATCCACGCAAAACTTAAAAAGGACAAGGATGGGGAGGGAGTAGAATTCCACCTGGGGCTCAATTTCTATAGCATTTAAGACCCAAGAATTTGGAAAATGATTGAATTCTTCCTTAACTTTGAAGTTGTTCTTCTGGATTTCTTAAAATATCTTACAAAAAAACTGCTTCAAAATGAAGACCGTATTAAACAATTTGCTAATTTTCTGGTCACTCTAAAATGCTACATAAAAAGAGTAAACCTAGACCCATTTGGAATTCTTCCCAAATTTCAACAGTGACTTCTATCCTCCTCCACCACGATGAATTCAAAAGGTACATGAATGAGTAATCATGGTTTTCCTCTCGAGCCATTCTTCCACGGTCAGTTTATCATAAGCATGTTGGACACTGATTAATACTTGCCATGTCCAACAAGATATTTCTCTCTCTCTCTATTCACAATTTTCCAGCTTGACAAGGCAATACTATTAAATTCACGAGAGCTACTCAGCATTCATCCCCCACCCACCCAACCAACTCATCTTCCCCATCCCCACCCCCCCCATTACTTCTAAAATTATTGGACAAGTCATGAACCAGTATAAACAATTGTTTCTGTTTAAACAAAATATCAGAATAAGCGAGTAAATGGTGCCTCTTAAGCAACTGTACATAAATGCACACAGCTCTCAATTACTTCTGCTTATTGGAGCTAGCGTTGAGAGAATACTGCTACCACAGAATGTGAATGACAAATCTACATCAACCATTAAAAAGGTCCCTTTATGCTTGCAATACATATTGGATCATCATTTGGGAGCATTAGTCTCTTTATTCCTCAAAAAGTTGATCCATTTTAGTTTTTTGTCAAATCACATTTCAAGGGAGTACAACAACTGACGAACTGTAATAATGTTTAAAAGAATTATTGTACTAAGAAATCAGTCCAAGAGCTCTAAACTATACAAGCTTTTAGTTCCTAATTCTAAATGCCAAGCAGTCATCAAGAGCTGGCAATCGCACCGAATACCCATTCAGATTCTTTACATGTCCTTGTAGGTAAATGCACCATCTGGGCGCACACCAGTCCATTACAGATTAGAATCCCAATCTGCATTGAGTTAGTTGCTCAAAACAGTACGGATGCTGTGATTGCCCTCAAGTCCCTTGTCCAGGGAGGGCAAAAATCAGACAGAGTTCACTTCCGATCTCTATCCAGAGATGTCTGTTGAAGTTAGTCAAGTGGGACATTGTATAAAGACAGGATTAGCCTCGCATGCGATGTCCTCCACAGTCGTGTAGATGCCAATACTGAAAGTCAAAACTCACGCATGACGAAAACGTCCAAGTTCACCCATGGAATTTTCTCCCAGCAAAAAGGAGCCTTCTTGTGAGTTCAGGGGAGAAAACTTAAAAATCTTCAACATAACAGTGTTATGTTGAACAACATAACCAGATTTGTGCTGGAAAAAAAAGGCTTGAATGATTGGATGCTAGAAGCGAATCTAAAATAAGCCCGAGGACAGATGCCCCTAGGTTGATGTGTGCACCAACAGGTCTCATTTCTGGCTCTAGATCATTAGCTATAAATCAAACCATGTGACTACTAACACCACAACAAACATGTGTTAGTTTGTCACTCCTCTCTTGTTCTCTCTCTTTCTGTCTGCCCCTCCCTTCCCCATCTGCAATGGAGAATATGATCAACCATAAGAGTGGCTGAGCACATAAAATCAGACATTTTAAAAGCTACAAGACTTGCCCCAAAACCAGAGATATTAGGCCAACATCTTAACTGTTCAGTCACAGGCTTGAGTCTTAAAACAGAGCACATAACGACCCTTCAACATACTTTTACAGCTGTTACAGAACTCAGAAACGTGCATACACAGAGATGTCTTTCACACCATTACAGAAATTAGCAAGTAAAGGGGTCTCACACTAAACAATAATAATCACTGCATTTGATATAGCGCCTCATCACTTCTTTGAGACGTCTTAAAGTGCTTCACTGAATATACTGTAAAGTGAATTGACTGTATTTTTGTGGGCGAAACGCAGCAGCCAATTGCACACAGCAGTGTCCCACAAACAGTTGTGGATTGATTGACCAAATTATTTATATATGTAAATATTTACTTTTGAAGTAATTATTACCCCTGGAAAAGCTAACCCCCAATTGACTAACAACCGGGTTCCTACTTACTGCTAGGTAAACAGAGGTGTGAGGTGTAAGGAAACTTGCCCAAAGTTTCGCCCTGCCGGAAAACGAACGCAGGTCCTCTCATTTACGAGGCGAGAGCTCTAACCACTAAGCCACATGTAAACATACATTTACTCAGTCAGTTTGTTCCAACATCAATGTCATGAGTCACGATTAACAGATGAGTTGCAGAAATATTACAGTCTTCACTTCTCGACCATTCACTGCAAAACCATGCTGCACACAACTGCTCACTCACAATAAAGAGGTCAGGAACAGTAGAGTCATCCAAATCAGATACCACACTCCCCCTGCGGTTTGAGCGGCTAAAGTAGTCAGCTATCGACTCACTCTGATCAGAAAAATCAGAAGACTGCAGAGAAAAGCAAAAAGTTTAGTGAAGAAGAAAAGCAAGAGAACACAGAATGTACAAAGAGGAAATTTGGCTTGTTTCCTGGAGAGTCAACAATAACGTACATTTATATAATGCCTTTCGTGTAAAAGAAACATCTCAAAGAGCTTCACAGAATGAGTCACGGAAATCTAAAGATTGTGTGAGTTGTGTTCAGACCAGTGAAACACACAAAGTAAACATATTAACATTAAGGGCAGGACTCTAAAGTGAGGCTTCAAGCCAGAGAGATTATGTTCTCATTAGATCTCAGAAACTCTCTTTGACACTAATTGATCAGGTTACTGAATTCTGAAAGTGACAAATAGCTCAACTGTTTCTTGGAGACATTTCCGACCTACACACACTACCTTGTTACAATATCCTGTCCTGGTCATTGGGTTAAGCATTTACTGCTTCTCCTTACACTTTGCAGATATAATAACACTTTGCAGATATGATAAGAATTGCAACATCAACTGAAAAGAGGAACCTTCCTTTCATATGTGAAGGAGTTAACCAGGAAACCTCCAACGCACTAATAAAGCAATTCCAGTGCAACTCCTTCACATTTCAGATTTGAAATATGTAAATTACAAGGGAGTCTCTGCCTCACTTGGAAGTCAGGTTGGAGGTTACATCCTGGATTTGCACCAATAGGTTTAATACTGAAAAGTAAGTAAAGGGATGTCATCCACTAATCCACTGCTATGTGGACGATGGATTCAGCAACCATTGTAATGCAAGGGCCCTGAAGGAGCTCTCACTGAACACGAAAAGAACTGTATAAAATATTTTTTAAACTTTAAGCTCAGAGACTGATCACATGGCACTCAAATTGCAATATATTGCATTTAGCGCAAGGAAAAGATCTGTGCAGTACACCTCTTTTGCCACTATCGGCTGCTGGTGAATTCTGTTTAGTCTCTATAGATGTCTTAATCACCCAAATATTAGCAAATAAACAATAAGCAGGGCAATATTTTGCAATTGCTTAGCAAAACACTGAGGTACTGCCCCTCAATCAGGCAATTTGGGATGGAAATTTAATCTTTTAAAAAGACGTTTGCCAAGTTTCACCACCTCAGCTTCCTCTACACACGACAATAATCTCTCGTGAAGTGGAAAACATTATTAGCAGCAGCTCAGATCCAAAACATGCTGACATGCACAGAGAGCTTACCACGCTGTCACGGCGGCCACGACTGAGGCCATCCTGGGACACTGTGCTCAGCGTTTCATCATCTGAATTCTATAAACGTTTAAAGTACACGAGTTATGACAGACAAAAACCTTCTCACACAATGGCTATCTGAAGCAGCTCCAGACACAGGGTAGTAAGCGGTAAACCGAGCTGGTCACTCTCTTCAGAAATGCAGCAATCACATAGCGGATTTCTAAACAGTACCAAACTCAACAATGCCTGAAGTGTAGTTTCTAACGGGATTTTTCAGAGCCAGTCATGGCAATAACCAGAAGTAAGTCAATCCTGACCTTACATACAGAACTCTGTTTGTTTGGATACTCTTAAGCATGTTGATGGGTTTCTGCATGTGTCAGATAGCCAGGTGTCCAAAAACAAAACACTTATGGGGAGGATCACAACACAGAAGAAACCAACTCAACCATACTTGGAACTACCGTGTAAAGTTAATAGCGGTGTGAACATGTGCCTCCTCACATTATAGCTCGAGTCAATCTATTGGGGGCAAATAGAAGAACCAGGAAAGAACCACATCCCATTAGACAAAACAATCTCAACTGCAGGAGAGCATTTCACATTTAACAAACGGAATGGAACTTTCATTGGCAACAGGTGTGCTCCTAATCCTGGTTTCTACCAATCCTATTTGTGTCAGTATATGCACAAATCAGTGATGATACAATACAGTAAGTCAGCAAAGCATTAAAACCTTTCCCATACTCATTCCAGATTTAATATACCATGTAAACAGGCCCTTGAAAAACTCTTGTAGACTCTATTGGTGCATATCTTCTTATTCACAATGATTTATCTTCCTTGCTTCAAGAGGATTTGTGCTGGGGTACGATTCTGTGGTCACCAATCTCACCTATGAGTCTACTCATCAAATCGGGAGCCAGTAAGGGTGGGTGAACCACGTGAGTGTATGTCACCGTCTCCCCCTTCAGGAAGTCACTCCCACTCTGTTGCACTGCACCCAAGGCAAGGATCATTGCAGAAAGAAGGGGAGATATATAAGAATGGCTAGCACCAGTTAGGAACACCTGTCCTATATCTCAAGCAGAGCTGTTCCTGTTCTACAATTTACACGCAGTTTAGGTTGCTGCTATGCCAGTGTCAACGCCCAGATCTTCATATCAAAGCAAAGCAATAGTGCACAGTGCATTCTTTCAACTAACATAAGGATGTTTGTTACCACCAAATACATTTTCGTCCTATCAACCTGCGATTTACTTTACTTACTCACTATTTGTTGCACTGCATTAAGTACAGCCACACAAAATTCATTTACTGTTAACGTTATTCTGAATATCATCAGTAATCATCCCCTCTCACCAGTGGGCTGCTCCTTGCTGAGCTCGATCGGAAGGAATAGCTGTACTCGGATGGCTGTGGAAAAAGTGAAGTTGTTTTTTTTAAAAAAAAACACCACCACCACCACCATGGTCTAAAAACAGGAAACATTTTAGATAAAACACGTTGCACACAAGGTCCAAAGACAAAACTTACAGTTCTTGAACTGTATTTCGGGTCTCGATGATAGAGTCCCGTGTCACGCAGCGATGCCTATGAACAAAGATTTTTGGCCAAAAGCTTAATTGTCATATGAACTATCTGAATTCTGTCAGTCATTCCACCTTCAGGTTAATAGCATTACCCCTATAATTAAACTTTCTCTATGTAAAAAGTTTGCACAAGTAAAATACAAGCTTTTAACTGATTATTCATTTCCTCAAACAATGCAGCAATTTTTAATTCAAATCGCTGTATTTGGATAATATCAGTATATCTCATGATGTGCAATGTTTTGGGATAAAGTACTTATGCACACAGCTGTATTAATTAAAACTAATATTGTTTTTAGGAAGAGAATGAATTGCCCATAAAATTCAGGTTTAATTTTTTTACAAAATGAGCCAGACAAGAAACAAGCCACTTTGAGTTAGTCAGTAAAAACACCTTGCAAATGTTGGACAAAGGCGTGCTGAAGGTGATATGAAAATAGCACTGTTCCACCAAACGTTTTGCAATCTACAGGAGAATTATAAGGCAGAAACGTTAAAGAAGCAGCATTTTGTCAGGCAGACTGGAAACCCTGATTATTAGAAATTTTCAGATAAGGGAGGCCTATGGTGGCAATTCTGACATAATCCCTAAACTCCAGTGTTTTTGCAATTGTTGCTTCAACTGAAGCTATTTAGATTACCGAACCGAGGCATCTGATTCTTTCATCTTCTATATATACACACACAATATGAAGAAATACTCAGTCATTAAATGGAGCATGAGAAATGCAAAAAATGCTTGGGACAATTGCGCCTTTGACCATTTGGTACCACAAAGCAACATCTCTTGCTCCGATCCTTGATATAAACAGCGTCACGTTGAAACAACTCAGTTCTTGACGATAGGTAGAACATTGAATTGAAACATGAAGATGCTCTGAACACACAAAAATTAAGCTCCAAGATGCACCAGTTCAGAAAGAGAAATGAGGAGAAACGTCCACATGTGGTGGCTGAACTACTTTCAAGGAATGAGGTAGAATATAACAACTTGTACCTGCATAGAACGCTTTTCACAGTGAACATCTCAGGACACTTTACATAGATAGTGTGGGACACTGGTCAAAGTGGAAGAAGATAGGGAGAAAGGTGATGAGGTAATGAACTAAGAGATAGGTTTGTAGCAAGATCTAGGAGAGGCAAGAGGTGGGAGGGATTTTGGAAGAGAGAGCGGCTGTATACTAGTTGAAAGTTACAAAAAGATAGCGAAGGTGGGGAAGAATACCTGACCTCAGAGGCTACGATATGGTACTTAACTCTCAAGGAGATGGTATCTCAAATAGTGTTCCTCCATTTGACTGGAGTGTGTATATTTCATTCAAATGAAATGCAAGGGGAGAAAGTCCACCTGGGTCTAGATTACTCTTATTTGTATAGCATTTCACAAATTGTTGAATTCAGTCTCAACTTTGAAGCCAGATTTTCTACAATAATAAGCCTTGCATTTTCTCTAGTTCTTAAAAGAACAAAAAATAAAGCTTCGAATATAAAACTCAACTTAAGAATTTGTCAAACTCGGGACACTCTGAAATGCTAAGAAATGGTAAGAAAAAAACATTGTCACAAAATATTATCCAATTTACAACACAACTGTCTTGTTCAGCCTTAAAGCCTTTGTGGAGTCCTGTAGCTCAGTGGTTAGAGCACTCGCTTTGCAAGCGAGAGACCTGAGTTCAATTCCAGGCAGAGGGCGAAACTTTGGGCAAGTTTCCTTACTCCACAAGTCTAATAATAATCCCTCCAAAACCAAAAACAATAATAAATTGGTCATTTTCAATCTACGACTGTTTGTGGGACATTGCTGTGCGCATTGGCTGCCGCGTTCGCCACAAATATACAGTCAATTCACTTTACAGTATATTCTGTGAAGCGCTTTGGGACGTCCTCCCGACGTGAAAAGCGCTATATCAAATGCAAGGATTATTATTATTATTAAAAGCAAATATGCTATTAGAGCAGTGTTAATGACGTTTGCTCTCAGGCATTTCTCGAACACTTCACTACCAACTGGGAATTGGTAGACACTTGATAAACTGTTTGCTCCATGAATCCTATCATGTGCAGTTTAAAATTAGCACAGTGAGTATAGCAATACAAGGACATTGCCTTCTCAACAATGCAGTTTAATTTGAGGTGTTCGTTCAGTGAGACTTGTTGATAAACAACAACTTGCATTTATATCATGGCCTTAATGCGGAGTAGCATCTCAGAGCATTCAACACTGGCAGAGCTCGCTCGACTCCAAGCCGGGGAGAGAGGGGAGGTGACCATAGGTATAGTCGGAAGAAGGTCTTCAGGTACAATCTGAAGATGAGCAAGGAGGGAGCAAGGCAGAGGGATTGAGGTAGAGTGTTTTGAAGTTTCCAGGTGTAGTTGCTGAATAGATGACCAACAATGCTGAAACAGAGGATACGCAGAAGGCACAGGCTGTCACATAGAGCATCTTCTTTATAAATGGAACCATGTTCTGCGGGAACCCCACTCCAACCCTCACTGAAGTAGATTGCAGGATTCCTGCAAGGCAGCCTGAATGTATTTCCAGGAATCCCTATTTAAAACTCATTATCTATATTAATGGATCCTGTTAAGAAGCAGCACAATTAGAAGGCAATATAGAAAATGTAAAGGGAAACAGGGAATTCTAAGAGGCCTAGTGCAAGTGCTTTTGTGACCGTCTTCCAGATGCTGCAGAACGTTTCTGGCAATATTACAAGTTAACTTTTTATTTGAATTTCTTAGCCGTTGTTCAATTTTCTCAGTCTTTTATAGGATTTAATGTATAAGAGTATTCTTTGAATTACCCTAAAGTTTAAGGTTTACTCAAATGCCTTTTCACTGCAACACTACTCATCTTTGAGTCAATCACTTGAAGTTTGCCTTTCAACAGTCCTTTGTTCCACAATGCACGATAAAGTACGAATGCAGCACTACAAACAACAGCTTTCAAATTTAGAATTAGATCATTGGCTTAAAGTGATCTAACATGAAACCATTTAAATTGGACTCTGCATTGGTAGACACTGTAAAATGTTATTGAAAGCTTGGGGAAGTTACAAGATTTTTTAAAGAAATTAAGTTGCACAAAAGTTATTGTTGCTCTTATCCCCTACAGAGCCTTGCAAAATACCACCACAGCCCATGCAATTGCAATATACCAACCAAACTCTGACTTCGATATAGGCCAGTGCCCAAATTAGAAGATGCCTAGGGAAAAAAAGGATGAATTTATTCCCATTAAAAGTCACAGGTACTGTAGCAACGTATATAGGACAATAAGTTCTGTCCAAGGAAATTATACTAACCCTATAACTTGTTGTTGCTACTGGATCACTGTATAGTGAAGAAGGCTGTGTTGAATATACAAAAAAACTTGAATGAACATTTTTTGTAATTAATGGTAAATCAGGCAAGCAATTTAGTCCAACAGAACGAGAACCTGTGTAAAGCAAGTGATACTAACCCTATAGCTCTTTGTTGTTCCTATTGGATCACTATATAGTGAAGAAGGCTGTGTTGAAAATAAAACAAAAACTTAAATGAATAGTTTTTTAATTAATCGTAAAATAAGCAAACAATTTAGTCCAATAGAATGAGACCCGTGTCAAGCATTTATACTAACCCTATAGCTTTTTGTTGTTGCTATCGGATCACTATACAGTGAATAAGGCTGTGATGAAAATAAAAAAACTTGAATGAACATTTTTTTAAATGAATTGTAAAACAGGCAAATATTTTCCAATAGAATGAGACCTGGTGTCAAGCAGGTGATACTAACCCTATAGCTTTTTGTTGTTGCTATTGGATCACTATATAATGAAGAAGGCTGTATTGGAAATGGAGGAAAAATCTCAATTAATTACAATTGTGCATTCAAAATTAATCATGCAATTACTATAACCATTTAGATCAATGGATTTAATACACTGAAAGTGCTGGGTCATAATCTGGGCCAACAGAAAAGTGCGGCCGCACTTTTTCAGTGGAATCCGCTACAAATGCCCTCCTCTGCTGCAAACGAGCTAAACATGTAGTCCATGTGTGTGTATCTGTCTCTATGTGTTTGTGAGTGTCTGTGTGAGTGTGTCTGTGTATGCGTGTTTGTGTGTCTGTGTCTCTCTCTGGGTCTCTGAGTGTGTGTCTCTCATTCTATGAGTGTGTCTCACTCACTCGTCTGTGTGCGGTGCCAGACTCTGAGAAAGGCTGGAGGTGGTGAGCTCCTGTAGCCTTGCTGGTGCCCACCCCTGTTAAAACTCCACTGCTAAATTTGCCAAAATGTCCCGCATTTTTGGCAAATATTTCCACACTTTTCTATTAGCCCAGGTCACGAGCAATACAACACTAATGACAAATTACAGAAAGGGCAGGACTTGTATTATGGCTACAAGTTGAGGGTCCTATTCTCCCTGTGAAAGGCACAGTCCTTCCTCTGGATGGTGAAGTTTGCAGTTCACAGCAGTTCTGGAGGAACTCATTCTAGACTCTCTGACTGCTGAAACTGCAGATTTTGATCAGGACTAAGTGTATTCTTATGATTTCTGCAGTTTACAAGATTGCAAATAAAAAAGCACATAGCTTTGCAGGATATCCTTCAGAAAGGAACCGAAGGTGATGACTAATTAGTAGTATCTAGGGAATTGTATGGTTTGATCAGAAACTTAATATTACATTAAAATGCAATGTCGTCCTACAGAAGTGTTCCCAAATTGATGACAGAAAAAAAAATACAGATTCCTTAATATTCATCAGAAAAGGTCTTAAATATTGCCCTTAAGAAGCGTTGCAAGCATAATTGTGAGCCAAAGTGCTAGAGCCGTGTGTTCCAAACTAAAGTTAGCACATCAACACATTCCTCTTAATTGCCCAAGGATATCCAGCCCAAGGATTTCTGGTCCGTGTTAAAGTACTGTACAGCATTGTACAGTACTTTAAAAACAAAACAAATGAATTAGGATTAATTTCCAAAAAAATAATTCAGTGAGAAAATATATGAAAGGGAGCAAATAGAAAAACAAAATGGGAGGAGGAGGAAAGAGAAGAATGGGGCAGGAATGTTTTACTCTGGGTGAAAGTATTTTGTTATCAACAACAACTCGCATTTATATTCATGTTCTCTCCCGCACATCCACCCTCGCCCGGCTCCACTGGCTCCCCATCCCTCAGAGGATAGAGTTCAAAATTCTAGTCCTCGCCTTCAAGGCCCTCCATGGCATTGCCCCCTCCTACCTCTCCGACCTGGTAACCCCTTATCAACCTGTCCACGCACTCCATTCAGCAGGCTCTGGCCTGCTCCACATCCCCCGCCCGGCGTGCCCCACCGTTGTCGGTCGGCCCTTCAGCCTCGCTACCAACACCTTTTGCCACTCCATCCCATATTCCTTTTGCCTCGCTCTATCTCTTGCCTCCTTCAAGGCACATCTCAAGACCTTCCTCTTCAACTGCGCCTTCGGTCTTCCCTCCTACCCTCCACCCTCGCTGATCCCAAACCTTCCTGCTTAGGTCCAAATCCTTGACTGTCCAGTACCTTGGGACGTCCTCCTTGACATGAAAGGTGCTTTACAAATTTAATTTTGTATTGAATAGAGCACCCCTCACACAGGGTAGCGTCCCAGAGTGTTTGACAGTGACGGAGCATGACGGGCTGCTGGGGGAAGGAGGGGTGTGACAATTTCACTGACAATAGTAAAAAGTGACAGCACTGAAGCACCATTTCTAGCTGAATATGCTTGTTTATGCTTCAATTACCACATGTAGTTAATGATGAGGGCAATCCTCTGGCAGGCTTTTTGCACTTTTCTAGTTACAAAAAACAAAATATCAGCAGGAGGAGAAGAGGGAAAAGACAACTAAAGGCTGCATTTGTCCACAATTTGTATTGAAATTAACCTCCCCCACCAAACCCCCACCCCCCTCCCCAAATGTAATGATAAAGAATATGACAATCAACTGGTTAGTCTGATTATTTATAGCTTGTCATCAAGCGTACAGGATGTCAACACAATTTGGGGTGAGGCTCCATAGGAGGAAATTGACCTCTGAGACTTCACCCATTCTTCATGTGCAAGCCTGGACACTGAACGCTGTTCAGCGGTTGATAGGACACTGATAGAACCTGATCTGGTCCTCAGCTGGCATCTGCCACACATAGCACTCTCCAGAAACAATCACAGGAGAACAATCAGAAGCAAAAATCCTGGTCATTTTTTCCCACTCCCAAGCCAGGGTATTAAAATCGTGTGTTGATGTCAACTAACTCAGCACAGCTCTTAGTCATTCTTGATCTGGGTGGCTTAGTTTCAGATTGGACAGTAAAAACACAGTTCATGTGGAATTAGTGGAGAAATAGTAAGTTGGACTCCCAAGTCATCCACTTTTAGAAGGTTTACAGTGCTGGAGGCCATTCTACCAGCTCAAGTGGTGGACGCAATGACAAAAGTTATACAAAAGCCATCATTTAAGCAAAATCATTGCTTTTTGGGACATTTTGAACTATATTCAATATTTTACAAAATATCTTCACCAAAATAAACATGGAGAGAACATTTACATGCAGTCCACAATGGCACATGCACAGTACTAATTATTAAATGCAGGATCAAAGGAAATATTTCTCAAGCAAATCCTGAGATTTATAAAGCTTGACGTCAGGTGGGAAACCAAAAACTTTTCAGGACTGAAAAGGGTTAAAGCAAAACAAAATACAAAACAAGTTTGAAGGCGATCTCCAAAAACACCAAGGCCAGTCTGCATGAATCATTGTGAAACTAATAAAAGGACAGACCCGACTGTAGGAGTGCAGTTTAGAGTTACGCAGGGTGCTGTAGTTTCTTTGATCGTAGTACATTCCACTCTGCAAAAAGCAAATCATAGAACGTATGAATGCATATAGCACCGTTGCCAAATCACATAGAATCAAGTCAAAACAAATCTCAATATTATCACAACTCCAGCATAAACACCATCATTAAGACGACTAATTGAGAACGATGCTTGTCCTCGCTAAAGCATTGTACGAGGCAGACAAAAATAAATCCATCTCAGGGTCCCAGTGTTTCACAGAAGCTTGGGGACTTTGCCTCATTTAACAAACAGATATAGCACCGCTCAACTAACCAGTAGGTCTTTATTAGAACTAGAGAGCGTCTTCTTGGCAGCGAGGCGATCACTGTAAACTGAGTTCTGAGAGTGAAAAGCAAATTAAAGAATCGTTATAAAAGGAGCCAAATATGTACATAACCCATGCAGCACAACCAAATGCCTGCTCTTGCCCTCCACCCTGGCCCTCTTAAATAAACTTAAATGTGGAAGAATAGAAACATTGAGAAAACGGTAACAGCTGAATAATCTGAACACATGTTTCAGATGAAGTTCTCCAGAAAGGGTGCCATTGTACTATGCAATCTAAAAACTTCCACATGGTGAATAGTAACTTGCATTTGTGGCTAGTGCCCATCTTTGAAAGACAATTTGAGCCTTTCTTTCGAAGCATACACGCGCACGCACACATACACACACACGCACAGATAAAACACCCCATGCAGCCAAGATAACAACAAAGCAGTGATTGCATACAGCTTGGGAGAGTTTCTTGAACTGGGATGACTTGTCCTTTACATCAGAAGACTATAAACCAATGAAAAGGAAAATTAGATCAAAAGATGAGCAAGAAATGATAGAAGACAGACAGATGAGTGAATTAAGAAATATCAATGAGACATAAAACGTCAGCACATGCGGTTGCATTCTTCCACCTAACACCTCAACGAATCACAAAACCAAAGGCCTGGTGAATCGGTTTACTCCTTGAACACTGAGGTCAGATGTTCAAGCCACAAATTCCACTGTACAATCACCAATACTCTATGTTTAGCCTAAAGGTGGTGCACTTTAGTGAGGAAAGTCTCAAGAACAAAAGAACTCAGTCCATTCTATGAGAAGCAATCTAACACAACCCAACATGCAGTCAATCAGCACCAGACACAAAATTCCACTTCATGTAGGTGCACATTCAATTTGTTGGGAAGCCATCATATTCCCAATATAGGTGCTTCACCCCACACAGGTCGACTGCAGAGAGAAACTTCCAGTGTAAGTTAAAATAAGCCGTTTCAATGATGATTATAAAACACTCCAAGCTTTGCTTTCAGCTCTCTTAGAACAAAGAAATGCAAAGTATTTTGCCACGTAATGAACAACACACTCAAGAAAACATTCACCAATCAGTTCTCAGTGCATGTTAATGGAAAATCGACCACACAAGCGACAATTATAAGATACTCTTTTGCTGGACAAGAGAAATTCCCTTCAGAAAGAAAATAGCTTCTTGAACATGCCTGCTGGCAAGAAATGAAGCAGTGGGCTTTTGAGCAGAGGCCAAACATTTCAGTAATTAAGCTAGACGCCATCATTTTTTTTGCTTTAAGCAACTTAAAACGATTCTGAAGGAATTACAATTATATTGTATAAAACTATTTAGGTAAGGGCTTAAAGCACCATGATGGGCTTCCACCTGTGTGTGATGGCAGTTGAGGTTCACCAGAGAATTGCATGATCAGTTTGACTATCCGTTGGTGGAAAAGGAGAAGATAAAGGTAAGCAAGGTTTCCTTGGAGCTGAGCCAGCACCAACGTGACATGCTTAGGAACAGAATGTTGGAATCTTGGTAGTTCCTGAGCCAGGTAGGTCTGTAGTATTCCAGGATGCTGCTGATGTCAGTCCAGTCAGCCTGGCTCATCAGCAGGTCTTGGAAGGGCAGGGATTCTAATCACTCAGCTCCCAATGGTGGTAGGGTGGTCCTGATAGGGTGGTCCTTCCTGGACAAACAGCGGAAAACCTTGCCAAACCGTCCTCTCAATGGCAAGTTATGCTGTTTTAGGTGGTTAAACTTCTGGAGTACCACAATACACAATATACCCTATCAGTTATGGCTTTGGCTTGCAGGGTTAATGGGAGCTGAGTGATTAGAATCCCTGCCCTTCCAATGCATTCTGCCTCTATGGCCTTCTGGGGAAGTGTAGTCCATTTTTTGTCAAGCATCTGTGTGAAGAAATATCAAACCAGCTAAGAGCCACAACATAGCTATTTGAAACATTAATCCACTGGACCATGAATGGTAGCCATAGAAATAATGCAGGAAGATAAGACTACTAAGAGAGCCTCAACCTGATGTATTCCTCTGAATAGAGTTCATTATTTCCAGAGGGGTAGTTGTTTTGTTCAGTGTCAAGGCATTATACTGAATCACACTACAGTATTATTTTGAGTGGTTGGGGATAGAGACCCAGTATTAAAGGTTAAACAAAAGGAGATTGTGCATGTTACTGTAAGTGAGCTTCACAAATATTAATAATAATAATCCTTGCATTTGATATAGTGCCTTAACACGTCTTTGGGACGTCTCATAGCGCTTCACAGAATAATAATCCTTGCTTTTGTTATAGCACATTTCACGTCTTCTAGACGACTCAAAGTACTCCACAGAATATACTGTAAAGTGAATTGACTGTATATTTGTGGGCAAAACGTGGCAGCCAATTGCACACAGCAGTGTCCCATAAACAGTCATGGATTGAGTGACCAAATTCTTATTTTGTTTATTTATTTCCTGAGGGATCATTATCAGGCATGTGGAGTAAGGAAACTTGCCCAAGTTTTCGCCCTGCCAGGAATCAAACCCAGGTCTCTCGCTTGCGCGGCAAATGTTCTAATATACTGTAATGTGAATTGATTGCATGTTTTGTGGGCAAAACGCAGAAGCCAATTGCTCACAGCAGTGTCCCATAAACAGTCGTGGATTAAGTGACCAAATTAAAATTTTTATTTTTTGAAGGGATGATTGCCTCCGGAAAAGCTCGATAAACAGGGGCATATGGAATAAGGAAACATGCCCATGGTTTCACATTGCCCGGGAATCGAACCCAGGTCCTCTTGCTTGTGAGGCGAGTGCTCTAACCACTAAGCTACAGGACTCCATAAAGTATGCATGATGTGATTTTCAAGAAATTCAGTCTTGCCAGCTCAGAACCACTCAAGTTAGTAAAAATGGAGAGATAAAAAAACACACACATACAACTTGCAGAAATTCTTTTACTGTGAATCATTATTGGCCGCAATCAATTTAATGCATGCTCCTTGGTATCCTAACATAAATTGCTACTGCACAAACCACATAGTCTTTTCGCCTTGAACTGCTTCTGTAGGATCCGCCCAGATCACTGGAGGTGTGCTTTGAACAAAAAACAGATTATAATCTGCACTCAATCCGTAAAAACCTTAACAAAAATATTAATCTGCTTTAAACCTCCCAAAATATTACTCAGGGTGGAGATTTGCATATTTCACAATTCAAATCACAAGTATGTTATTTAAATCATAAACAGATAAGTCTGACCAGAAAGGATGGGGAGAGGGCAGGGAGGGAAAAGTTGCTGGACAACACTCGTTGACTAGCCCATTGACACCCACTGTCTAGGCCCATATATAAAATCTCAAGCAGCACTATGAAAAGGCTCAAGCGCTTGCGCTCAATGCTTCCACATTCACTGTTCATTCTGGCAGAAAGATGAGTCCTCACGTTGTCTCTATCACTCCGTCCCTATAGTGAGTAGAGAGCAACGTGCAAGATGTCAATTTTGACAGAAGGCTGACAAACAGGAAGCCAGAGGAAGCTAAATTTGATGACTTCCAGATCATGAAGTCAACAGTGTCGCTCCCTACTCGCTACAGGGAAGGGATGGTGGTGGCAACTTGAAGACTCAGAAGTCAGCCATTTTGACAGCCATTTCTCCATCTCTTCTCTACATGTTATTACCCTTTGATCCCAAGTATCTGTCTCCCTTATAAACATCCCAATTTATTCTGGGAGCAGAATTTACTGGGAGCAGGGATTCTTCCCACTCGGCTCCTGTTAACCCTGCAAGCCAACACCCTGAAAGGCAGGATGGTCTTAGCTAGAAAGGCAGGCAGTGCTCTCGATGGTAAGTTGTGAGTTTTTAAGCTGGTTAAACTCCAGGAAGTATTGGTTCTTGCCAACCTGCACCTAATATTCTTCATAATTAGGTAAGCAAGCTGTGACCCTCTAAGTGTACATTCCATTCTAGAGAAAGAGAAATTTCCATGAATTGGTGGTATATATATGTACGTAGAACATGATGATGCATCTTGTGCAGTTCTAGCAGCCGAAGGGTTTGAACTTCAGATCAGCTATAATTTCACAATGCTGCATGATCTTAAATTTTATAACAAAATTGTGTTACTGGCTAAAACCAAGACATCAGAGGCTAGAATCGTACCTCCTCCAAGTCAGCTTCTAGTTATACCATTCCATTCTACGAGCAAATCTCAAATGAAATCTTTAACTCACACAGAACTAGTTTAAAATATATCCAGTAACAGATAAAATAAGAACAATATTACTTTAAGTAATGAAGCCACATTGCCGTTATCAGTGTTCTACTTGTGGACAGTCTGAATTATTTTTAGAATCAGCTCTGAAATACTCCCAAATACAATTCAAAATGCTAACTGCAACCCGAATGGCATCGTGTTAAAAGCAGGCTAACTTGGGACATTCACAAATGCAATTTCAATTTACGAAAGCTGGCAAAAAGTTTGTAAAACAAAAAAGAATAAAGAGTAAAATGCAAATGTCTGTTTTTGTTCCCAGTACTTTGTCAATGAATTTGCTAATCTTGGAAATTACAGGACTTGCCATACTCGCAAACAGGAACAATCAAATAGAGTTTCTATCCAATTGAGAAAATTGCAAAGTAGACCCCTACATCAGAGTGAAGCACATAATAACAGTGGCATGTCTCACTAATAAAAGTGGGTGGACAGAAAATGGCACACATACCAAATTACATAGTAAGTTAAAACTGATCAGCACGGCTGATCCGAAGTGCTAACCCTTTGGCTGCTAGAACTGCAATAAGATTCATTATCCACAGTTGCTCAATAACACACAATAAAACAGAAAATAAATTAAAATAGTTGGGACTCATGGAAGTAAAGAAATAGCAAGAAAGAAGAGTTTACAAACCAGATGATATCGGCCAGACTTATGAGAATGCTTGGCACGCTCTGTATTCTCCTGGGAGGAAGACAGTGAAGAGAAATTAGGAAAAGAAGACAACACACAGGGACTAAATCATACCTGTCACATTCAAACATGCTGGGAGAAGAGAAAACAAGGCAAAATATTGTTCAATAAAATTATTCAGCAGTATTTGTGGGGCTGTGGAGAGTGGCATTAAGTTAGAGAATGTAATCACGGAATAAGCTGCACCGAGAGTTACCATTCAATTTTTTTTAAATAGTCTTGGCTGAAAACAAGTAAAATACTTTTGATTTCATAACCATCCTCAGCCCTATCTTTGACAACATCTATGCAACAAGCACCTTCGAGTTCAAGCACAAGCAAGAACAGCAACGTACCATTTGCACGTTGTTAAAAACGACCTTTCGCAAACCACAGAATGGCCACCCAAGACAACATAGATGCTCCAACCTTCGTAAAGCTAGAAGTTTATACTGATGAAAAAGTGCCATTTTACTCTGCCAATTGATGGCTTTGATTCCCAACCACTCCTAAGGTGTGCTCATTTACACAGGGCAGGCAAAAAGTATTTAATCATGTACACAATGCAACATGATTTTTTTTTGGGGGGAAGGAGGAACAGGTTCTGACATTTCCTTCTGAACAGTCATCATAAAGAGCGTTACATTCCAAAACAATGTTGTTGATGCTATTGCAAAAAAATTGTAATTTACATTTTGGCCGTCAATGCACACAATGGACATGCTAGCACATACTCCACCATTATTAGCCCCTCAATATCAAGTAACTTGCAAATTTTCCATACATATGTTGAGAGCACCATCTTACATGCAAAGCACTGTTGTTACAAGCAAAGTATGTATTTTGAAGCTTATGAAACACGCAATATAAAAGCTCCTGTGACTTCCCCAAGTTAAAAAGCCTGCTGTGTGCACAAACGGGAAGATTGTGGCAATACTCTCGCACATTTCAGAGATCCTGGCATCTAGTGAGGACTCAAACCCTCGCTTGTTAGATACTGAACAACCAATAATTAGTGACTATCTTCCTGGCTGACTGGGGGGTGGGGGGGGGGGGCAGTGTCTCCTTGCAGTTGAACTGGCTGTCTAGGTAGTTCAATTCCCACTGTGACTCTCTAAGTAGTCCAGTTCCTTAGCCAGGCGGATCCACAGTATTCCAGGGCACTCCTAATGACAGAGCAGCCGGCTTGGCTCATCGGTAGGACCTAGAAAGACAGATCAGTAACTGGGGGCAGGGAATCCGCCCACTCAGCTCTTGTTAACACTTCAAGCCAAAGCTCTAACGGGAAGGGTGGTCCTAGCTGGACAGAAGAGCTTGCCAGACAGTGATATCAGTAGGTTTTAGCTGGTTGGACTCCAGAAGTATCTCAACACAAACTCTGGGATCCCCAAGCCTTGGCTCTTGCCAACCTGTGCCTAATACTTTCCGGAATTAGGTAAGCAGGATGCGTCCTTCTGGGGAAAGAGTGCACATTCCATTCCAACAATCTATCTCTGGGATTTCCATGTGTAGGTGGGACGCATGGAATTCTCAGTTTGGTTTGGATACTGTTAAGCACGGTGATGGGTTTCTACAGGTGTCAGACACATGCTGACCAAAATAAATAAATAAATTAAGAAGCCTGCCAACCAAAACACTCAGTCTAAGATCGACACATGAAGAATGAGTGCCTGGTGAGTGAGTTATCACAGAGCAGGCAGCTACCGGCATCCATATCTCTCCATGAGTCAGTGCTTTCAGGAGAGGAAGGTACAAGGGAGAAGAAAATTTGGAAGGCAGAGGAACAAACACATTATTCTGGCTGTTCTGGAACATGAGGCCCCAAAAAACTTGCATTTGTTCCAAATGCAAACTAAATTACAATACAAACACATTCAAATTAGGAATGGACCAAACTGTTCATGTCACAATTCAGCATATCTGAACTGCCCAGCTCCTTAGGACACCCTCCCCCCAACTTGAAAGGGGCTATATAAATATAATTTGTGGTTGTGTTGCATATTGTTTTAATGACTTAATTGGCAATTGGACATTGACAATAAGAAACAAGCAAGTGTAAAAGGATTCTGGGAAAGTGACTGCGCAGATTGTGGAAGAGAGTGGAAGTGTAAGGTTTAAATAAAAGGAACTAGTGAATCAAAACTGTGTTTTGGATGTACAAACATTACAGTTGTACATTTCAATTTGTACTGTGTTAGATCTATAAATAAGTCAGTGACCAACAGTCAATTGCTCTGAGCTGAAAACTCCCATAAGCCCTCCTTTGAGCTAAATTTAGTACCCGTCCAATCTGATTGGGTTTTGCAATGACTGTTGAAGCTTATTTCTGATATTACTTTAGCTCCAGGCTCCTGCCAGCAGCTCCCAAGAAACAACCCTCAAACTTATCTAAAGTCAAAACGGCTGCGGTCACATTTATGATGCAACAGTGGTTTCAGAAGTCTGTTCTGTTATCTGCCTTCACCAGGGGCATCCTTTAAACCTGCTTGAACTGTCTGCACACAAATGATAAGGCTGTCATCAAAATGTGACCATTAACTTGCATATCAACTGCAAGGATTAGTAGAAAGAGTATATACATTATATAATTAGTCTCAGTGTTTCAGGTGAACGGGGTCAGGGAAGGGAAGCCCCATTTATGGAACCATACCCTCAACTGAAGGTAATAAAAACAAAATGGCTTCAAGAAAGGAAAGAAATTGATAAAACAAAATACCCTGAGAATTCTTCATGAATCTCAAACAAGCTATTTTGGGACATTGCCTTCCACCCGCAAGTCATCTATACTAATAAAACGACCATGTCTGTCTGTGTGTCAGTGTATCCGTCAATCACTCAATAACCAATTGACGTAGAGCACGATTTATACCTCATCTGAAAGGTCTTGCATCTGTCTGTGTCATGGGCACACTTTTTCGGGAGGATCTCCTATCGTTTATGAGCCTCATTAAAAATGCTTTAATTAAGCCCCAAAATGAGGAATCCATCATATTCTGCACGTAGTGACAGAGAGATACATCTATATTCTGTAACAAATGTATCACACATTTTTCTGATTATCATGGGAGTTAGAGTCCTCCCATGTCTGGCAGACAGAGAGAGAGAGACTGAGATAGTGAGAGACTGAAAGAGACAGAGAGAGCGACAGAGAGAGACTATATTATAAAGTAGTGACTGTTTTTTGTGGGAGAGACAGAGAAAGACTGAGAGAGACTGACTGAGAGAGAGAGACAGACAGAGAGAGACTGAGAGAGAGAGAGAGAGAGAGAGAGAGGCTAATGGGCGACAGAGAGACAGAGAGAGTGGGACACATAGAGACTGTGAGGGAAAATATATTAAACCAATCCTCCACGGGAAAAGAGACATCCATACAGAATCATGAGCTATTTTCTCCCTTCGCAGTTAGCATGCTCAAGATGTAGCAGAAACAATTAAAACCTCTAAAAAATGGTCCTAAATTGGCCAACAACTACAATACCGTACTGATAAGTCAGTTGGAAGAAAACAGGAGCGGTAAGATGCCAAGTTAGATGAAAGTCTATAAGATGCTGAATTGCATGACAATAAGATGCAGAATAACCCATCAATTCCATGCAGAAGTAGTGGTGCCAGACCCCATCAATTAACGAGGCTGACACAGTGTCTATCATATTGTGCTGATGTTAATGCTAGGTGAAGGGCTTAGCTTTATATAAAGCTCGTCAAAACGTTCAATCACAACACGCTGGAATAGTCACATTCTGTAAATTATGTGCATCAGCAAAGTGCTATTCTGTTAGGCCAATTACAATAAATAACATTCTTGCGCATTACATCAAAGCAAAGTAAGTAAATCGTTGTGTGTTACTTTCCTAAAATCAAATAATTAGTAATTAACAGCATACATTAATGCAGCATCACCCCAAAAACACCCTACCATCCACTGATGGATCTCTCCCCATTTTGACCCAGAGGGACGATGAAACTAAAGAGGAAAACAAAATCCAGGTTCAAATCAATGCACAATACTTTCAAAATCATTACACAAGCCTAAACAAACAGGAGAGAAAATAAAGTTTGATGTTTGTTTGGACACTTACTTATTCATTGATCAGCAATATAAAACTCGACCATCGAAGCAAAAACTACCTCCCTCTATAACCCAGTAGGTAAATGCTCACCTCATGTGCTACTGAACCATAGAGAACAGGAAGGTCCCAAGTTCAATCTCTGATCTGAGCTGGCTTTATCTCAGCTATATTGGTGGTAAGGATGGTCCCATTTGTCTCAGTATCTCTGGATGAAGGAACATTTGATGTAGATATCATGTAAGGACAACATCTGGCATGGCCAGCATGATTTCCACTGTGGTTAAAGTTGCACACTCAAGTCTAGGCACATCTATGAAGAAAGGGCAAGGTACTCAAGGTTGATGCTGACACTGACAGAACAGTAAGAGACAGCATCTTCAGAGAGTGTCCCAGTGGTATAGTTCATTAATAAAATCACTTTAATATGAGCATTTCTTTTAATTCAAGGTCACAGTAAGTGCAGCTTTTGCTTTATAATGCAAAGATTATTAGAGCACAGTCATTTACACGTGTAGGATGTCTACCTATTAGGTCCAACCTGTCAAACCACTCGGCAATTTTCTTTAACAAGTAAATGCAAATGGGTATCTAGAGTTATTTTTTCCACACACACCTAGAAAGTACAGGTATGAACACACATAATTGGAGCATGATGTAGTGAGTTAAGTGTATATAAAGTTCCTTCTTAATCTGTAAAATTGATTTTTGATGCTTCCAGTTTATCATACTGTAAGAAAAAATCACATGCTGAATTTGTATGACAAAGCTTTACGAGTAACATTTATAACAAGATTAATACCTTGTAGGAATGCAAAAATAACAAATTCCATATTTCTTTACAGCACCCACATTTCTGAAGGTAAGTGGGAGAACTGAATGACAAAAGTTTAGTCATAGTTTTAACTTTCTGTTGCAAATAAGATGGTAACCAACACCAACTTTTAAAAAAAAGTCAATTGGCAATATTGGTGCTCCACTGTAGTTAGTTCCAATTATTACATTAATATTTTATATATATTAATAATCCCTCCAAAAAACAAAACAATAATAAATTGGTCATTTTCAATCCATGAATGTTTGTGGGACATTGCTGTGCGCAATTGGCTGCCGCGTTCCCCCACAAATATACAGTCAATTCACTTTACAGTATATTCTGTGAAGCGCTTTGGGACATCTAGAAGACGTGAAAAGCACTATATCAAATGCAAGGATTATTATATTATTATTATATTTAGGACACCAAAAGTCACAGGAATGAAAGACAAATGAGTGTTGCTTGGAAACTTCAGAAGGACTGGGTTAGCACAATTATCTTTCACTGCTGAAATTTAAATTCAGCCTTTAATGATAATAATAATAATCCTTGCATTTGATATAGCGCCTTATCACGTCTTCAAGACGTCTCTAAGCGCTTCATAGAATATACTGTAAAGTAAACTGATTGTATATTTGGTGGGCGAAACACAGCAGCCAATTGTACACATTTTTTAAAACTTTTTTTAAGGGATTATTACCCCCGGAAAAGCAATCTGTCAATCGCCCAACAACCGGGTTCCTACTTATCGCTACATAAACAGAGGCGTGTGGAGTAAGGAAATTTGCCCAATATTTCACCCTGCACAGGAATCGAACCCAGCTCCTCTCGCGTGCGAGGCAAGTGCACTAACCACTAAGCTACAGGATCACAATATAAATTTAATATCTGCAGTAATGTAATAATCCTTGTATTACATATAGTGCCATATCATGCCATTGAGGCGTCTCAAACACTTCATAAGATGTTTACTGTGAAGTGCAGCGATTGTATTATGTAGGTGAACCAGCAGTCAATTTGCGCCCAGCAATGTCCAAAATAGCCATGAAGTGAATGACCATTTTTTATCTGGGGATTGGTGACCAAAACTCCAGAAGATACTCCCTTCTCTTTTCAAATAATTCAAATGGTGTCTCGGATTAGCGTTTCATCTGAAGGGTGGCATTTCCAACAATGTAGCGCAACGCATTGGAATGACAGCCTAGACTGTGAGCTCAAAGTCTCGACATGGGGCTTGAACCCACAACCTTTCAACTCAAAGGCAAGAATGTAATTCGAGATGAGTTTAGGCAGTCCAAAGCCAGGTCCAAATGGACAGGGCCTCACAACATTAGTTAACCTATAGATAGATGGCAATTTCATCTCACTCACGGAACGTACAAAGGTCAATGACATTGAAAGTGAAAAATAATAGTTCAGCCATAATTATTGGGAGTTAAAAGAGACTAATTTTTGCACCCAACCACGTAATACTTGACTTGAGTGTTTGAATCTTATACTGCTTGTAAAGACCACTAAAGTGTTTTATCTCAAATCCAGATTTTTTTCTAGGTCAATTTTCAGTGTCAAACAATGTGCAAAAAAAGGGGGAGGGGAACATTTTTTGCAAAAATATACATTTTTTAACAAGATGATACGAGATGTAATACGAGATGAGCCTAAATTCATCTCGTATTACATTCTTGCCTTTGCGTTGGAAGGTTGTGGGTTCAAGCCCCATGTTGGGACTTTGAGCTCACAGTCTAGAAAAAAAATCTTTTCTGTACCTCTAGCTCTCTTACTCAGTCTTCCGTTCTCTTTTTCTGTCTTCTTAAATATTTAATTTTCTGTCTTTTTCCTCTCTACCTCAACACAACGCAAATGTATTACAGACTTACCTTTTCGCTGCCTTAAACAAATCTAGTTGTGCATGAATGTAATCGGTGCTTACATAGTCTCCCTAGTAACCTCAAGCATGTGCACAACTTAATTAAAAGCAGGTATTTAAACAAACTAATGGTCCTTAACTGCTTGCAAAGTGTGTGGGACGTACGTGTAAAATATTCGAAAGGGAAAGGTGATTCAATTAGAGAATTACAAATTAAAATTTAACACTGATTTTCTCATTAACTCTCCAAATTACATCAACAGCCTTAATTGCATAGTGGTTAGTACGGCAATTAGGTAACAAAGGGTCCAATTTTGCCCAGAACCCTCTTGGATTAAGGAATAAACTCTGCTTTACAAGATCACGTGCAGATTTCCATCAGTTTTATCAAGTCTTTCTAAAAGCTATAGTCTGGGTTTATAAATTCTACTCCCTATTTAGAGCTATTCAGAATTTATTTTTGCAACAGCAAGGCAATTGAAACCCAAAATGAACTTATTCGCATGCAAACATATTAGATCAGACATTTTTTGAAATTATATATGAATAAATACAGATTATAACAAACTAGATTATATATGAGCACAATTTTTTTAACACTTTATTGTTTTTTTTTAAAAAATCAGCAACTAAACTTTCAACTTTTTTAAAAAAAAGTTATTTGGCCCCATAAAGAATTATTTTCCCTCTGAATTAAAACACAACAGAGTTTGATCTGTTCGTGCCATATTTATAGCGAGGGATGGAAGACAGACATGTTGACGATTGAAGAACCATAAGTCAACTTTCAAAGCTTCCAGATAATCAGTGGATTTGACGTCATGGTTTTGGCCAGAATTCAACCCAGTCCTAGGCAGTGATCTCACCAGCTTTCAAAGTCCGCTTAGAGGTTGAGAGTACCGAGATGAAGCAGCACTTGTACAATTTTGCCTTGCTCCAGCTGTATGAACATTAGCTCAGTAGGCTCCTTCCACTTATGTCCCGGGAAGCATTTGTCACAGCGTTTGCTGTGCTAATTGCACAAAGAACTGTTTATTCATCAGTAGTTTGCTGATGACGGTTGTGCATTTCATGAACATAATATTGTTTCCACTGAAAATGGACCAGCTTTTTTGGAAACTATTTTGGAAACAATCATATATTTACATCATCCTGGCCCAACAGAATTTACCTTTTCCATTTTTAATTCATCTCATTCAGTATCATAATAATACTGCATTTGATACAGTACCTTATCACGTCATCGAGACGTCTCAAAGCGCTTCACAGAATATACTGTAAAGTGAATTGACTGTATATTTTGTGGGAGAAACATGCTCGAGATGCTCCTCTTGCATGAGTTGTGCTACATAAATTCAACTTGTTTTCATTTTTGAAACTCTTACTAATTTGAATTTGCCTACAAAATACAATCAATACTCTATACAGTAAATCCCACAAAGCGCTTTAAGATCTCCTACTGACTTGAAAGGCTCACTATCAAATGCAAGTTTTTTTAAAATTTATTATAATTACATCGGTATAATTATCTAGGGTGGCGGACGCAAGCAAAGGGGAAAGAACCTTTCGCCACTCCCACCTCAGACATACATTAAAAATAAACAATTTGAGGCATAAACATAGAACAAACAATTGGCCAAACCAAGCAGTTCTGTACTTTCAACCACTGGAAACTATTCAGTTCCTCCATATACTTCAGTTTAGATGTCTGAGAAAATAGATATGGGGAATCATTTTTTTCCTATGACTAATGGTTCAGTTTTGTAACACACCCTTTCTTTCCAATTCTTGAACAAGATGAAGTATTGCGACTGTATGACTTAAAAGACAAGACATGCCCTTTCCCACTCGTCCCTCCCAAAACCACGCTGCAGATATTTTCACTGGCCAAACCAGTAGAACCACGTAATGACTGCAAGTGAAAGAAAAGCAGTACACCACCCTTTAAGGTAGTTTTAGTTTTTAAAAGAAAGCCATTAACTACCACATTATTCAAGGAATGAGGAACAACAATAACAACAACAAAATTACATTTATAGAGCGCCTTTCACGTTGGGAGGACGTCCCAAAGCACTGAACAGTCAGGTGTCGGGGCCCAAGCATGGGGGAGGGTGGTGTAGGGGTGAGGGAAGGCAGAGAGGTGGGTGGCCTTGAAAGTGAGGACGAGGATCTTGAACTCGATCCTCTGGGGGATGGGGAACCAGTAGAGTCGGGCGAGGGTGGGAGTGATGGGGTCACGGAGCCTGGTGTGTGAGAGTACACGAGCTGCAGAGTTTTGGATGATCTGCAGCTTGTGAAGGGAAGAGTTGGGAAGGCCGATGAGGAGGGAGTTCCTGTAATCGAGCCTTGATGTGACGAATGGATGGGTGAGGGTTTCGGCAGCCTGAGGGGTGAGGCAGTGGCGGAGTCTGGCAATGTTGCAGAGGTGGTGGTAGACAGTACCGGTCATGGCGTGGATGTGGGGGAGAAAGAAGAGTTCAGGATCAAACAAGACACCCAGGTTCCTGACTGGCTTATTGAGGTTGAGTGTGCAGCTGTGGAGGCGATGCTGCCAGCGCCTGAGGTGCGGAGGCGCTAGTGTGAGCCAATCAGGAAGGCCTCAGTCTTGCGGACGTTGAGTTGGAGAAAGTTGTCCCTCGTCCAGGACTTGATGTCAGACAGGCAGTCACTTAGGACGCCAGTAGTCCTGGAGTTGAGGGTGGAGGCAGAAAGATAGAGTTGGGTGTCATCCGAATACATGTGGAAATTTACCCCATGTCTGCGGATGATGTCACCAAGGGGGAGCATGTAGGGGGTGAAGAGGAGGGGACCGAGGACAGAGCCCTGAGGAATAGTAAAAACAATGTTGTTTCATAGGGACTACCTGATGATTCAATGCATCAACTTGTGCAGTACTGAGAATAGAGCGAGCAGGAAAAATCTCAGCTCGGGCAACAATGGGATACAGTCTCCATGGGGTAAAGATATCTGGACAGAAAAAAAATTCAACACTTGATGGTATTACTGTGGAATACTGGTTAGAACACGCGCCTCATAAGGGAGAACACCTGTGTTTGTTTCCTGAGCAGGGCGAAACCTTGGGCAAGTTTCCTTACTACGCATGCCTCTGTTTACCTTGTATTAAGTCAACTGGCGGATCGCTTTCCGGGAGTAATAATCCCTTCATAAAAAAAAGCATTAATTTGTTCACTCAATTCACAACTGTTGTGGGATACTAAGAGTTTCCTTTAAGCTGTGAGGAACCCTTTCCCCCCAAAACATAACGACTTGCACAATATTAACACTCATGCTAGATGTCAACTCAGTGGATCTGTTTATATCAGTGTTTCACAAAGTCAAAGTGATGAACAGTCAAACAGCATTCTTGAGCTGCGGGTTAGGCCAGGCCGAGCACTGGGATGACATTTGCTGGATAAGCGTTTGACAGAAAACAACGAAGGAATGATCACTGTATCAGATCACTCTGGAAACAGTTATAAACAGCCATATGAATCCACAACTGGTCAGAGCCTCAGCATCTGAGCAGTAATGTGAGGAACCTTTCAACAAGAGTGACCGAGGCTCAGGAACCAATGCATACGACCAGCAAGAGGACAACCATCAACTGCAAAAATGACTTTCACACATACGTGTGCAACAATGGAAAAAAAAACTCAAGATGGCTCTAGTTTGTGGAGATTTTTCCTTTGAAAATATGCAAGTTTCCAAATACTACTTGCAGCGGTTGTCAGCATAAGTCCGATAATCAAATTAACATTGGACAATACTCCTTTGGAATGGAATCTTTAACACAGTCTAAAAAAGTCTGAGAAAATCTAGTCATTTGACGTGAGAAACCACGTCCATCATAAGTCATATATAAATTTCCGTCTCCGCATGGATAATCTGCTGGTAAGGAGCGAACAGAAATGCAAATCAGTTTGACTTAACAGAAAAGAGTTTATATCACAACGGGTTTGAGTGGAAGTCACTGCAAATGTAGCGGTAAATTTTCACTGGGGTCAAATATGCAGCGATTTCTAATGGGGTTCTTTAATAAACACACTGAATGCCAGTCACACCAAGCCACAGAGACACTTTCAGAGTGGAGTTCTCACGAGTTGGCATGCGATACTTCCCATTACCCAAAGTCACCAACTGATTTTCTTTTTAAGGAATCAGGCTAGAATTTGCTATATGTAAAATCCTAGACTAAGTAGCATCCAGCCCTCATGTGTTTTGCCACAATGCACTTGGTAAACAAAGGATGAAGTCACCTCAGACTTTTAGCATCGACCAGCTTTCCTTTTTACTGTGCTTTTAATAACGTGAATACTGCATTCATTCAGCTCTTGTATCCTACTTAAGAGTAGGAAATAGCACTGGAGAGCTTGAAATTGCTGAGAATGATGCCAACTTTCTACTCAGTTTCGATTACTGTGTTTACTGCTGAACCAGCTGAAATGACTGCCTGAGCTTGCAAATATAAACAGGCTCCTTCCCTTTCTCCAAGAGTAAGCGTCTCGGCTCTACTGGGCATGTAGGCTTGCATTCTATTACTCATCTCATCCTCTTCCCCCCACCCCTCCAACAGTCAGCAGAGAAACCACACCCTTCCGCTCTTTGCTGTATTTCCTATTACCTCTTTCTGCTGCCGCTCCAGTTCTTTCATGCGGATATCTCGTGCCTCTGCCCGGGCTGCCCGCTTGGCTGCTAGCCTTGCCTCAGCCTGTGAAGGTAAACGAGACAGAGGTTAGTAGTGTATTGCTGCACACGATAAAGACCACCTGAGAACTGAAATCCCAACTAGTCTTAGCTTGTAAGGCCAACTTGCTATTAAAATTTAAGATATTACTGAATCGCAGGAAATTCTTCAATTCGGCATCAATTTGGAAGCCTTTTTTGTGCAAAAAGCTACCGGAAACCAGTTTCTAAATTGAGACTTAAATTAGTGCTAAGACAAGGTGGAATTTCAGACCTCTGGTGTGCAAAGTCATTCGAGGAACACCCCCCCCAAAGAAATAATACAATTAAACAATTTTAAATTATAACTAATTAAAATGAGTAAACCACAGGTATTCAATAAAGACTTGCAAGCATTATTTCAGTTCCTTTTTTTAATATCATAAAAGTTTTTTTTGTCATTTCTATTAAACTCTGACAGGTTCTTGTTAGACCGAGCACTGCACTTTCTCAAGAAGGCGTTTCTCATACATGACAAGTTTATTTGCTGCTTTTAACAAGCTCTGACATGTTAAGATAAGTTGTCTTAGAACTTGGCCTTTCTCTTCGTAATTCTGGGAACTTTGACAGAGTCAAGAATAGATGTGTCTGCTTCTAGATCGGCCAAATCAAAAATGCTCAATAATAATACTTGCAACCTCCATTCAATATAGTGCTTTATCATATGTAAATGGCTAAAAGGACTTCAGATTTGTTTCTGTAAAATGTAGTGACTATGTAAGAACAGCAGCCAATTTGTGCACATCAATGTCACACAAACAGCCATGTTTATCAATTATTAAAATTTGGAGGACTGTTGCTCAGGACACAGAAATATTATTATTATAAATAAACTTCCTTTTCTTTTCAAAAGTGCATCGGGTCTTTAATGTCTACCTGAACTGACAGACATAAATCTATGTAGGATGGCAGAGCAAAACTAAAAAAAATTAGTTTGCTTCCAGTTATTGCAACCCTATGTAGTGTGAGACAGCCTTTTACGTATCAATACAAGTTGATGTTGAGTGAAGTGGCATTGTGTCATTCATGCCAGTCAGTTTACAGTAACAGAGGAGCTTTTAGAGGAATAGGAGAAGAAAGTGGAAATACACTGGCTTCTGGTTAGGAAGACCAATTTACAAGTTCTCCAAAGCATGCATACACACATCCTGCATTGTAATGGAAAGATGAAAGAAAGGAAGATAGTCACAGTACGCTACATAATCATAGGATACAATCCTGTTTGAATAATAATCCTTGTATTTGATGCAGCACCTTATCACATGGTTGAAAGCATTTCACAGGATTTACTGCAGTTCAGTAAGTTTTTTTTAAATAGGTGAATGAATAGTCAATCTCCAATGGTTCTAAGTTTTCTCCTTAGGAAGAGACATTGATCTCATTGTTTGATGTAATGGTTTTACTTAAGTGTTTTAGAATTCTTCAAGTTCAGTTTGTAGACTGTTTTAGACTGACACTCTAAATCTATGCAACCTGGACACCTTGCAATAAAGAAGGACTGTATGCCAATGCTAACAGCACAGACCTCACTGCAGTGAGCAAACCTGGAATGCCACTTCATAAAACTGAATTAAAAAAATTGCATTTTTAAAGCACCTCATACATCAAAAAGTTCTTAAAATGCTTTATAGTAATTATTGCTAAATAAAGCGACTTTTTGGCAATGACAGCCATTTTGTACACAGTCTCTCTCTCATAGAATTATAGAAGGAGGCCATTCGACCCGTCGTGTCTGTGCCACCTCTTTGAAAACAGCTATCCAATTCAATCCCATTCCCCCGAGCTCTCCCCATAGCCCTGCAAACTCGTCCTCCCCAAATAATTATCAACTTCGCTCTTAAAACCTGTTATCAAATCGGCTTCCATCACCCTTTCAGGCAATGCATTCCAGATTCAAACAACTCGCTGTGTAAAAACATTTCTCCTCACCTCCCCTCTGTTTCCATTTTAGAAACTATTTTAAATCGATGTCCTCGGGTTACCAACCCACCCGCCAACAGAAATACTTTCTCCTTGTTCACCCTATCGAATCCCCTCATAATTTTGAAAACTTCTATTAAGTCTCCTCTTAACCTTCTCTGCTCCAATGAGAATAATCCCAGTTTCTCTAGCCTCTCCTCGTAACTGAAGTCCCTCTCTCTGTTGTCAATAATCCTTGCATTTGATAACAGTGTTTCTCACGTCCAGAGAACATCTCTAAAGCATTTCACAAGATTTTACCATAAAATAGAATGACTATTTTATAGGCGAATACAAGGGGGCCAATTTCCGAACAATGTCCCACAAGTAGCCAAGATTGAATTGTGTTTGGTGGATTGCTGGCCAGGACTCCCGTCTCTTTTAAATAGTGAGGTGAGATGTTTAAATATCCACCTGAGCAGGTGGATGAGACCTTGTTTTCAAGTCTTATCCAAAGGATGACATCTCCAAAAATGCAGTACTCCCCCCATCGGTGTATGGTGCATCAACCTAGACTGCAAGTTCAAAATCCTGCTGTTGAACCTGAACCCACAACCTTCAGACTCCGAGGCGAAACAGTGCTACCAACTGAGCCAGGCTGATACCTGATGTAAAACCAGTTTCTTGCAAATGCATCACATTTGATCTCTCTGCTAGAGAAAAGCAGACCCATCTCATGGGTCCTATTTCTGACATTGATCTGAACGAAGAACTAAAACCTCCAATCCCAGTACTACTTAATTCAACTAACAACAACAACTTGTATTTTTATAGGCTCCTTCACACAGGGTACAGTCTTGGAATGCTTAGATAACCAAACAGTACAACCAGTGTGTGAAACGGCAAGCCTATATGAGACATTCTTCCCACCAATAGAGATCATCTCAATGACTGTGCCTTGGGTGGAAGGACCTCGGGAAGTTGACATTGAAGAGATGTGCTGGTGTGTCGCCAGCAATTTATTACAGAAGAGGGATCTCACACCTATCTTCTCCCAAGCCACATGATTTCTTCCAAATAGTGAACTGGGCAAGGCCTTACTAGTTCTACAGCTTCATGAATTCAAGGCAGCAACTCACAAAATAGAGTAGAAATTCTATTCTGATTGTTTGCGTTTTTCAACTTAACCCTCGAGATCATGCACTCAACTAGAAACAGTTCCATTCCCTCTCTTCCTCCTTCTCCCCACCAATGTCCCAGCAATTACATGCATTGTACAGTGTGCAAGTGAGCAACAGAGATAGGAAATCCCCAGGTTCAAACCTATGTTGAATTTATAATCACAGACAGGGTAACATTAGTTACAATTTAATTTAGTGTCGCCTGTCTGTTTCCCCATGCAGTCCTGGAACATGCAGGGGTATATACAGGATTGGCTTAGCTGTAATCCTACCTTACCCTCTCCCATAAATAAACGGCTCACAGTTTAGGCTAGAACAGATATCACGGGCTGCTGTTATATATGACCACAAGTCTCCAGTGTCAGGAGAGTGCAAATTGAGGGGCAGGACTTGATATTACTGCTGTTAAGCTTTAGAATATTATGTCTTTATCATAAAAACAAAATAAGTAAAAGGATATGGTTTAAACATAGCCCGCTTTAAATTTGTATTTACTAAAGCTGGCCGAGTAGCCATGTGGCATTTCATTATGGATGAGCAAACCAGCCCCTGTGCATAGATCATGTTTCCCTCCTGTCCAGAGCAAGGCTGGTCTCTTTCTTTACAAAACAACAACATTGCATTTGTATAGCGCCTTTCACGTCAGGAGGAAATCCCAAGGCGAGGGACATTCAGTGTTTCGGTCCCGAGCTGGGGGTCAGGATTGCGGAGGGTGGAGGGCAGGGGGGAAAGCAGGGTGATCGAAAGCATGGTCGAAGAGGAGGGTCTTGAGATGGGTCTTGAAAGAGGCAAAGGAGGGGGCGAGGCAGTGGGGTAGAAAGGATAGTTGAGGGTCAAACAAAGAGCCAAGATTCCAGACTGACTCAGTGAGGTGGAGTGTGCATCCTTGGATGGTGATGCTGTCAGCGCCTGAGGTGTGGAGGCGCGGAAAACTAATTGGAGGGGTTCCTGAAGGGAGTGGCGAGAGAAGAAGGAGCAAAGCAACAACTAATTCCAGGACCTGGGAGATGAAAGGGAAGTTGGAGATGGAGCGGTAGTTTGAGAGCTCTGATGGGTCCAGGGAGGGTTTTTCAAGGATAAGAGTGATGACGGCCATTCTTAATGGGGTGGACAGGGAGAGGTTTATGATGTCTGTGAGTAGAGGGGCAAGGAGGTGGAGCTGGGAGGTAAGGAGAGGGATGGGGTCGAGGGAGCAGGTGGCTGGTTTCATTCGGGTTATAGTGGAAGTGAGAGAGGAGCGGGAGACAGGTTCGAAGGTGTGGAGGGAGGAATGGGTAGGGGCCGGGGTGAGAGGGGGAGATGGGAGGAGGGGGTAGTAGACATAAGGGCAGAAGCAACTGAGTGGATCCCCTTAACTTTGGATTCGAGGAAGTCCAGGATCGCCTCGCAGTTGGCATTGGAGGTGAGGATGGGTGAGCCATGAGAGGGTGGGTGGAGGAGCCAGTTGGTGATGGAGAGGAGGAGCCTGGGGTTGTCCTCGGCCTCCAGGATTGTCTTGGAGTAGAACAACGATTTAGCGGAGGCGAGGGCAGAGAGGTAGGATTTGGTAAAGTCCAGCCAGATCTGCCGATGGGCTGTTAAGTTCAATGTAAGCCAGGTACGTATCTGTGCTTTAAGGGAGAAGAGGTGGTTGGTGTACCATAGTGACTTTCGTGAGTAGGAACAACAACAACTTGGATTTATACAGCGCCCTCCACGCCGGACGGCATCTCAGAGCGCTTCACAGTAACGGATCCCGGGGCCGTGCCAGTGGGAGGGGGAGGAAGGACTTTGGGATTGTTTTTTGGCTCCAAGATGATGTTGGAGTAGAAGGCTGTTTTCACTCGCGTCAAAGAACAGCGGTAGCTGTGGAAGTGCTCGAACCACAGTTGATGGCGAACTGTCAGGCCAGTTTTCTGCCATCTGC